TAATCGTTTAAACAATTTTAAGGATGATATTTGTCACAGTACAGGCTAGGTGGGTACAGTGCTATTTTGCTTGAGTTGACTAGCTGGTTTGTGCTCATTTTTGAAGCAGTTTCTAGTTCATTATTTTTGATGTCACTACAGTACTTACAGTATACAGTATGTACATGGTGTGTTGGTCAATATTAGCACGCTACCCTCGGTCGGTCAAAAAAATGTGATGAAAAAAATTGTTCACATTGTTTATTACTAATATACATGTTTAAAGTATTTGTGTTTTTGTATATTTCAGTGTATTTACTAAATATTCAAGATATAAAGAATTTTAGCAATTTAATGCAGCGTTGTTGGAGACAGCTCGCCAGAACAGGTATGTGCTATATTCAGCTGCCAATGTACATTATTACCAACGGCTGGCAAGTACCAACGTTTGTCTCAATTCCATATTTTAGGTTATCAATAGAAAGCATTCAATTCCGTAAAGGGTACTTTAATAACTTAATATTCATAAGTATTAATTTCAGATAAAGTTAAGTAAAATAAACACACTAGTAGCATGCCATTTCACTGGAAATTTATGAATACGTGTCCAGGATACCTGGGGGCGGGGATTCCGTCATTCTGTGTTTTGGGCAGTAGGTGGCATTGTTGCACTAGAAAATGTTGGGTCAGCTGCACAAAGCGTAAATGAAGTAGAAAGAAAGCGGGGAAGAAGGTATTTGCTATTCCTAGGTTTTTATAAACCAAAAGTGGCACGAAGGTGCGGCGCTAGGTTGCTGGGGGGTAATGCGATAGGCGTTGTCAGTGTTGCTGTTTTATCACTTTAAATAGTGTAGAATTTGAACAACGGGCCTTTGTCTTAAGACGCTTGTTAGTTAGCGTTAGCACAAAAGCTAACGGCGACGGCTGACACGCTTTTCGCCATTTTGCGATTTCAACTAGCCTGTTACCTGGCTTCTATTAAGGTATTTGTTGCAAAACAAATCTTTTAGTGGATGTATTTTGCCCGTGTATTTTTTGTGCGTTTGTGACATTTGTGTCAATGCTATAGGTGGTGTCTTCATCATGGCAGAAGCAGACCGACCAGGGAAGCTCTTCATCGGTGGACTGAACACTGAGACCACAGAAAAGGCCCTGGAGCAGTACTTCAGCAAATATGGCAGGATTGTCGAAGGTATCACTGGATACAGACTGGCATCTAATTTGTTTTGTTGTTTGTTTGTTTTTTTAACCCGAAATGGTACATCTTTAAAACTGTAGACGTATTGCAGTAACTATTTTCGTATTTAACGTTGTCTTTTTTTACACCATGTGCTTAAATGTATGCACATTCAACATTCCCTTCTCTGTCCATGGCATGTGCAATGACGAAGTTGTATCAAATTTATAGCATTTATTTGTAGGATTCCTGTCTTTGAATACCGTTGTTTGTGTTAGTCACAATGTTTTGGTCCATATTCCAACAAAGCCACAAACCATGTGACTTTATTTTAAAACACCCTAAAACACACTTGGAAAAGTGATGTTTTAGTGCCTTTAAAGCAGAAGAAAACCAGTGGTAGTATTAAAAGTATGTATTAAACTGGTACTTAAATGGCACAGGATATTAACAGGAGCAATTTAAAGGCACAGAGGCGTCTTACACATCCTTTTCCATTTTAGTTCTCTTAATGAAGGACCGTGAAACAAACAAATCAAGAGGCTTTGCTTTTGTAACATTTGAGAGTCCAGCTGATGCAAAAGATGCAGCACGTGAAATGAATGGAAAGGTATAAGTACACCCTTAAATCAACTATGATTTCCCTGTGAATCTGCCATATATTTAAATGAATTTTAATTCCTCCTAAATAGTCTCTTGATGGCAAGCCCATTAAAGTGGAGCAGGCTACAAAGCCTCAGTTTGAGAGTGGGGGCAGAAGAGGACCGCCACCCATGCACTCCCGTAGTCGTGGTCCTCCCAGAGGCTCTCGTGGTTCTAGGGGTGGTCCTGGGGGTATGAGAGGCCCACCTTCCCGAGGTATTATCAATTGATCCACAATATATTGTAAAGAAATAATGTGTGTTTTGTAACAAATTAAGTATATTGTTTGTATCTGTATTTGTCGACTATGTAGACTACTATGACAATTCAGGAAATGGCGAACCATTCTTTAAAGGGATGTCATCAAGAGGCCCTCCTCCATTGAAACGAGGGCCTCCTGTACGTAATGGAGGCCCCCCACCAAAGAGGTCTGCTCCATCTGGACCCATGGGTAGACGTAAGTTTAAAAATGTATTGTCACTAAATGCATCAAGATGATTGATTCTTCAAATGTTTGTTGTCTTCGGTTAGGTTTGCTGAACATTGAACATTTAACATTTTGTCATTGTGTTTTAGCACCCATGTCAAGGGACAGAGATCCTTATGGACCTCCATCTCGCAGAGACTCCATGATGTCCAGAAGAGATGATTATCCATCACCACGAGATGATCATTACAACTCAAAGGATAGGTGAGAATTTTTGTATAGCGTCATACATGTACTGACATTTTCTTTACTGCCATCTTGCAACATTTATACACTGGACTTAGTGAGTTGTACAATGTTTTGCAGTTACTCCAGCCGGGACTATAATTCTAGAGATTCCAGGGATTATGGACCTCCTCCCAGGGATTACTCATACAGGGAATATTCAAATTCCAACTCCAGGGATGATTATAGTTCAATGTCAAGAGGTTACAGGTACAACTTAACATTTCTGTGGAAATAAATGAAGCGTTGTTGTACTTGTTATTAACAGTTTGTTTTTTGTTTTTTCAACAGTGACCGTGATAGCTATGGGGGAGGCCGCGAACCTAGAAACTACATGGATCGTCCTAGTGGTGGCTCCTACCGAGATTCATATGATGGTTACGGTAAGACTGACAGTTTAAATGTGAAAAAGTAGTAGTCAGTGAGACTCAAAGTGAAGCTACTCAGACACCTAATCAAGACGTTGACCACCCTTGTCTCCAGTCAAAAGGAAGATCCATTTTCTCCCCCTTCCAGAGGAAACAACTTTGCGGTGCCCTGCTTAAAATGTTTTCATCCCTTTAACTACGTCCATGACCTGCAGCCCCATCTGCACATTTTCAAACCACTAAGAGTCAAATATACTGCCGTTTTATGTTAAGCTTTAACCATAGTCTAATAGTCCTTTGTCCTATTACATTTCATAATATGGTTGAAGTCATCAAAAGAATAAGCTTGTGGCACTATCCAGAAATAATGTACAATGTTTGCAACCACAAGGAATCCTGAAATGTCCCTGGAAACGTCTGTGACAACCCACACAATGTGGCCTAGAAAAAGCACTCCCTCAAGGAGTAACTGTCTCAAAACTGTCATCACAACTGTGAAAACCCTGTTCGTACCCTGCAATTCTAAGACGTGGAGCTCTAACAGGAAAAGGCATCTGAAATCAATGGCATGCAAAGATCAGTAACTCTCCCTGTTACATCCTGTGCCTGGATATATTGCTTCAAAAAAACTTGAAAATACCCTTGTTAAAAAAAAAACATTTTTCAGAGGTGGAAGATTTAACCATGCCATCCAGTTAACACAATGCTCTCCAAATTAATTCTACTGGCAAAAAATGAGCACTTGACAGTGCAAAATGTGTAAATTAAACATTGCCAATTACCTGACCCATTGACCCTGCAGGTAACTCTCGCAGCGCCCCACCTTCACGGGGCCCCCCACCTTCCTATGGTGGGAGCAGTGGAAGCAGTCGTTATGATGACTATGGCAGCAGTTCCCGAGATGGCTATGGCAGTCGTGACAGTTACCCCAGCAGTCGGAGTGATCCATACCCTCCTAGCCGTGGTGAGCGAATGGGCAGGCAGGAGAGGGGCCCAGCTCCCCCTGTTGACAGAGGCTACCCACCTCGCGATTCATACAGCAGCTCAAGTCGTGGAGGGCCACGTGGGGGTCGTGGGGGCAGTCGACCTGATAGAGGAATGGCTCGCAGCAGATACTGAACTGGATTGGAAATCCTACAAAAACAAACATAGTGTTTCCGTGCAGTTCACATGCGATTGGAAGAATCCAACCCACTTTCCACCATGTCCAACTCTGTGGAGAATGATGCTTAGCCTTGAACTGTATCATTACTCTCCCAATTTTTTATGTGTAAAGGTTTTTTGTTTGTATTTTTTTAGTATTTTCTTGCTCATGTAACAATGCAGTTGCTAAGTGAGTGTTTTGTACATTCAGTGCTGTTGAAAACTGCAGTACCCTATCATCTGGCTACTTTAATAAAGCTTTTAGTTGTACTACGATCATTGCTCATCCATTTAAAAAAAAAAATTTAAAGATTGGAAGCAGTTATGTGACTCCTCAAACAACTTGAATCATCACTCACGTTCAAGATTAACTTAGGTGAATCTCAGCTGAAATACCAATGCACAAGTGACTTCAGTACATTCTGAGCAAAACTGTACCTTCAACTGGACGCTGCTGATAACAGAGATTAGGCAAATGTTACTCTCAAATTGTTCCGATGTAGTCTCCTTGGATTTGGAATCATCATCCTAGAGCCATTTGATGGCATGCAACGACAAAACCAATGGAAACAACATCCAAATCCAACTCAACTGATAGTCAACAGCTGGTAAGCAAAGCAAAACTCTTTGTTTCTCACCTGTAAATGAGTTTCTTACTGTCCTGTATTGCAATCTGCACTCCAAAGTGAAATCCAAGACAACATTGATCACTCAGGACAAGAGACACAAGAGTTGATCAGATGAGCCTTTTTCCAATGTAGTGATTTTGTTAGCTGCCTATATTGTGAAAAAAAGAAGCCACAGTATACATTTCATCGTTTCTCAATGGCGAAAGCTTTGATATCACCTGAGCCCTCAAACTGAACCTTTTTGCCATCCTGACTGTTTATCCGTGGTCTAAAGATTTGGCACAGTCCTTTTTCAATTACCTGGAATTTTTTTTTCTACTAAGATCATTTTTTAAAAATCCGGTTCTCAGTACAACAAGCATGCCAGTTCAAAAAAAGGGAGACCTCTGGAAGAACAATATTGTCCAATCTGTCAAACTGGAAACGACCGCTGAAGCAAACTCCTGTTGGACCAAAGGCTAATATGTAGTTTCAAACATACATGGATATGACAAGGATGATGTGTTAATTCCTATTGCTCTCTTTCCAGGTTGAACATCCTTTAAAGGCAACTACTACTGTTACTTACTGACCACTGCCCTAAAACTGCAGAACCAGTGAAGACCTACTGGAGGAATGCTGATGCACCATCTGGTATGTAAGTTTTTATTAATTTATGTTCCTACAAAATTAAACTCCATATACTATGCTATACAAAATAAAATGTAATTTCTATTGTTCCAATATTTCAGATGCATGAGTGGATATCTATCAAGACCATTGCTTTTCACTGCTTGTTTTGGCAGAGAGCCTTGTCAAGTTGGGAAAGTATGGTCCAAGGAGTTGATGTTATTGACATTTTTAATAAATCATTTAAAAAAGACCTGTCTGTCTTTGTTGTCTTGTTGTATAATAGAACTGACAAATGATTTGCATTTAAATGCATCAGGTTGGTGTTTTAATGGTTGTGATGACTATTGAAATTTATCGAACTGCCTTTACTTTATCAAATTAGTATCATTAATTTATTACTGCATTTTAATGTAATGTTGAGTTGAAGATGGGGAATGCAGCATAATTTCCTCTGTGCAAAATGTATTTACATGTTCGTGTCACATTGAAAACGCAGAAAAGGAACCAGATCGGGCCAATGCATTATCTAAATAATCGTCATCTGTGGAAAATTCTATCTCTATTTTTATATATTTCTCTCTGTATATCTTTCATTAGGTCTCTAGTGGTTCAGTTGTAGTTATAATGTGAGAACAAATACCCTCCGTCAACATATTGTCCTTTGCGAAGTATTGTTGAGGTGCCTGTTTGCCAGTAGGGGTGATCATCAGTTCGAGAGTGTAGAAATACCGACGTCCTTCCCCCCACCGCATTTTTTTAAGTTGTAGCAGAAGTGCGGATGTGAGTTGCTTATTGATACGGAACAGGCCGCCAGGTTTTCACTTTATGAACAATGTGTGCTTAGGCAATGGTGATTTTGAGGAGCGATGAATCCAGAGGAGCAGACTGTAACGTGGTTGATCTCGCTCGGAGTTCTCAGTTCGCCTAAGAAGAACATAGCGGATCCGGAGGAGTTTTTGAAAACATCGCTTAAGGATGGGGTCGTTCTGTGCAAACTCACGGAGCGGCTCATACCTGGATTCACACCCAAGGTGAGTTGAATGATTGAATAAACGGTGACAACTAATAACCGATCGAAGGCTGCACTTAGAAAGGAAGGGAGGGGTTTTTGATGTAACTGATACCGAGAAAACTTCTGAATGCAGCCGGGCCTTCGGGCATTGCTGAAGCAGATGAGAAGTTAACGTTATATTTGGGCTGTAAACACACGCACCGCCACAATTACTGCAACTTTCAGGGGTTTTCGGCTAAAGGGATTTTTTTCAAGACGTTATTTCCTGTGAAGCTAAAGGAAAGGGTTCCGCATTCTTGACGTGAGTGAGTCGGAGTGAACACCCACCAAAACAGGACAAAATGGGTATAGAGCGAGAAGTGCCTAACAACAGTTGAAAACGAACACAGTTACTACAGCAGATACAATTTTCTGCACCGCCACTCCAAAAATCGACTTTAAAATGGTTCACTTAAAAAAAACTCACTATAAATCATGGGTATCATGTTGATGATATGACAAACGTTGATAACAATAACTAAGAGTTGCAAAGTTAATTCGTCACTTCCTCTTGAAAGGCTATAGCCCTCCCGGCGTCAATGTGAACGGAAACGACCAGAAGAAAACCGGAAGCAACATATACTCCACCAATTCCTCTGTGGTACTTTTCAGTCATTTTAACTAACACATACATCAGTATTTAATAACAGTACAAAGTGACGCCTTTATTGTGCATGTGTTTTACCTTTTGCTTCTTGAGCAAAATTCCTATTTTATTTTGAAAGTCACAGAGGAAAGTGGGCAGATACACAGGCGAAATCACGTTCCCTTGACAGTTCAGTGCTGTAAATGGTTGTGTATGCGTGTTTGGAGGAGGCGCAGGAGAATCATCCTCAGTTTTTTTATTTAACTTAATCGGATTCCATTACAATCCCTACTACGTGTGCGTTATCGGGAATCTCACATGGCTGTAGCGACGACAGGAAGCGCCATCTAAAGGCGTATGTCGTATGTTTATCTCCGCTACACTGAGGCGAACTGTTTGTTTATATGTATATTTCGTGTGTGCTTGTTGTCTTAGTATTGTCAGGATCCGAAGACGGAAATCGAATGTATTTCCAACATCAAGGAGTTCCTTAAAGGATGCTCGTCATTGAAAGTGGAGGTAAGTTTTCATTAGTGTGTCTGTGTCAAATTTGTGTAAACGGCTTGATGTGTTGTGACAAGGGCTGATGTTTCCCCACCTTTAAATCCTCTCTTAGCCCGGTGAGCTCATTGCGGTTCACAGAGGGCACTTTCACACACCGCTGCTTCTGTTGGTGCCTTCTGTTTTCTTCACACGTCCATGTGGAGTGAGCCACACTTGGCACAACAGGCAGTGTCTGAAGGAACCTGTTAGTATAATGAACAACTTAGTCATCGACAGCATAACCATAATTTCTACGGTTCATTCTGCGTGAAGTAAATATAATTCATTTTTCCAGCATCAAGGTTAAAACATACTAAACAACCATGTAACACCATGATTTACTCAAACCCATACAGTCCCATTCAACATATGCATTTAAAGCCGCTCTCAGTTCTAACTTTTTCCTTCTCTGGCTATTAATCTTAGCCATGAGCCATTGCTACTTGGTGGTGGTGTTTAATGATATCATAGCATCATCTATATTCTATTTTTCTCTGTAAATGTTGTTTCAGTTCTCTAATTGAAAAGATTGGGAATTTACACTTACAACCTTTTACATGAACAGGAAAACCTGAAAAAATAGCCTCCATCTATGATAGCTCCATCCATTTCTTATCTATGATTGATAGCTATGCTACATGAAACAGATATAAAAACCTACACAGACTTAAATCTGCTGAAAATGAGACAAAAAAAACCTCTGCAGGTGTATGCCACAGGGCCATATATATATATATATATATATATATATATATATAACACATTCAGAAAAAGGTTCAAATCATTTACAGATGTTGCCTTGTTGGTAACTGCTACACTGGACAGTGAAGTCTTTTAAGCTATAAATAATCTTCTCCGCTCTTGAATCGCATCAGTTGGTTTTTTTTCTTCAAACAGCCAATTGGAGAAGAGGTCTGGCTCACGGCAAAGTCAAGTGGTTGAGTCTTTTAGTCCAGCTGGCTTGTTTTGTCTTTACTTTTATCCATCAGCCCTGCCTTAGCCCATAATTAGAACTTTTGTGGGCAGCCAGAAGCTCATGGGCAGACCCACTGTCAAATGCATCAGATGTGCTTATGGTTTTGTGATTTTTTTTTATTTTTTTTTTTGCTTTTCTGTCATGGAGAATTGTGCCCGCCTGCCCTGCGACCACACAATGAGGACAGTCATGTTACTTTCACTTCTTCCATAAAGTACATAAAGAGGAAGCACCAATTACCGCTTGTCTCTCAACATCTGTTGCTCTATTATACGTAGAATGATATTTAGTTTAGAGCTCTAATTAACCAACGAAAGCCTTAGTCACTTTCTTTACTTAGTCGCTTAGCACAAGAATGGTTTTCGTCATGTTTTAACCCCATCATTTCACTTTGCGCATAATTTCACACAGAGCAAGACTGAACACAAGTTCAGCTTCGTGGCCGAGACACTATCTTGAAATGTATACTCTCCAGTTTTACATTATATTTTTTTGGAAAATCCTGCCACACTGTCGATTCCTTTGACATGGTAGAGAAGACTGACTATAAATAAAACGCTCAAAATTGAATAAATATTCAGCAAACCACTGGACCTAGGCTTTTTTAGTACGTTATTCAATCCCTCTGATTGCGGGTTGGGCTAATCCAAAATAGTGAAAAAAGATGGGTGTTTTGAAGACAGATTGTTACCTTTGAAATATGGTGCCCTAAAAACAACCCCATTAGTACTTGGTACTTTCCTCCAAATAAAATTAAGACAAAATTTAAAAAAAAAATCGACCAATCAGAATTTTGGTTGGGCCAGAACGTGTCATCATCAACCAGTCGAATGGGAAATTACAGCTAATTTATATTCAGATTCTTGAAGTAATGTGCAAATATAAGTGACTTAATTAAAGTTGAGGATAAATATGTTTATGTAATATGTAATTTTTGCCTTCCCTAATTTGAGTTTTCATGATAGATTTGACACTAGACGAGACCTAAAAAATTTACCTTCTTCGTAGGCTCAGTATTTCTAAAAATCATGTATTAAAAATAGTTGTTCTGTTTTCAAAGTGTAATGTTTTTATTTAGGTGTAGTGATAATTGTGTCCTGCTGTTTAATTAAGTCCCATTTATGCTCATGTTTGTTTTTTTGATCAGTAGATGTAGATTTCAAATCAGTCATTCCTTTAAAATAACTGGATTAGGATCATCATAAAAACCTTTGGATCACGTTTCCAGTATTTCTACACAGTTGCATTTACTACCAATGAGGTCAGACACAACCTCTGACCATGGCTGTACGACTCAAACTCTATATTTAAGATGTTTTATTTAAAATGTGAAACCTTATCTGCTAGAGGAAAGAAGATAGCAGTCTGAGACAGAGCGAGCACGAACTGTGGGATCGTGTGTGTGTGTGTGTGTGTGTGTGTGTGTGTGCATTTATAAATCTCAAATGAGACCTGCACTGTCTGGTTTTATTAAAATCATCCAAGTCATAAAATATGGATTATGCTCAACGTTCCGGTATTATGTCATCTGAAGCTTTCCAAAAATTCCTGTTTGTGACATTGTTTGTGCTGCAACCTCTTTCTCTCCTCACTATATTATTACTCCCTCTCTCTGCCTCTATCTCTTTCTCCTTTCCTTCCCATCATCCTCTCTTTCTCATTCTCACCCTCTCTCTCAATGTGTGCAATCCAGTGATCCCATCAACTGGGCCTGGGCACACTAGTTTGCCATGGGAGATTGTTAGATATTAGATTTCACTTAATTAGTCTAAAAACTGTCATCCATTTTTAGTTTGACTTTTCCTTCTTACTGAATCTCATTTGTTATGTTCTAAGATTGTTTTGGAGATGCTTCCTGGTTAAAGTCTCACTGGGTTTTTTTCTCCTGTTCTCTTCCATCTAGGGTTTTGAACCAGAGTGGTTATACACTGGTGAGAATTTCAGCAAAGTACTGACCACTTTGCTGGCTGTCAACTTTGCCACACAGGGTAAGAGTATGACAAACTGTATCATCCGTTATATCAGGAGCTGTGTGTTCATATTTACACAAATGGATTTATTTTCATTGTAAAAAAAAAACCATGTTTTTACATAATGGTGTCAGACTGGTTCAAAAAAGACAATAGCTGTCTGTTTATGTAAGGTTATGGCAGTTCTATTTCTCTATAACACTCTGTTCCTTTAGTCGTTCTGAATTATGGCTGCTTATGTTACTCATTACCAGCTGGCATGACAGTGTGAGCTGGCATCATGCTGGGGCCCACATTTACTCACATTTCTGTCATGATTGTGTCTTTCTGTGCATCCAAAAAGCATGGATGATTAAACTTTGCACTCTGCAGTACTTACTTTATTTGTTTGTACTTTGTACTACTGGGCTGTAAAAAATGTTTTAAAACTGGTCAGATTAATCAGAAGGTTTAGCTCTAAATCAAAATCAAATAAAAATAAATCTGTGTATTGCTGGAACAGAAAGATAAATAACAGCAGATGTTTCACACCTGTTTTGTTTTGTTTTTATTTGTGACTGATCCAGCTCAGTCTACTGTCTCTCACAATCCATTTGACAACTGTATATGTTAGCTTGTCAGCTGTAGACCAACTGTCCTGCACTCTGTGAGGCTGGTCTGAATCCACACAGGAGTCAGAAGTTGAAGTTGAAGTCTCCACAAATGCATGCTGGACCCAGATGGTATTTTAAGATCAAGCTGCTTTGTAAAGACAAAATGCTTTCCCACAGTGTGTGCAAATTACAACATGTATGACGATATGATTCTGCTCATGTGGTAAAGATTTCAATCTGATTAATCTTCAGAAATGAACACAAACCCAGTCAACACAAAGGTGTACTGCGTCTTTGCTTTCTATAGTTTGATTTTCATTTCATCAGTGATGCCTCAGTGACTTGATGTGTCAGGCATATGGACAACAGTAGGGTGAGTTTAACAATTCCATCTTAGATATACATTGCATAAATTCCAGGTGAAGTGTGTTAATAAAAACCGTTTTACACAGATACGTGTTTATTGCCCCTGAGTGGAACTGCACTTACGGCTTTATCAGTTTTACAGCCTACAGTTTGAACGCCTTATTTGATCCTACACAAGAGATGCTAAGGTTTATGGTTCATTCTTTTATCTTATTGCTTTGTGCAATGTGATGAAAACCTGGCTAGCGTCCAGCTGCAGTTGGAGAGGAAGTCTTGAGCCAGTGTGTTTCTGCTTGTTGGCCTGTTTGCAGCTGCATGGCTCCCATGTGTCAGTTTGGTTCCCTGAGTAATGGAGAGGAAATTGCTACCTCTGTCAGAGCATCATGGGAATTGCACTCACTGCAGAACAGCTGGCAGCGACAGAAGCTAAATCACTGTTCCTCTGCTGCAGTGGCTCGCTGATGTCACCGTAGAGGCTGTGGCTGTTCTTACTGTAGGTCATCCACTGGACCGTCGACAGCGCTCCAGACGAGACAGGGCTGCACTGTGTTATTAATATTTCAGCTGACCTGCTGGAGTCGCTACAGATACCTAATTATAAAATACAATTTGTATAATGCTGACCTGCGACCTGCGTCCTGGCAGTGTGCAGAATTGTCTTGTTAAAACCAGAAAAGTAGAATGACCAATCTCAATCACAGCACATTCATCAAGAACATGTCCTTGTTTGGATTCCTGTTGCGTTCTGTTGAGCTTTATACTGTACCTCCAATCAAATTATCATCCATTTTTGTAACTTGATTCTAACATTAACACTAGAGGGTTACACTACTGCTCTCCACTGGGGAAAAACCCCCAGCATTAACCCCTAGTAAAGAAGGTGAAAATGAGAGATGCTCATGAACAAACTGTACATGTGGCCTGTTAACATGAATGCAGGGATTTCCTTTTTCCTATTACTGTATTTTCCTTTGAAAATTTGGAACACTCAACCTCTAACCTCAACGACTGTCCATGTCCTTGTGTTTCTTTCTGTGTGTGGTTCCACAGACTGCGCTGCTGAGAGGTCATGTTCACAGTCCAGTGCCTCCTCTCCTAGTCAGTCCACAATCTCACACACGCTCTCTTCAGCCAAATCCAAGGGCTCTCTGCGGAGACAATCCAAGTCGGGGGTATCATGTTATTTATGTTACTCTTTTTTCATTGCTCTGTGTAGTCTGCTCATTTCATAGGCTGGAATTTAGTTTCCCCCAAGTCAGGTCAAGTCTGAAGTTGACTCTTAACTGATTTAATTGTGGCTCAACACCAAAGATGTGATTTTAGCTGTAGTTCTGATTTACAACTGTTTCGTTTTTTTTAAACTCTTTGGGCTATAGTCCAGAGTCACCTTCAAAAGTAAAGGAAATGTACATTTGACTGTGTGACATTGGCGTGTGTGTGTGTGTGTGTGTGTTACTGACCATCGCTCCTCTGACAGGACATGTCTGAGAACGGCGGTGTGCAGCTAATGGTGAAGGCCCGCTTTAACTTCAAGCAGAACAACGAGGATGAGCTGTCATTCGCCAAAGGTGATGTGATCCAGGTGACGCGGCAGGAGGAGGGAGGATGGTGGGAGGGCACGCTCAACGGCAAGACTGGCTGGTTTCCCAGTAACTACGTCCGTGAGGTGAAACCTTTTGGTAAGTCCGACCACACAGACAGGCTCATAGAACAGTAACTTTCATAAATGCCTTTCTGACCTGGGGTTTGATTTTAATTCTTTTTATTTGCTGGCTTTTAAGTATATAAATTAAATTATGCTATTCTGATTTGTGCTATGCTGCCCCTAACTATAACATAGTATACTACATGATACAATTCAATTCTATACTATACTATATTGTGCTCTCCTATGCTATGCTTTCCTATACAAATTAGATTATACAATACTATACTATACTATACTACAGTATACTATACCTATGATCAACATCACTAATACTTGTACCCTAATTATACTGCACTGTCTACTCCTCTCTGCACTTCTCTGTACTATAGTAATCTATACTATACAATACAATATTTGCTGTACTTTATTATACTTTGCTGTATTATATGACAATTTACTGTATCACGCTGTACTACATACTTGTCTTTTCTACAGAGAAGCCTGTGTCTCCTAAAGGAACTCCGCTGACCAAGAATTACTATAGTGTTGTAAGTTAAAATTGAAATGACGTTTGTTCAGTTTGATGAATTCTTCCAGCCTTGCTTTGCTGCTCATGTAGGTTTGAAATCACTGGGCTTCACTAACATAGACAATGGATTTTATGTACCCTGACTACAAAACAGGTTGTACAGCCCATTAACATCCAATTAAAACATTTTTATTTTGTATAGATAGATATTTGCATAGAACAAACATATATTTTGCTAATGTAAAAATGTATCTTAAGTTGTGCACATTATTAGTTGTCCTACATTTTTAGTGTTGCATCTTTCACATATGTTGGCATGAACGTTGTACATTTGACATATATGTGTTCTGGTCTGGGCTTTAGGTCACTCTCCTAGATACAGTTAATACATTACACCACAGTCTGCAATAAAAAAGCATAATGATTCATCTAATCAGAGTGCAAATTGGTGTCACCTTTAAATGAGGGAAGGAGTCATTTCCCCATTTGATATTTTAGTTCAAATGACTGACAGAAATGCAGAAATGATGAAGTACAGAAGCCTACTTTAGACCAAACATCAGCTCTGCTGCTCTTGCAGGTTGTCCAAGACTTTGTGGAACATGAACGAGAGTTTGTTAAGGAATTACAAACCTTGATGACATGTTACCTCCGACCGCTGCAATCTAGCGACAAGTAAGCAGCTGACAGAGCCTTCCTACAACAGAAGACACCATGGATGATACATGAAATTCTTTTCAGCTAACAGATGGGGAACATTTCTTGAATTTAGGTCTTGAAATATTCCTTTCACTGGTAATTGCTGGTATCTAAGTATTCTTTTTTTTTTTTTTTTTTTTCAGGCTGAGCAACGCAGACAGCACCACCTTGTGTGGAAACCTCGAGGAAATCCTCACCTTCCAGCAGGGACTCTGTGTAAATTTAGAAGACTGCACCAAGTAAGATCTTCAGAAGACCATTTTAGTGTATTGGGGTTTTTTGTTTGTTTTTACGCCACACACCGTATAGAGCCTTTATTTCTTGTCATCACTTCCTTCCTCAAAATCACTTCTGTACTTTGCTACCCCTGCACTTACTTGCAGTGATTGCATCACACTGGTCACAGTGAGAATGAAAGGTCTCAGCAGTAGAATATTGACCAAAATGGCTAAAAAAAAATACAATAAAATGTTCTACTCATTTGAAGTTTCATTGAATATAACTTTCTTGTGTGTCTTCTCAGAGTTCCAGAAGGGCAGCAACGAGTGGCAGGCTGCTACTTAAACCTGATGAGCCAGATCAAGACTCTGTACCTGGCTTATTGTTCCAGCCACCCGTCAGCTGTCAGCATCCTCACTGACCACAGGTACAAACATCAGTCATTATTATTGTAATATTGTTAAAAAAAACTTTGGTTTTACATCTATATTTTATTATTATAAAGCTTTACTTTGATCTCGATGAGGTGTAATTATGACTCAGGCCACCAAGTGTCAGGCTTTCTCCTTGTTAGTGACTGGTAGTCGGTCTGAGTGACTCTGCTCTCCAGTTACCCACATGGTCCAAGTTTCCTTTTGCCCATTTATTATTGATCTTCATTGGAATGAAGACTTTGGCTTTTGTGAATCAAAATTGCTCCGCGAAATAAAAGGCCTTGATGTCATATGAAAGAAGTGTCGTGTTCCTTATTGGACGGTACAGACTAAGTTGCAACAGAAGCCAACTGTTGACAGGATGTGTAAAGTTGTGGTTACTGGCAAATAAGGCATGTTTTTTTTCCTGTCATAGTCAGCACATTTGTGTTTCTGTTGTTCATTAAATTTAGAATTACCAGGTAATGCAGCTATAGGATACATTGGAGTATGCTGTTATAGGTCTGACTGCTGATGAAATGATGCAAAAGTGTTTGTGTCCTCAGAAACCTGAGTCTATTCCTATGCAATGTTTTTCATGGGTTTCTGTCTGTAGGACGGAAGGTTAAAAATTGAGAGTAAGGGAACAACATAGCAACCTCAATGTTTCTTTTTGTGTTTAATAGTGAGGAACTAGACAAGTTCATGGAAAGTCAGGGAGCAAGTGTGCCAGGGATCCTGACCCTGACCTCCAGTCTCAGCAAACCTTTCATGAGACTCGAAAAGTACCCAACCCTGCTGCAGGAGTTGGAGCGACATGTGGAGGTATTGGAAGAAAATGAACAGAAAAAAAAAAATACTTCTGAGTATAAAATCTTCAGGCTAAAATTGCAATCACTGCATTCAAGTTCCTGTGTCTGATGTTTGGCCTTTCCTATGTTTTCACCTCAGGAAGCTCACCCAGACTACACTGACATCGTAAAGGCAACGGCAGTGTTTAGAAGCTTAGTGGTAAGTCTGGAAAATGTCCCGATATGAACAATTCATAGAGAGCGTCTGCGGCTTTCTATCTAATGTCTGAATAAAGAGTGTTTACAGGTCAGATGCTGCAGATTCACTCACAGCTGGGGTTACTGTAGTTTCTAATGACGTGCTGGTGCTAATCTTAGACCAAATTTTGTAAATGTTTTAGGTAGGAAGTTATAGCGTTCAAAGGATAGCATGGTTTTTTGAGTAGCAGCACGTCTGCCTTGAAAACAGACAGCAGAGGGTCCTGGGTTCAGTAGAACAAGAACCACATACTGTATGCCTAATGGCATGTGACAGCCTGTGTCGGTTTTAATGACTCACTCTAAATTAATATCGTATTATGATATATAATAAATTGTATATGTAATGTAATTATTATCTGAAGTGGGTGATTTTCCAGGCTTTGAAATATGGCTGTAAATAAAAGCCATTATTATTATTATTATTATTATTATTATTATATTGATATATATATATTTTTTTTTTTTTTTTAAAGTGCTTGGGGAAAAAATTAATTAAGAGGTGGTGCAGTGAACACATCGGCCTTAAGGTAAAAAAAAGTTGTAAGAACCTATTAGAATTGTACAAAGGGGCCGGCACGAGGCAGCTGAAGAGTGACTGACTGTTATGTCCATACCTCTGAGCACCAGGCTCCAGAGTCACATTAGCATAATGCAACATTAACATCTTACAGCTCACACAACAGAGTCTGTAACTACGTTTACTGTCTAAGACTTGCGTGATACAGTTGTTCCAACGGTAGGTGTGAACGGAAATGGCATCATAAAGAGTTGGATTAGAAATGAGCAGTGGTTACTGTGCTTGGGTGATCATTTCTTTACGAGTTGCGAGTTTTGTGTCAGAGTGGGAGAGGTGACTCACACATGTCTACAGCAGGGCTGCACAGGAAGGTTGGAAAACATTTCACAATAGTGACATTTGAAGGTTGCTTATCTCTCTCTCTCTCTTTCTTTCTCTCTTTCTCTCTCTCTCTCTCTCTCTCTCTCTCTCTTCCTTCATGTTTCTGTCTCTAACCACTGCGTTTGGTTCACAGCCTAGTGGGAAATTGTCAATTCTGCATTTTCATGTTCCTCCATGAGGAGGGATAACCCCCGTGTGGCACCTGAAAGTAAACCACTTGGTGTCATGGATTACACCCCACATCATGTAGACATTAAACAACCTGAATGAAAGCACATCTTTTCAGAAGTTGTTAAAGCAGTGAGGGGTGGGAGGGTGTTCTCCTCTGGTTATTGTCCCTAACCATGTGAAGGGAAAAACACCTGTATTTACAAAGAAAGTCAATGAAAAATCCTTGGTGCTTGTCACTAGGGTTTGCTCTGACAGTTTCCCCTTAATTATGTTTGCCTGATGAACTGATGAAGAACCGTCTATGTTTCTGTTTTAGACCCAGTGCCAGGAACTGAGGAAACGCAAGAACCTGGAGCTCCAGATCTTGTCAGAACCAGTGCGAGGCTGGGAGGGAGACAGCATGAAGAGCCTGGGTCATGTCGCGTACATGTCCCAGGTCCATGTGAGAAATGGGTCCAGTGAGGTGAGAGCGACGTCAGGGTTAGGGTGGACCAGGTCGTGTGTTCAGTGTTGATCAGGAAAAGGTTTGGTTTTAGCGAAGGACTTGAAGTTCTCTCCTAAAAACACTGTGATGGTTACTTTTCAAGTGAATCTATTTCAGTGTTTTAATATTTCATGTGAACACATCATGCAGGTAAAACAACAAAACAACATCCCATTATTGAACTCTGAACTTCACAGTGAGAGAAATATATCCAGTGTGTTTCTAAGCCCCTCCACTCCATAAACGGTGTTAAACCCACCTTCCTTTGTCACTAAATGTAAAGTGTCAAAACAGGAATCGATGTAGGGGTAGACCGAAAACGACCTTGTTTTCATGTGGTTTCTCGTTTGGGGGGAGATCTAATTTGATGGTGGGAAGGAAGCTCTGTACTAAAAATTGTTTTCACCTCCTTTAATCTCTGCTGCACACATTCCAACCGCGTAACCGGTCACCATGTATTTAGAAATGAATGTTATAAACTGCGACTCATCTTCATTTTCCATTCATACGATAAGTAGTAGCGGCTGGAGTCGTGAAACTGTACCACAAACACACAGGGTTGTTGACCTGATGGACAGGGCCTTCCACACGTCTTTGTTTACAGCAGGATGTTTGTGTTTCATTCTTGTTTGTTCGTCACAGGAGAAGGAGGAACGCTATCTGATGCTTTTTCCTAACGTGCTGGTGATGCTCTCCGCCAGCCCTCGCATGAGTGGTTTTATTTACCAGGTAAGCACTACTAGTGCAGTCAAATGTGCTGATACGACCATCATCCCACAGAGGAGTCTGGACGCTCACTAATAGACTGAATATCTGCAGCGTGACACCAGCCGAAGGGACAAAGAAAATTCTAACAGTGTTTTTGTTGACAAATTATTCCTTTTTTAAATCCCTTTACACGGCCAATCTTTGTAAATACACCATTTGTTTGCAGTATTATTTGTGTTATTCCTGCCACATTTGTTAAAGACTTGAGCCGCACAGCAGTCAGGCAGCATACGTCCTTTTCTTCTTCTACTGCTCTTTAACAATGTTGTTAAATGTTTAACAATGTTTTCTGTTTGGTTTTTTTTCCCATAGCACTACGCTACCCTTTTTACATGTGAATTCTCCTGTTGTGGGACGAAAAAAGGACTTGGCTTCCTTAGCTAAACGACTGATTGTTCATTGTCCATTTAGGGGCGACTGCCTTTGACGGGCACAACTGTAACGCGACACGCTGAGGATGCAGACAGCTCTCACTTTGCCTTCGAGATTACAGGTTTGAATTACAGCTCGAGACTTGTCTTGCCCAGTTGTTTTAGAGGTGTTGACTATTTATCCCGCATACCGAAACAAGTTACCCAACGTATCTGTCATCTCTCCGACTCATGTGAACTCGCGCTGTCACTGGGGAACAATGAATACCAAAAGTATGAATTGTCTGCGTGTGTCTCTGACTTGTGCAGGTAGCATGATCGATCGTATCACAGTGCTGTGCAGTACTCCTCATGACCTACAGGAGTGGCTGGAGCATCTTCAGCCCTTCACCAAAGGAGGCAGCCCAGCAGGAACCATTTCAAAGGTTAGAATAAATGCACACACACACACGCACACACACACACACACACACGAAACCACCAGAACACTCTGAAGTCAAACCAGCAACCATCTCTCCGCCCTGAAGTGTTAAAACATCTTAACACCTTCTGGCTGTGCCGTCATACATCACTGCACATACACTTGCCCTTGTTCTTCTTTTATTTACCATCACCGCTGTCTGTATTTCAGACTGCTGAGGGAAAGCCATTGAGCATGGTCAGTACCTCCACGCACCTGTCTCACCTTGGCAGCCTCAGTGCCGTGAGTCGGGGCCCCCTGGAGCCCCCGAAGATCAACAAACCCTGGTCTCTCAGCTGCCTTCGCCCCGCGCCCCCCCTTAAACCCTCCGCTGCACTACGCTACAAAGAGGTAGGCGGATGCAGTGCTGCACAAACAAACCCACAGGCTTGATCTGCATCTCTGGCAAGCTGTATGAAGAAAATGTTTGCTGAAAAAACCACAAGTCTCACTGCTCTACAAGAACCGCCGTGTGTCCCTGGGTCTGTAGGTTCAGACCTTTTACCCTTTGCTTCACACGGCCGTGTCTAACACAGGGTCCGGTCTCTGTCTCTTTACACCTTTTTAGTAGAATTCTGTAGATGACATGTTTATCATTTTTGAAACTTTTAAAGGGAAGTTTGTGAACTAACTAAACTCAGCTCGATATTTAACTCACTTACGTTGACCTAAAATGTGTGGTTTAGTCTTTAGGAGTGCTGCACAGGTCTTAAGAAATACAGTGAGGGTATAATTATGGGTTAAGAGTTTATTAAAACAAACTCAACTTCTCTACAAATGTAGAGGACATCAGCTTCCTCACACCCTTCTGTCTCTTCGTGTAGTTCAAGACAGCTGTAAATGACGTCTGGAGAGAATGTTCCGTGGTCCAATAATGTCCATTTGTCCAGTATTCTTTGACTCCCTGGAGACCCTGTCATCTTTACAGGCAGAGGCCTCGACGCAGTAATACTACCCGTGTCTCAGTGTTGCTGACTGTCTTCAACTTCCACTAGTTTGGTTTTTCCTGTTCCGTAGCTGTTTCTGTTTGACTTGTCACCTTAGTTTCAAGCAAATGATCATTTTTATCCTGCGTCAGCGTTTTGTGGTTGGTCAGTCGTACACCGGACTGTAAACCTGTAAGAATTCACCGTCTGCTAGTTTATGTACAACAGTTGATGGTGATGTGAAGGACAGGGGTTAGTCAATAAATAATAATAAAGTACAGATTTATTCATCATATATATATATATATATATATATTTTTTTTTTTTTAATTTAACTTTACAGCATTTTTAAACATCTATATAACACACTTAAAAACATGAATATATATTGTGCAGAATTCAATATTTGATGCACGGCTGCTAATCACTACAAGCAATATTTTACACTATAGTAAAATGGAATAACCTCTGACTGTGAGGAGGAAACCAGCTTTTATTCTGTGACATTAGATATACAGTGGTCCCTCGTCTATCTCGGGGTTTATGTTCCTAGACTAGAGATTGCGTCTCTACTTCTCGGTTTTTCGGTTTTTATTAAATTTTTTTTTTTTACTGTTTTTTTATTCTTCTTAGGCTGAAAATGCCTAATTTATTACCAAAATAATGAGAAGATTGGATATTTAAAAATTGTATTTACCGCAAAAACCCATGAAGGAGAAAAAAACCGCAATACAAGAGTACATTAAAAACCCACGATGCACTGAGGGCGCGACAGCCGAACCGCGATACACCGAGGGACGACTGTAGTCTCATTTGAACGGTTCTAACGTCCTTATTTCCCTCCATCACCATTTTTTTCTTAGCCTGTTCTAATCAGATCTAATCTGTGTTCAGTTGACCACCGAGCTGTGAAAATGTTCATCATAACTCCGTCGCATTCTTCTCTCATTATATTTTTCACGCACATTTCCCCTTGTCTCTCTTTCTCCATCTTGCCTTCTGTAGAGGATGTCTTATATCATGAAGGTAAGGGTAGATCTTACTCTCACTCTCTCTCTGTGTGTGTGTGTGTGTGTGTGTGTGTGTGTGTGTTTGTGTGCAGCCTGCCGGTTTGTGACTGCTCTTTTTTCACCCCTCTATCATTGTCATCTGTTGGTTTCCTGTTTTTTCAGTAGCACTGAGTGTCTGCAATCCTTTCTCTCCAACTGCAAGTCGAAGAACCACACACCCCAAAAAGATCTCATGCAAAAGACTGCAATTTCTACTACAGCGTCTATTTTTAGAAATGCAAACACTCATTCAGCCCTGAGTCTGTTGACACGTTTGAATAAGATGCACAGACTCCAGTCAAAGGCCTCATGATGTCAGAGAACACTGCTGAAAAACTGAACAGAACATTTTATCACACGTGGTAAAGACAGGAGTCCATCGTTATCAGATGGCCTACGAACAAAGACGTTTTCTTCGTGAAGTATCTTGTGGTTTGTTGGTTTTTTTCACTGGAAATTCAACCCAAAGTGACATAAATATCCTTGCTCGTGTTTTTGACGGTGAAGAGGCGTAAGTGTGACACTAGATTTCCTCCAGCACACCTCCCTGCTTCCACTCTCCGTGTTTCTCCACCCTCTCGAGAGATTATTTTTAAACAAATGAATACGGAGGAAGCCTCTGTAAAAGCTGAACCGATGTTCAAAGCTCTGCAGACACAGTCACAGATTCTGACTGATTTATCTGACATGTCCTACCTGTTTTCCACTGCTGTCTGCCTTAAGCTTCTACTTTTAAGATTAAGAGCACGAGTCAAACAACATACTTTGAGGTTTTTATGCAAAAACAACACACGTATACTGCAAATCCCCTCAGCCGTTGATTATTTAGGTTGCAGCCTGCCTTGTGGTCGCAGCTTTATCGACGCTGCGTCTCATGCTTTTCGACCACTGTTTTCACCCAGTCAGTGTCACATACACATCTGAACAACAGCACGGGTGAAGGAAGATTGATCTGTAGGGTTAGTTTTATGGACTCCACAGATACGAGTTGAATCCGTTCCACAACAGCACTCGTGTCTCCATCCACTCGTCTCTAGATCAAATTTTCCCCATTACAAATAACTGAAAACCAATTCATTCGTTCCAGCCCCAGCTAAACATCAAAAACATAGATATAAACAAACATATTGACAATATACAATGATAATAATTAAGAAAACATTTTATGTTATATAAAAGGAGCTCCGCTGAGCCCTTCCAACTACATATTTTCTCATATCATGAGCAAAATCTTGCAATAGTTGTAGACTCGTAACATGGAATATTTCAGGGAAGCTCATATTTAGGTGTCCCCTGTGTTATTATTATTATTATTATAGTTTTGATAAAACACATTTATCTTTTCTTTAGTTGATTTAAACAGCTTTGTGGCTTAATAAATGACAGATATTCTTCTTTTGACCTTTCACGTTGCCTCCGACCCGACACATTTCTTTCTCATGCTCAACAAATCAGGTCTATGACAAAATGAAACATTTCAAATGTTTTGACAGTCCTATTTTTGTTGATGTTTGTAATAACTGTGTCTGGATTCATGTTAGTGCTGACCATCGTCATCACCACCTGCTAAATGCCCTGTTTGTTTGTTGTGTTCCTTAATGGTTGTTGACTTAAGGATTTGCATCTCTTTGAGCTTGCCTCTGTGTCTGTTTTGGAGTGTCGCCTGGACAGGTGTGTGTACCTGTGTGTGTCTGTGTGTGTGTGTGTGTGTGTGTGTGTGCTTTCCTGTGGTTTCTAGAACACCAAGTTTACTTAATGTAATGTTACACTTGTTCAGGACTCCAGCAAGAGCCCGCGACCCATGAAGAAATTTCTGCCAGGCAACAGGAAGAAGGAGCGAAAGCCGTCTGACGATGAGGTTCAAATCAGGAAAAGTAGGTGTTTGGATTTTTATTATTATTATTTATTTATTGCCTATTAAAATAACAAAATGACAAGATACTTTAAAAAAAAAACATTGTGAGAAATTGACACTGGCTTCAGGTCAGTGGTGAGAAATATGGACCATGATGCTTGGAGGGTGGCAGAGAAAGTTAGACCTGTTTGAATACTTCTTAATAAGTTAAAGGTTGCAACGAGCAGACGCTTGAGTAATTTTTTTTTCTTTTTTTGCCTCAGTGTTCATGCTTCTCAGAACACTCAGACTCTGAGTGATTCCTTTTTCCACTTCACAGTGAAGGGCACAGAGCTGATTGTCATGACTTAACATCTTAATCACAGAGCAGGTGCAGTAGCAGGAGCAAACTCTTAAATCAGGGTTTTTCAAAGCCTAACCTTGTGGGCCTTACTCAGGAGGAAAAAAACACCTCCAACCCACACACAGCCCACACACGTACACGTACACTTTCATTGTGTGGGATACTACGAAGCAGGTCTAACACATTTGCTGACACATTTGTTTAAAAACAAAAGCAAAATTGTTGTCTGCAAAACAAAAGCTCTATCACAGTGTCATACTTATATTATATTACAATATATATTAAATATTATAAGTGTCATACTTGCACTTTTTTTTTACTTTAAATCTCCTCAGTGTTAACAGTATCACTGAATGTAATGGATGTTGTGCAGTAAAAATAATAAAAGAAAACAGCTGATCCCACTGATCCCACAGTTTTTTCCCAAACTTACGGTTTGTGCTTGAACACAACACCTGTCTTTCTGGTTCCTCCTTTCCTCACAATTTCTACGTTGTATGTTAGTGTGAATGTTTGTGTGAATGGCTGTTTCTCCCCGTGTGGTCGTCTGATGGATGTTAAATTCTTGGTTTAATCCTCAGGCACCGTGGCTCTGGAGGAGGACGCTCAGATCCTGAGGGTGATCGAGGCGTACTGCACAGGAGCCAGTCTTCACCAGACCACCACAGGTGAGTCAGGTGTTCTCACATAACACCTCCAGGATTCCTTTAAACTTGGTAAACATTTGTGTGTGTGTGTGTGGCAGCTGTACGGGAAGAGTGGGTGGCTCAGGTGCTTCTGCCAGAGGAAGAGAAAATCATCGTGGAGGAGATGAAGAGCAACGGGCAAACTGTCATCGAGGAGAAGTGAGCATCAAAGTCGAATTCTTACTCGGTGTCACTCAGGATCAATGTTGTGCACACCTAAACTGCTCTCTCTGTTTGTTTTCCTCAGGAGCCTGGTCGACGCAGTGTACGCTCTAAAGGACGAGGTTCACGAACTGAAAAAGGTGCAGAACGCGTTTAGAACGTCCTGAACGTTTCTGCTGCGCTGCATTAAACTGCTGTGTGTGAAGATCAGGAGTAAATACATGTGTCTAATATATTTAATAGATATATATTTATATACAGACGAGGTGTGTGATCCTTGTTGGGCCACAGGTTTCGTCCAGGTCGCTTCGCCAAAAGTGAGTGAGGCGTCACTGATTGGTCCAGAGAATCTCCTCGCTTCTTCTTCTTCTTTGTATGTGCTCGGGCCCCTAGAATTGATTGTAGAAGAGGAAGAATAAGAAACAACATCATCCTCAGTGCTCAGATAAAATCTTCAATGACAACACGAAGAGTTCTTGGTGTATCTCCATATATAGACACAGAAATGCAGAACAACCGGCTTAGTGTGTGGACTCCAAGGGTCACTACCCTGATGTATATTCACACAGTTTTATGCAGTAGTTCATGTTATACTTCCTGGACTGAGTCTTGTCGTGGCATGTGTTTGTGACACGGTTCAAATGTCTTACAGGAAAACAAGTGGATAAAACAGTTCCTGGAGGAGGAGCAAAAGTCTCGCAAAGAGCTGGAGAGGTTGGTCCGAAAACTGGCCAAACAGAAGAACGACTGTACCTGGGAGGACAGCAGCCACTGAACACACCCTCACTGCGCTGTGCCTGTGCGTGTGTGTTTGACACGTTCGTCGTACCAGCGGCCTCACTGCGCTGTGCCTGAGCGTGTGTGTTTGACACGTTCGTCGTACGTATGCATCGCTGCAGCAGTGAGACAGAGAGGGGTTGTGTGTTTAGGAATCCTAAAGATGTGCATATTTGTCCGTGCTGTGCCTGCGTATTTGAGGGGTAGGAATGTCCTCTGACAGTGACACTTGGACTTGTCTCGGCTCTAGATCCTGGAGATTATTTTGACATTAAGATAAAATATGTCTTCCTTTTCACAGAGATGCCTCAGCAGCTTATCTAAAGGTAGACTAGTAAAATGGGATGTTTCGACAAAATCCTGTCTCTAGGACACTTACTGTGAACACTCCTTAGCGAACAGGGTTGGACGAGGCCAAGGCGAGGTTGTCTACTGCTTCCTTCTTCACTCGGTAGTCGAGTACAAAGCCATTCAGTTCAACTTTTTGCATGCACTTCTGTTAACACAGGTTTTCTTCTTCACGTGAACGATTGTTTGTGACTTTTATATTTGACCCTGTTGAAAGTTAGGAACATTTGTTTATTAAGGAATGTGTTCAAAGAAGAAGTGTGTGTGTGTGAGGTGAGGCTTGATTAATGTCAGCAGGAGAAAAAAAAGAAAAACACCAAGACCAAAAGTTGTTCTACTTTGAGGAACAGTGCCAGGGAGTTAGGGAGAAAATGGAGCGACGTTTAGACCCTGCTTTTCTTCTCTGAACATGCTCAAAATATCACGACAAGTGCAGTTCAACATGACTCCTGTTTTTAAGAAGATAATCCTCTGGGTGTTGGGTAGCTCTTCAGCTATTGAGATAAAGAGAAATACACCTTTTGTTGGTTTTAGTAAAATCACTTGTTGGATTCTGACACGACGCCCTTTTAATATTTACCTGAGAAAAAACCATGGATCCTGGACAAGATGGCCGCACACATTCCTGTGTTAGTACGTGCAGAAAATTGTGTAGTGAAGTGAAAAATCGGTTTTCTTGTCAGAGCCTGGAGAAAACAAAACTGACTGAAGCAGTGGTTTGTGGTCGGCGATACAAACACCATTTCCTACGGTTCTTTCATAATAATTGGTCTATTTTACACATAAATGTCTCATGAGGGACGGCACTTGCATTCATATTTTGAGCATGTTTTGATGGAAAAAGCACAGTTGAAAGGATTTCTCCCACAGGTTTAGAAATGGAACTTTTTGAACATTCACCAGCTACCAGACTGACTTCAGGTTGAATCACCATTGGCGATCTTTTTGCAAAATGCATGAATGTACAGTTTGTTTGTTTGTTTGTTTTTTAAATTCTCTAAAGGAATAAATATATTCACATTTCTAGTCTAATGCTATCAGGGATTTAGCTGCAATATTAAATAAGAGATCACATCATGTACAAAATCACCCCAATAACGACATGTCTCATCTGTAGTGGTCTTACTAAAATATATTCAAGTAGAATTTTGCCATATAACTTGCATAGCCTGGCTTTTTAAATATATATTTTATTTATTGTTCATCTAAGCATTTAACTCTGATGTGAGTTTTGTTGTTTGACTGAGGTCTATCCGCTTCAGTCTTTTTTTTCTTTTTTTTCTTCTTTTTTTTATTAAAACTCACTGCTGTGTACAGGCATGAAAAGTCCCTGCATTGGCAAAGGGGACAAGGAGACTTAAATATTAAGTCAGATTTGACAGTGGAGACGTGTTCTGTCTGTAGTGTCTCCACAGGTCTGTGCAGAATTGATTGAGACAAACTGAGGACATGTTTTTGTGGGTTTGGACTGTATCTGTAGTTTAAGTGCCTCCGAAAGGAGTGGAAAAAGACGAGAGCAAGAGAGAGAGTTTAAAATAATGGTATAGAAGAAAGAGTCGGAAAATTGATTGTTTTATATATATATATATAAATATATATATATATATATATTTATATATATATATATATATATAAATATATATATATATATTTATATATATATATATATATATAAATATATATATATTGAAGCGGCAGCCATGTTATGGGGGTCCTCACAAACTATGCAGAGGTGCAGCCTGTTGCAGCAGTCCTTGCAGGGACCCACCGCTGTACATTTCACTCTGTGTCGCGCTGCAGAGCAGCATCGCTGTTAAAATGCAATAATTACTGCTTGGTAGCAGGTCACGTATGGACTAATGGCAATAATTATAAAAATGACCCCGTTACCAAAAAGTCTCCACACCCTGCAGTTAGGTTTGTTCTGTTGCCGTATGGAAACTGTAATTATTTTCTCATCACAGCTTCACTGTTGAGTCCGTCAGTTGTCGACAACATGCTGCAGTTTCCAATTCCCAGCTGACTCATTGAGCACTTAAAGGTGGGAAGAGTCTGGTTTGTGGTTTGATCATGTCGTTGAAATCAAGTCTCCAGACTTTTTTGTGTGTTTGTGTTGTTTTTGTTTTTTGAACAGTTCTATGCAATTATTGTTGCTGCAAGTATTGTAATGCTTTTTTTTCTAAACACTCTGCTTTACGTTTGATATGTTTACCTTTTTATTAAAAAAAATAATAATACCAGAGTTTTTAAGTACCCGGTTTTGCCGCTTTTCATTTTGTGAAAATTCAGGGAGAGAAAATCTAAACCACCAGCCAGTCACTCCAGCAGCACGTTGTCTCATCCATTGTGAATTATTCATCGTGGAAAACTCCACAGGTCGGGCTTTTCCATGCAGCTCTCACAAACTGCGCTTCAGGATTTTGTAAGTTGTTCACATTCAGTTGCATAAAAGTTGTTACAGGATGGAAGCAGTGACTAGAATAGATGACATCCTGTGAGAATGCGTCGCCTCTGCATCGACACGCAGCTCCATCCGTGATCACAGTTTCCATGCTCGTCTGCTCGCTGCTTCTAAGTATTATGTTTTCTTTTTTAACTTGCACTTGTTGCGTTTATAGAAGAATGAGACGAGAGTGAAACTTTCTATATTTACACAGCATTTACCAAATCATGTTTGTCACAATGCAGGTCAGTCTGAGTCTGAAATATGGGACACATCGCAACCACAAAATATGAATAAAAAAAACAACAAAACATTTAATAAAAAAAATAAATATAATATCTTGATTTTCTGAACTGTGACCCAACAGTGATGATGATGATTAGTGAAATTCAACAGGTGAAATTAATATCAGATACGCCAGATCTGTGTTTCTAACTATAACTGTAACAAACTTTCAGTAAAATGTGAATAAAAAAATCGTCATGGTTTTTGACTAAATTGATTTACCTAAAAGTTAATGGTTTCTGTTGTAATTTCATTGTTGTGTTTTGTAAATATACAATTTAAATTCTGTTGAAATCCAAAGAAAAGTATGCAGCGATGTAAAATACTGGTGAACTCAACTCCCCTGTAGGGGGTGCTGTAAACAAAGTTGTGTTGTTAATAAGTAAATTTAAATATTTAAAGAGTATCTAACTAGACCACCACGAACTTGTGTTGAAATCCAATAGTAAATTGTTTGTCTTTTGCTGCATGTCCCAATATTAACATCAAAGTAATGTAACGGCATAACTGTCAATTGTTTACTGACAAATATGTGTAACTGGGAACATCAGATAGTCAAATACACATACATATACAAATACAAATACATTAGTCCGACCGTCTAAAGTGGTGACCTACATCAGGCGTGGTCCCGTTTCTTGTGGCTTCACCTCATGAGAATCTGCTTCTTTGCAGTGTGGTTTTTTGTGACATAGATTGAAGAAAACCACAGTGGAAGCAGCTGAGTGAATAGACAAGATGAAGGCTACTTCACATGAAAGATCGCGAAAGGTTACGTTCTAGGTAGACCTCCGAGCAAAGGTCCTGCTTCTGGCGTCTTCTCAGTAAATCTCATCACACACTCACCACTCACCACTTCACAACATTAGTCATTATATATATATACTGTATATATATATATATATATACATATATATACACAATATATATAGTGCAGCTTCCTGTCTACAAACCAACAGTCCTGTTCCTGGTCAGGTCTCTGGTGGACCTCATGTTCAAGTCTCATTAACTAGACCAGGGGTGTCAAACTCATTTTCACCGGGTGCCACATCATCAATAGATGTCCCCTTGAAGGACCGGTTGTAAATGGAAGATTGTATACATCAAGGGTCCCTAACCCCTGGTTTGCGGACCAGTACCAGTCCAAATGTCATTTGGTACCAGGCCGCAGTGGGACACAATGGAAAAAATGTACTTCATTTTTACTAATTTACTTTATTAAAAGAAAATCCAGTCATATCCATTTACTTTTTTTATTTAAAGATAATCTGGCAATATTTTAAAATAATAGGTCATTCAGACTCTGATACAAACAGAATAAAGTCTAAAAGATGTTTTATTTTGAAAATGTAATGATCCTTCAATGCTCAGAACCTTGGTATTGGTCTGTAGTAACAGATTAAAACAAAAAAGGTTGAGGACCACTGGTATGGATGTAACTACTCTGTAACAAACTAATACATGTTTCTGCAATTGATTATTATTTGATTGATTATAAAAATGTTTAATTTCATCTAAATGCTTTTTAAACTCCCACAGGCCACTGAAAACGGCTTGGCGGGCCACATTTGGCCCCTGGGCCTTGAGTTTGACACATATGAACTAGTTTCGCTAGTTCATATGTGGCTGTAGAGTTTACTTTTTTGACTTACAAAATTCAATGTTTTCTAATCATAATCCCTGAATCATTATCCAGAAAGAACACATTTTCTCTTGTTAACTGAACTTCATGGTGTTCTTGATAAAACTCTTACTCCAAATGTAAGAATTCAAGAATATAAGATAAAACTCTTAAACATTAAATTTTTGATTTGGTGACTTTGTACATTTAAAATAATCTCTCGCTTTTACTCTTAGCTGAAGCAGATGATCTTGGCTCTGCTGGAGATTTCTTCATGTTTAAAAAAGAAAAAAAATTCTCCCCAATATCGCCAATGTGCTTTTACAATAATTATATATATATATATAGTCGACTTTGTCTTGTTAAATTAATATCAATATACTATTTACAACTTGTAGATTTTTTGTAGATTCTAATTTTGTTTTTATTTTCATATCAAAGCTAAAATGCTTTTTTTTTACTCAACAAATAAGACATGACTGAGCTTTAATAGTATTGTGATCAAAGTTTTATTACACTGCTGTTTCAGAAATGATGTGTCGAAAAAAAGATGGTGTTTTTTAATAACAAGTTTGAACATAGTTTAAAGAAACAAAAAAACATTAGGGTTGACCACAGAATCTTTTTTTTTTTTTTTGTCATTATAACATCTGCGTCTCATTCATCTCCGATGAAGCTTCCACCTTTTTGGCTTGTAGTCCGGAGCAGGGTACACTCCAACAAACACTCATAATTTCATACCTCTGGTGGATTTGGACTGGGTAGAGTATCTGGAAAACCCTAACACTCATCAGCCGAACATCAAAGCTGCAGACACCATCAGTTTCCAATGGGGACTAAGTGATGAGTTTCCTTCTGTAAGGCAGGAGCGCTAACCACTTTCCTCATCGTGGTTAATCTCAATGAATGAAATTAGAAAGGAACAGATGAGAAGACGCTGCTGGAATTAAATAATACAATGTATTTCACAGTCTCACCAGTCTCTACCCTTAGATTAATAAATACACAGGGGTTCTTCACCATACTGTCAGACAAACAAAAAAAACAATGGCATGTATTTGAATAAATTATAGTTGGTTATTGGCGTCTTTGTCTCCAGTATCCACAAAGAAGGAGACAGACGCATGTCTTTCTCCACAGTCACGTTATTTCCATAACCATCCTTCAAAGAAGTTCAGGTCCAAGCGCTCGCTCCTACAGCTTGTATATCCCAAAAGCGGTGACATTTTCATCGTAGTCCACCAGCGACAGCTTTTCCACCCAGACACTGAGCTGGTTTCCCTCCTCCAGCTTGACCACATCCACCTGCGTGACCGTGCATATGTCGGGTATGGACGCTTTCTCCGTCGGGCTCTCCAGGTTGCAGTAGCCCTGCATCAGGACCTTCTCCTTCGCCGTCTTGTCCTTTCTCAACACGACCCTGCTGACCTGAGGAAGCACTGAGTCTCCCCTGGAGAAGGTCACTCTGGAGTAGACCAAGTAGTCGCCAGGCTCCAGCACAGTCAACCAGCTCTTCTCATAGTAGTTGATTCTCACACGATCTGAGTGACCCATGGCCCACTGGAGATAACCAGCTGAAATAATAATAAAAATAAGAGTTTTCATTGAGAATACTATTTTTTAAGACCCTCGTCTTGTCCTTTTGGGTCTACGTAGGTGACCCGGTGGACAACTTTTCCACGTACTCTGATTCTGGGACAAGATGCTAACCCGTTGTGAGGACACTGGGTGCGTACAAAATGCGAAGGACAACAGGAAGGTTAAATTTCTTTTTTTTTTCACCAACATGCATATATTTTAAGTGTAAATTTGACTTACATTGAAGTACTCCAGCAGTACTGCGGGTGACCACCATCCTCGCCCAAGCCTTATAATAGGTTTCCTGTTTTTCTGATGACTGGAAAGCCACTGGAAAAAAGAACAAGAGAAGTGTCAGACATATTTTTGATTTTTTTTTTACTTTTATTCAAACTAACCTTAGGCAGAAATAAGTAAATACTGATCTACCTTTTCCTGCAGCTGCTGGAGATCGCTCCTGTAGGAGAGAATCAAAAGATGCGATGTTAGATCTAAACAAGGTGAACACAGGTTCTCTCTGATCTAATCCTCATTCTTCTTTACTGTGTGACGAACCACAGCGCAGCTCGTGTCACATTTCCCGTGCTTTCTCATGAACATTTCCTGTGCTTCAGACTTTTCTCAGAATTGGAGAAAATTTCATTTTTTTATTAAATTAAACCAAATAAAACTTGGGTCGTCGGTAGGTAATGTAATTAACAATTGTCATTTTCGGTTGTCAAATATTTTGAATAATAATTCAGGGAGAGGAATTTAAATGTAAAATGTGTTTTTTAAATAAATCTACAGTACTGAAGACTTTGTAAAAAAAACAAAACAAAACAAAACAGAAATACTGTTGAATTTGAGACATTTGTTTTACCATGTTAATGTGGTACAGATAGACGAATCCTCCGGCAGAGAGCACTAGATGCAGCACCACTATCCCGAGCAGGAACCGGAGGAGAGGCTTGCTGTGGCCTGGTGATGGAAGTCCTGCTGGGATGAGGACCGGGTGGGACCTGTTGAGGCGAGGAGGCACCGGCGGTGGAGCCAGGCTGGTCTGGTAAGTGTTGATCATGGTAGAGAGTAGAGGTAGAGTCCAAAGCTGCCTGGTGTTGGTAACATCTCCTGCACGTCTGATCTGCTGCCCGCTCAAGCAACTGACTTTTACTGCTACGACTTCCTGGAACCTCTGAAGTCTTCATTGAGTTATTACACAAAGTGACGTGACCTTTGCTCACTTCATATGGTTTCGTGTGCGTGCGTGTGTGTAAAACACCTTGTTGCTTTTTTTTCTCTCTTCCTTTCTCTTACATGGTTGTCATGTGACCCTGTATGAAATAGCATGAGATAATTTGGTCCTAAAATATACCACCAGTGTGAGTGCAGTCGTACTACTACTACCAACAAATCTTCTACAGTTTGTCGTCGTCAGGACTTTACAAAAACCATTTAGTCCAAACAGTGTTTTCACCTTGTGCGTTTTACACTCAACACAATGAATGTGGAATAGACATTTTAAAAAAACTGATTAAGTTTAAATAAGAAATAAATAAACCTCACTTTTGTTTGTGTTGCTTTAATCGTAGCCAGTGTTGTATCCTTAGCAGCACTGGCCTATTTTTATCAACAGTTCTCACAAATGCTGAGGAACATCTTAGGGTGTGCTGAGTGACACCCTAAGGTGTGTCACACTCCATTTTACACCATTTGTATATTGTTTGTGTAATTTATTGAGATCCTCAACATTTGCCAGCCACCAAGCCTATTGTAGGTGCAGTTAGAAGAAAGAAGTAAAACCAGTTGTGGTTGCTGCTGTTTGGTTCATGTCACCATGATACAAATCACACCAACTGAGTGTCTCCCTTTTCATCAGGTCACTCTTCAATAAAAAAAAAAATAACACTGACACACGTCCAATTCCTCTGCACTAAATGCCTTGGAACGTCCTCTGTTGGAATGTTTCTAATAAGTGTCTCACACAGGACTGCTCACTTGCCTCCGCCTCCATAGTCTATAAAGAAGACGTATTCATACGCCGTCAGTCTTCTCAAGATGCATCACTTTGTGACTGGTGAGTCTTTTATAGTATTACTTTTGTTTAAATGAGGTCGATTGGACCAGAGTTCCAGAGCGGGACTGAAGTTAGACTAAATGTTTACAATGTAATATATAGTTGGTATAATTGAAATATAATAGTTAATAATAATTGAGACTGCAATCAACAAGACCATACACGGCAGCAATAGTTAGCTACTAATCTACTAATACTACTTACACCATCTATCCACTTCTATTAACCTACGAATCCAATCTACTAACATCCACTGTTCAGGTTTCCCATTTTCATTGGCAGTGTGCTGCTACTCCTGTTTGTATTTTATTGTATTTGACCTATTTGTGTGTTTTTACTGTTGTTTTGAATATCGAGATGATGTGCAAAGATCTGCAGGAACATCGACATCTTTTAACACACTCTTAAACTGATTAAACTTCATGCATCTTCTTCTGGGGGACGGTTGAATATAAATGTTGTCATTTATGTTTTGATTGTGGTAGTGTTGTAGTTGAGTTTTACTAATTCACACAAAGGTTAAAAAATATTTATAAAGAAATGTACAAAAAAAATCTCTCATTATTCTGTAGAAGTTCCTAGTGTTTTGATTAATTAAAGTTGATATACATTATGCCAATATTGTCCAAACCCATATAGGCCTGGTAATATTTATTTATTTATCTGTACAAACCACTGTTCAAGTATTAGATTTTTTAAATTAGCTTCAATGCTGCCATCTAGTGACCTTTGCATTAATATACAGCTGTTTATCCGCTATAAAACTATTTTGAGGTCACACGTCATTTGACATAACCCAGGCAGTGCCTTATCGGGTTTTCATTATCGGAGGAAAAACTCTTTGCGATGTTATCAAAGTTAACAAGAGTTATGATGCCCAACAGAGCATTTCCGAATTTCCATTTAATTTAATGTATTTAAAAACTGAATTGTAATTTTTTTTAAATGTTTTTTTAAATTAATTGTAATAATATTGTGTCCTTTTTTTGTTGTTTTAACAGTGAACAGGTTGACCTGGAAAAAATGCTTTTGTTTTGCCATTTTGGGATTAGTAATCCTCCTAATCTACCTCCTCTGTAACACAGTGAACAAAGGACGTCTCAGATTAAACAACCCAAAATGGGAAGATCCTGGACCATACCATGTGGCTTTTCCTCATAACTATCAGTTTATCATGGACATCACACCAGTTTGTAAGACCACTACACCCTTCCTGGTCCTGATGGTTCATGTGGGACCAGGTGATGTCGCAGCTCGAGATACCATTCGAAAGACATGGGGAAATGAGAAAAAGGTTCTGGGTCAGTTGGTGAGCACGGTGTTCATAGTGGGCCTAGCTGAAGGACCTGACGCTGATCACCAGCAGGAGAAACTGCGGGAGGAAAGTTATCAACACCACGACCTGATTCAGAGCGATTTTCTGGACACCAGCTACAATTCCACCATCAAGACTATGGTTATGATGAGGTGGCTCGTGGCACACTGCAGTGAGGCTTCCTACGTAATGAAGGTTGACCCAGATGTGTTTGTCCATGTCCACAATTTGGTCCAACTTCTGCTGGACCCTGGCACAGCCAAACAAAACTACATGACAGGTTTGGTTATACGACACAGGCCGGTTTTAAGAAACCCATACCTGAAACTTTACATGCCCAGAGAGGTGATCCCTGAGCCGGAGTATCCTGCCTATCCTATGAACATGGCCTACATCATGTCTCTGGATTTAGCTGAGAAGATTCTCAGTGTGCCCAGTAGGATAAAGCCCATACACATCACTGATGTCTACTTGGGTATGTGTCTAAAAGACCTGGACATTTCTCTTTCGGATCCAACCAAGCCCACTATGTTTTTAATGGAGCCCATTTATCAACTGAGCAACTGCCGGCTGTTAGAGGTCATCGCAGCGAGGACGATGGGAATTTCACTAATGACGAGTTTATGGGAAAGAAGCAGAGACCAGGACACCAGATGTTGAACTTTAATCTTTGCTTTACCTGCAGTAACAGCAAAAAGGTTGTGACATTTATGTGATCGGCCACAATCAAAAATTATATATATATATTTTTTTTTTAAGTGGTTCTCAAACTATGGTACATATTTACATTTAAATCTTTTTCTGACGTCAGACAAAATGTTTTTCACAAAAACAGGTGTTACCTTAAGACGTTCAATCAGCTGTAAATGTCACCTCCGCTTGTAAAAATGAGACAATAAATTCTGCAATTGTTAAAAAAAAAGTTGCCTCAATTTAAGGGAGTTAAAGATGGCAACAGAGGTTGAGTGTGGAGTTAAAACTGTGGTCAATATTTAAATTTGTTCTTTTTTTCTTAAAGGCAGTCTTTTCTGTATCTACTCTAACTAGAGCGCCTACTATTAACGACTGTTGAGCATTTATCAACAGAAGCACAACTCAAGTCTGTTGGTTTCCACTGCACCTGTTCAACCTGAAGTACATCATACTTTGAAGAAAATATTTTCCTTGAAAAGCACTGACTTCAGCCTCAGGTCGGAGCTGCCAGGCAGTAAACCCAAGGGAATGTTGACTGACTATAGGACGACTTCACAGGCAGCTGTCCCTGTATTCTACACGCCAATGTTAAGATGCACAGTGATGACCAAAATCCACCGACTCTATGAGGCTAAATGTCGTATGTTCTTGTTGTTAACATTTCTCATTAATAATAATTCCAACATTTGGATGAGTCACACGGTCTTTCTGCTCCAGCAATTTACAGGAAAAAGGTCATAGTAATATAATCCACAGCCGTTGTGCTTGTTACCACTGTCAGTGACATCGGGTTAAAAACAAAGCTCTCCAGACCTTTACATATTTTGAGCATTACAACACAGAAATCCAGTGCAAGGCAGGTAAGACTGGATGTGCTTGTTTATGGGGAGGGTGTGGAGGGTTAGGGGCTGGGGGGTTCACCTGTAGAAAACAGGGATTAAGACAAGACAATGGATAGACAGCAGGTCTACTGTTGTTACGGTGGCTCAGGTTGTCCTTGTTTTGTTTTGTAGCTTTTGAACTTCCCTTGACGTCTTTCACAAGTTTGCCATTAAATCTTCATCAAACTGAATGGACGGACTGCTCCTTCTTCTGCCATATCAAATGTTCCTTGCCTTTTCTGGAGGGAGGCAAAATCCAGGTGGTGGGAACAACTGTTTGGTGAGTCAAAGTCTTCTGTCTCCTTAAGATCAGACGTGTTCTGTTTGTGCACTGTGTTAAACCAAGCTGCTCGTCATCTTTAGGACGTCTAGCTGAAGACAGGACAACAAAGTAAACTGAAAAGAAATGTCACAGCCGTCAGTTCATCGTTGGTGATCGTCCTGTGATTAAAGCCAATCTTTCTGACAACACAGATAAACATTTGTGCGTGAGGTGATGGATGTCAACTGGGGTTCTTGGATGCTGCGGGCTCTGAGGACATGCCTGAAAAAAAGTCTGTTTCTTTCCATCACACTTTCAGTCCTGACCTGCCTGGTGATTTTTTATAACCTGTTGGGTCATGAGACAGAATTTCTACACAATTTAACGCTCCACCAGCGACTTGACAAGCCACCTTTGGCACCAACACCAACCACAGTTTCCAAAAATAATGATTCCATCGACGTTGAATTGTTGACAATGACGATCATCACAAAGCTGGAGTACGTGCCGAGAAAAGTGCCAGAAGAGAAGGAAGTAATGAAACTGGACCCTAATGTAAGTCTGATTGAGTTATTTAATTATTAGAAACCATTCAGAGCAGCTGTAGGTGGCGTTCCGGAACATATGTGGGCAGAGACTGAGAGAGTCTCAATCTGTGAATGGGTGTAGTAAGGCAACAATGAGTGGATGGACGGTGACATTATCTTCAACAGTAGTTCTATACATTGTGCTCTTTGTTTCTGTGGGTGATTTTATTGTCACTTTTCCCTGCAGTTGTTCTCAGTAATTCCACGTCACTATCTTCCACACATCAAGAGTCCCTGCTGGTATGAAGAGTTCTCGGCCAACCTCACTGTGAATCCATACAAGTGGAACCTTTTCCTTCTAATTCACCCATCCCTCAAAGATGTATTTCAAAACCTGTGGGAAAACTTCGACCAGCACTTACACAGCGTAGGAGACAAGAAGTACCGTTTGCGCTGCTTGCCATACTTTTACATCATTGGCCAACCAAAGTGTGGCACAACCGACTTATATCGTAGACTGAAGCAGCACCCAGCCCTCCGATTCAACCTGTACAAGGAGTACCACTGGTGGCCCAGTTTACACTATGGTAAATGATCGGGCAGTTGATGCAGTGTATTGGGTTGTTTCTATTTACATGATGCGTCAGTTATATGTCACCCTACGGTTAGTGTTCGACGTGTCACAGCATTTTAAGACTGTTATTCAATACAATGACTTATCTGATCAGTCTATCATTCAACTACTGTGGTGTTCATACAGGTTATGTTGATTTGAATACCAGATGCTCAAAGTTTCCTGTTACACATTATTTGGATCTGTTCGACATGGCATCACACAAAATCCAAGAAAGCATCAAAGTCAATGCGATTCTCGACCAGCAAGCGTTGAAAATCACAACAGGTAATTACGTGTGTGGGTGTGTGTATGTGTATGTGTGTGAGGGAGAGAGAGTGAGAGCGAGAGAGAGAGAGAGAGAGAGTTCTGAGTATAGCTATATTTGTGGCAACATTTTTTTGCACAAATACCATTCTTGTGGCGACACATTGTCAGTGTGGGAACATTTTCAGGTCTAGTCGAAGTGATTTTTTGGGGGGATACATTGCATAGGTGTGTGAGTGATCTTGTAGGTTGACATGGTGCATGGAACAACAAATTTGATATGCCAAACTTGTCTTTCATTGAATAAAAACATTATAGGAGATCACCTTGAGCTTAAAAATAAAATATATTTTATATACAGTATATATATATATATGTATATATATATATTTCAATAGAACGGTAAATAAATTGTCATAAAACCATAAGCACATATCATAACTAATGAATATTGACAATTGTACAATGAGGTAATGATTTAACCTTTCAAACAAAATACATTTATATTGTCTGGGGTGCTTAAAAATGTGTTTAAATCTTTGCAGTTGATGCCACTTCCAGTGTCATGTCAAATAACAAAGGCTGGATCTCTGTCTACAAAGACTGGAAGGACTCAGACTTAAAGGTCATGACCCTGGACTTTATCTACAGAGTTAATCCCAAAGCAAAAATCATTGCTATACTAAGAGATCCAGTGGAAAGGTACTGGTCCAACCACCCACCTGTTGATCATCAGAAGAAGAAAAGAAATCTCATAGAGCTTTTATTCAAAAATTTTAATTCAAATGTTTTGGTTTTTTTTAACTTGTTTTTCAGACTTTATTCGGACTACCTGTACTTTAATTTGGCCAAAAAAACAGCAGAAGATTTTCATGTTGCGGTGATAAGGTCCTTACAGATGTATCAGTCCTGTTTCGCGGAGAACTCACTGCGTTATTGTGCCTACAACAGCATCCTCAACAAAGAATCACCGGTATGTTAATTAAAACTTGTGATGACTAACATTAACAAATACTCAGACAAAAAAAGCTTCTTTTTTTTTCTCTTCTTCGCACGCAGGTAAAGTTACATGAAGGAATGTACGTGGTTTACTTACTTGACTGGCTCAGCGTTTTCAGCAGGGACCAGATTCTAGTTTTACAGACGGAACAGTACTCAGCCCATATCAAAGAAAAAATGGATAAAGTTTTTGATTTTCTAGACTTGGGTATGTATAAAATCAACCCATCAGAAATATTTACCATATTTATCACAAAGGTAGAGATTTACATGCTGTTCAGTCACCGGGCTGTTTATGACAGGAGCTTGGTTTTATCTCCTGCATGAAACTTTGTATCACATTTACCTTACAGATCCTCTCTCAGAGCAACTGGAAACAAACATGGTCCATATGTCTCGAGCAAACACTCGGAGCAAAGCAGACCAAGCTGCGGGTCCAATGCTTCTAGCTACAAGGGTTCTTCTTAAATTATTTTACCATCCATTTAACCAAAAACTTGCAAGTGTGCTGGATGACAAGAACTTCCTCTGGAGCAAATCTGAAGAGGCCTAGGTTTGGACTAAATGTATGAATAAGATTAAAATATTTTAATAACCACAAAAATGTTTGTGTGTCCTCAACTTTAGTATTTAGATATAAATAAAATATATAACTTTGTGGTGAAGTTTTAGCTAAATGATTTTAGCTAAATGAATTCTGGGTTGAAATAATATTTGTTGATAAGGTTCTCACTCATATTTCTGCCACCCTTGATAAAATATGGTGAAAGTTATATAAGGGCTACATGTCTAATTCTTCACTAAAGTCATCCTACATATCTGTTTGATCGGAAAAAACTTAACGAAACTGCAACAAAGTATGATGTTATAAATTGTTATACCTCGTTGAGAAATAAGATGGGCGGGTTTCGAATTCCCTGCACATACGTGTAGTAGTTTGAACGTTAACAACAACGTGTTCCTGTTTAGGAATCAGTCAGAGGTTGGCGCTAAAATACATATTACAACCCTAGCACTCAGGTGCTGCTATGGGGCTTCTTTAAGTATATCATAATTTTGTGATACGTTTGCAAAAACACAACCAATTCGTTTTACAAAATGTCGCAGCAGCTATGTCTGTTTAAATTGGTTTAAAATACACTTTTGAACATTTCCTATGCCTCACCAGTTGGTGGCGGTGGTATGCAAGTGGTTTCCTCACTTTGTCCACAAAATAGAAACAATGAAGAAGGACGAGGGGAAACATGAAGACCGGTTATGACGTTTGTTTCCTGGAGCGCGCTGTCTACAGTGTCGTTGTATCGGAGTAATTCTTTTGTGGTTGTTGTGCATTAATTTATTGAAGATGTACGATCAGGACGAAGGTGAGTCCCCCTTATGTAAGGCGTAGGTTTAATCAGCTGCTAAGGTTAGCTCACAACTAAAGAGCATTCTAATTTGGCTAAAAAACAGCTAATGCTAATGGAACGGCGCATTGTTTGAGCTAACGGGCTAACCAACAGAACAGCAGACACAACTGTACTCTGCTGTACTCGCCACCACCAGTTAGAACTGAAGAAGCCTCTGGGATTAGAGGTGAAACGTCTTCTTTTAGAAAATTCACGTCCAGTTGCCTAACAGCTTTTTAAAACTTGGCCATGACCTGGATGACTGAGAATCTTCATAGACAACAGTAACAACTAAACCTTCTACATTTAATATGTATATATTGATAATAAACGGTTTTCAGTAACAACAGAGTGTCGTCGTTGAGAAAAAAGGCAATGCGCACTTGAGTACAATGTTAGTCGTATTAATACATTAACCTAAATATTGAATTAAATTAGTGCAACAGCCATTGACAAGGTAGCAACCTGTGTGTAGTGTTTTGGTGACTAGTGATAATTAACCTCCACTTGTTTATCTACTCCATGTGTATATTCAGCGTAACCTTTCGCATAAAATTATATTTTAGCGCAGATACTGATCTATTTTGGTACATTTATTTATCAGATAATCAGTATGATGAAGACGAAGATGAAATCACTCCAGATCTTTGGCAGGAAGCTTGTTGGATCGTCATCAGGTAGTTTTATAAAGATGATTAAGCAACAAATTGTTTTATTATGCATTTTTCAAAATGTAATTTTAAATCCTCTGTTCTATTTCTCAGCTCATATTTTGATGAGAAAGGTCTGGTGCGACAGCAGCTGGACTCATTTGATGAGTTTATTCAGATGTCAGTTCAGAGGATTGTGGAAGATGCTCCACCCATTGACTTGCAGGCAGAAGCACAACACACATCAGGGGAGGTGGAGGAACCGGTGAGCATAACTTAATAGATTATGGAGTTTTGAAAATAATGATTTTTGGTTTGGTTGTATCTCCTGTGACATCATCACTGACATTTATTTTGGGTTACAGCCCCGTTACCTTTTGAAGTTTGAGCAGATTTACCTGTCAAAGCCAACACACTGGGAAAGAGATGGAGCCCCATCTCCGATGATGCCCAATGAAGCCCGACTACGAAACCTCACGTACGTGTCATACTGGCATTTCTCTTTCACTTCATGGTTTAGGACAGTCTTGCACATTTTGTTCTTTTATATTTTTTTTACATGCTCACTCCTCCCTGTTTTCTCCATATTGTGTGACCTATTGCTCCACAGTTACTCTGCACCACTTTATGTTGACATCACCAAAACAATAATAAAGGAAGGCGAAGACCAGCTGCAGACGCAGCACCAGAAAACTTTCATTGGAAAAATTCCAATCATGCTTCGTTCCACGTACTGCCTACTGAGTGGCCTGACTGACAGAGACTTATGTGAGCTTAACGAGTGTCCGCTGGACCCCGGAGGTTATTTTATTATCAACGGCTCTGAGAAGGTGAGCTCTGACGTTATGCTGCAACAGTGAAATGTCATTGTTTGAGTTTTTGGTGGAACACGAACCATAATTTAGTTATTTTGGTACACCTCCTTAAAAATGGTAATTCAGACTGATAAATAAGTGTGGTGTTATCAATGAGAAACTTTTGATGTTAAAAGTTCCAGATGAAGTTATTGATGTCCAGAACATGATGAGGCATCAAAAACAGTGCTGCAGCTGCACCAGTAAGAAAGAGCTAACAGTCTGTGTTGTTCATTCAGGTGCTTATTGCCCAAGAAAAGATGGCAACAAATACAGTTTATGTCTTTGCCAAAAAAGACTCAAAGTATGCGTACACGGCAGAATGTCGGTCCTGTTTGGAGAATTCATCTCGACCCACCAGCACTATTTGGGTCAGCATGATGGCCAGAGGAGGACAGGTGAGTGCTGAAATCCCTGTGTAAAGGTAAAGGTATCAGCATCCTGTCTGTCGTATTATTATTATTTAACACATGAAATAATTCCAGGGAGTGAAGAAGAGCGCAATCGGCCAGAGGATTGTTTCCACGCTGCCGTACATCAGACAGGAAGTCCCCATCATCATTGTGTTTCGGGCACTTGGCTTTGTCTCAGACAGAGACATTCTGGAACACATCATCTATGATTTCGATGACCCTGAGATGATGGAGATGGTCAGCGTCACTATCTATGAACTACTGGCTCCTATTTAGGAGATTTCTTTTTGTGATTGTCCTAATGATGTTCACTGTGTTCCCAGGTTAAACCATCTCTTGACGAAGCGTTTGTGATTCAGGAGCAGAACGTAGCATTAAACTTTATCGGTTCCAGGGGAGCAAAACCTGGAGTTACAAAGGAGAGACGTATAAAATACGCCAAAGAGGTTTTGCAGAAAGAAATGCTGCCACATGTCGGAGTCAGTGACTTCTGTGAAACTAAGAAGGCATATTTCTTAGGGTGAGTGTTTGCATTTGGGACACATTGTTGCAACTGTAACATACAACGTATAACGCTCTGTTACTGTGTGTTATAGCTACATGGTCCACCGCTTGCTTCTAGCTGCACTCGGTAGACGAGAACTGGACGACAGAGATCACTATGGAAACAAGAGGCTGGACCTCGCCGGACCACTGTTGGCTTTCCTTTTCAGGGGGTAAGGCTGTCAATGTTTTGTTTTTATCTTTGCACAATAAGTATTTTAAATATAATACTTATGATTTGAGGTGGAACTAGAGAGGTATTCTGATAATCTGATTAGTCTTTTGTTTATAATAAGTTTATACATAATTAAGATATTATTTGCATAGTAATATTTGTCATCCACATTTGGCAGCATGTTCAAGAACCTGCTGAAGGAGATCAGAATCTACGCTCAGAAGTTCATTGACAGAGGGAAAGACTTTAACCTGGAACTCGCCATCAAAACCAGAATCATCTCTGATGGACTCAAATACTCCCTCGCCACCGGGAACTGGGGTGACGTAAAGAAGGCTCACCAGGCCCGAGCAGGAGTGTCACAGGTGACGGCACCTATCTGTAGAAATGCACACAAACGCATACAAACAAACTCCCTGTAAAAACTCAAACCTCTTTTTCTGTGTTTAGGTGTTGAACCGTCTGACGTTTGCGTCCACTTTATCTCACCTGCGTCGAGTCAACTCTCCTATCGGCAGAGATGGAAAACTTGCAAAGCCTCGACAGTTGCACAACACCCTGTGGGGAATGGTGTGTCCAGCCGAGACACCCGAGGTAAAGAGCAAACATAAAACACGGTGACCTCACAACAAAGGCACAAACCCACAGAGTTGATCTTTAAACACTCTATTCCTTCAGGGTCACGCCGTAGGTCTGGTGAAGAATTTGGCGCTCATGGCCTACATCTCTGTAGGTTCTCAGCCTTCACCCATCCTCGAGTTCTTGGAAGAGTGGAGTATGGAGAACCTGGAGGAGATCTCACCAGCTGCCATCGCAGAGTCAGTCAATTCTCTAATCAACAGATGAAATAATCTTGGTTTAATAACAAGTCAAATTACAGTTTGTTTTATTTATAAACTGACTTTGTTTGTACTATTGTTTCAGTGCAACAAAGATTTTTGTGAATGGTTGCTGGGTCGGAATCCACAAAGATCCCGAGCAGCTGATGAACACACTGCGTAAACTAAGGCGACAGATGGACATCATCGTCTCTGAGGTAAAAACCAAAACCTGACCATAAACCAACACTAATAAAGACATGTCTAATACTTGTTATATGCAGGCTTGTTTTTATCAGTGTAAACCACATCTTTGTGTTTGTTTAATAAAGTAGTCCATTAAAAAAACGTTTTTCCCAGGTGTCAATGATTCGAGACATCAGAGAACGTGAGATCAGAATTTATACGGACGCAGGACGAATCTGTCGGCCTCTGCTGATTGTTGAGAAACAGAAGTTGCTGCTGAAGAGAAGACACATCGACCAGCTAAAGGAACGGGAGTACAACAACTACAGGTGAGACGTCGTTTAGCTGGTCCTGCCACTGATATTCAAGCAACCTGTTAATCAAATCTTGTTAAACTAATCTTTCAGATCCAGTACCACTTTATTGTTGTGATTGTTGATTTCTCATGTTCTCTTTCTAAATATGTCAGCTGGCAGGACCTGGTAGCGAGTGGAGTGGTTGAGTACATTGATACTTTGGAGGAGGAGACGGTGATGCTTGCCATGACCCCTGATGACCTCCAGGAGAAGGGTGTGGCCTACTGTTCCACATACACTCACTGTGAGATTCATCCATCTATGATCCTAGGAGTGTGTGCTTCCATCATTCCCTTCCCTGACCATAACCAGGTACAACTGCAGGGTGGCGCTAAAACTTTAAGGAATTGGAATTCTTTGTGTCTCGGTGCGTCAGTGAATAGATTCCTCTTTCTTTAGTCTCCCAGGAATACGTACCAGTCTGCTATGGGTAAACAGGCCATGGGCGTTTACATCACCAACTTCCATGTTCGAATGGACACACTGGCTCACGTCTTGTACTACCCCCAGAAACCACTGGTCACTACCCGATCCATGGAGTACCTTCGCTTTAGAGAGCTGCCTGCAGGTGAAGAGCACTTAAATGTGCTGTTGAAGCACAGATGTGCAATATATAACATGAAGATTGAATTTTAACATTTTTTTTCTTTTTGTTTTATTCAGGCATCAACTCCATTGTGGCGATTGCATCGTACACTGGATACAACCAGGAGGACTCTGTGATCATGAACAGGTCGGCTGTGGATCGAGGTTTCTTCAGGTCAGTGTTCTGTATTTTTTAATTTTTTTCTGCAGGTGAAGATGCGTGATGGGACAACTCTATAAAATCACTGTGTTGCTGTTGTGTTGTCATGTTATAGATCGGTTTTCTATCGGTCCTACAAAGAGCAGGAGTCAAAGAAAGGCTTTGATCAGGAGGAGATCTTTGAGAAGCCAACACGTGAAACCTGTCAGGGTAGGAACTTGGTTTGTCACCAAATTTAGAGTCTGTGCTTAATACATTAGTGTAGATGGAACATCACATTATGGGAACTGAATAAATGTAATTTCAGGGATGAGACACGCCATATATGACAAACTGGATGATGACGGACTGATTGCACCTGGAGTCCGTGTGTCAGGCGAGGACGTGATCATAGGTAAGACTGTGACGCTGCCTGAGAACGACGACGACCTCGACAGCACTAACCGGCGCTACACCAAGAGGGACTGCAGTACTTTCCTCAGAACTAGTGAAACTGGCATCGTGGACCAAGTGATGGTGACGCTAAATCAGGAGGGCTACAAATTCTGCAAGATCAGAGTGAGCGATGGCAGAATCGCAATTGACAGAACACTTGAGATCTCATCTGTGTTCCCTGTTGTCTGACCATCTAACTTCTGCTGCAGGTTCGTTCTGTTCGAATTCCTCAAATTGGAGACAAGTTCGCCAGTCGACACGGACAGAAAGGAACCTGTGGGATTCAGTACAGACAGGAGGTCAGCTGGTTGGCTGGTCAGTTGATTAAATAGTTAAGAGATTTGTTGCTTGACATTTATTTGTTTTTGTTGAAGGACATGCCTTTCACTTGCGAGGGAATTACACCAGACATCATCATCAATCCTCACGCCATCCCATCCAGAATGACAGTCGGCCATTTGATCGAGTGTTTGCAGGGCAAGGTAACCAATCTGAACCAATCACTCTGTGAATTAAATGCCAATGAGTGGAAACTGTGCGAACAAGTTTTTCTTAAATTTATAGTTGTTTTTTTTTTTGGTGGAAACTGTGCGAACAACAAGTTTTTCTTAAATTTATAGTTTTTTTTTTTTTTTGCAGGTTTCTGCAAACAAAGGTGAGATTGGAGACGCCACTCCTTTTAATGACGCTGTCAACGTGCAGAAAGTTTCTAACTTGCTAGCTGAGTATGGATATCACCTGAGAGGAAATGAGGTCAGCACAGAGCTGTTCACTGTGATTGTATAATACTGTCGACAGATGAACTTATTGGAGTTTTGATCTCTCCTCAGGTTCTGTATAATGGCTTCACTGGGAGGAAGCTGACGTCACAGATCTTCATTGGTCCAACATATTATCAGCGTCTCAAGCACATGGTGGACGATAAGATCCACTCCCGAGCCAGGGGTCCAGTTCAGATCCTGAACAGACAACCAATGGAAGGACGTTCACGGTCAGTCTCAGCTCTCTCTGTTTCTCAGCGTCTCTTTCTCAGGTCCCCAAGCCAATCATCCCTGTTTTAATCTTTTCTCCCAGTGATGGCGGTCTGCGTTTTGGTGAGATGGAGCGTGACTGTCAAATTGCTCACGGTGCTGCTCAGTTCCTCAGAGAGCGTCTCTTTGAGGCATCGGATCCTTATCAAGTCCACGTGTGTAACCTGTGCGGACTGATGGCCATCGCCAATACGAGGACACACACGTACGAGTGTCGAGGCTGCCGCAACAAGACACAGGTCAGACGTCCAATCAATAATCCTTAATTAGAAAGCAACCAGGTAAATGCAGTGAATGTTTACTAACACTTTTGTCTCATTCTCAGATCTCGCTCATCCGGATGCCGTACGCCTGTAAACTCCTCTTCCAGGAACTAATGTCAATGAGCATCGCCCCTCGGATGATGACATCATAGTCTTTTTCAGCCAATAAGCTGGATACGTCCTGACATCATCAGTGGAAAATAAAATTGTTTGTTTCATCAATTTCTTTTTATAAAAGTAGAATAAACAGCTTTTCTTTATTGGGTCGCAGGATTTCATTTATATTTTGTTATGGACAAGGTCAGTCATACAAATATATACAGACATAATTCTAAAGCAAGTCTAAAAACTACAAAATATATTTAACTCCATCGGTTTTTTTTCTTATTCTTTTTGTTTTATTAATTCAACATGGCTTTTGGATCAGTATTGGGTACCAGTTGATACTCAAAGGCCAGGTGGAGTTGGAAAGATGATTAAATCTTAATTTTACTTATTCTGTTTGTTTTATTAATTCAACATGGCTTTTGGATCAGTATTGGGTACCAGTTGATACTCAAAGGCCAGGTGGAGTTGGAAAGATGATTAAATCTTAATTTTATCACAAACTTACAGCACAGACTGGGAAAATAATTAATTTTTTTATTTAAAAAAAAAACTTCTGTAAAAGTAAAGTATTTCACAGTATTTTTTTATTTTAAAATACTTCTGTAAAAGTAAAGTATTTCACAGAACATCCTTAACAAGATCCATGGAAGTAAATCTGTATATCTATTTGTATACAGTGAGTAGCAATGGCAATCGAAAGTGTCCATTTATTTCTGATATTTAGAAACAAAGGCTGAGAGCAGGTCTCTGTATGGAGTATCTGATCGACTAGTTTGAAGTCTCAGGAATCTGTGAACTATTTTAGAATGAAGAAAGAGGTTGTGACCAAAGCCGATGATACTGGAAGCAAACCAGTAAAGCGCCATGGACTGTGGGCAAGGTCAGAGAGAAGGAAGGTTAATATATACGTCTTTTTCTTCCAAAACTTGAATGAGAAAACACCACAATCACAAAGATCCTTACACATTTTTCTGAATAAGATAAACAGCCATATTACGTTCAACTTCATTAGTATTACTAAAAAAGGACTAATGATATCCAACAGTATCTGATGCTTATTTCTCAACACGTTCCCATTACATTCTTTAACTAAGCAATTGGTGAAACTGGTATTGAGACAATTAACACTAATTAAAAGTAAAACTATTTTGAGTTCCAATACTTGAATTCAAGGAACTATTAAATGCTAATTCCCAGAGACTGTCATTCAGTTTCAACTGAGCCATCCACTCATGTGGCCCTAACTATAAGATCAGAACCTCTACTGATTGAGGACATTGGAAACAGTCTTAACATGAGTCTAGACTTAGAGGGAACAGGTCCTGGACTTACTGAGGGGACTGTGGCAGCAATGGGGATCATCAGGACTGAAAATCCTCTGATGAAGTATAACACCATTCGTCGAAATCGTGTCACCTGACTCCTCTGGAGAGCAAAAAACTAGAAAAGGTGAAGACAGGAAGTGAGCAGAGGACTGAGGTCAGAGGACTTAATATTTGGTGTCACACTTACCTCTACAATAACCAGGTTTATAATACCCAGACAGACTGGAAGGATCCAGGTGGAGTCAGGTATGGTGAGGTCAGGGAACCAGAGAGAGCCCCCTGTTGCTAGATCACTATGTACCACTGCAGAAGATACAAACAGGTGTGAGATTCGGTCCTAGAGTGATGCTGACTGTGGTATTAACTGTGGCTTAAACTCTCACCAGACTGATCCATACTCAGGTTCCTGAGGGCCAAACTTAGGCTGATCCAAAGTGGCAGCTGAACCCAGACCAGTACACTAGTTTTAAACGGATGACAGTTTTCTCTGATGTAGAGTTCAGACACAATCCGCTTTAAATTCTTCCGGAACTGAAACCTGAAGCAGTAAAAATATGTTAGCAAAATGCAATAATGACACAAATGACTCAGTTTGTCTTTTCTGATATTTTTTCAGTTAGTAAATTAGTAAATTAAAGATTTTTGTCTGTTCTGTTGATTGTAGATTACCGGCACTGTTTCTCTGTCCAGCCGGTCTGTTTTGCTCGTACAGAAATTTCATAGCTAAGTCTCTTTGACAGATCTGATATCTCAGCCTGCAGCACTTGAAGCTGGAAAAGTGCAGAAGAAAGCACATCATAATGAGATGAAACACAGATGATATTAGTCAGCAGTAGGGATGATCTCACCTTGGAGACAATGACCTGCTGATATGCTGCAATGGGCAGGGTGATGACCGTCCTGGCCGAAAACGTTGCTGCAACAATAGTCAGCCACCATGGCATCCCAGTTAATTGCTGGGTGCCAACAAGAAAGTGCTCACAAAGGTGTACCGGAGCCGAATGTGCCAGGCCTTCATACCAGCCTGATGTGACATCACTACCACCGACACCTGACGCCGCCCTGATCAATGAGTAACGACCACAGCCTGAGGGATCAACAAGTGCAATTGGCTTCCTGTTTCCAGCAAAACAACCTCTTCCAACATGAAGCTTCAGGAAGTGGAGCTTCAGGGCATTGCACTTTACCAGGTGTCCAACTCTTAGCATGATGACCTACCCCCATATACCTGAAAAGACCAATTTTAATGTAAAATTGATACCTGTTAAAAAACAAAGAAATGCACTGATATATAGTTCATAGGGTAAGAAAGTAAATATAATATAAACTGTAATACCTGTTTACGTCAGCAGGATGGATTTCTGGATCACAGACGCAAAATCATCCGTGTGTAAACGCAAATACACCTTTTAGACGCCAGCCTTAATAATTTTAGTCGGTCATAGTCCTTCATTCATGTTATTGCGACAAAAATACGTCTCTTACATTTAACGTCACCATTTTAGTCGGGCATCCAAATATGACGTCACGAAACGTACTACTTCAACCTGGGGAAATATGCACACTTTATTTTCAGGAAACTAGGAAACTTTATTAAACTCAGTCGTAGATAAATAATTAATTTTATGTTTGCAATCAAACATTTTTGTCTGATACTCTTGTAACGATGCCAATAAAGTGATTAAATTGTTATGTAAATTATTTATCGTGTTATTTGCTTAGATAGTTAAGTGGTTGTTGTCGCTGAGCTAAAATGCGTTTAAGTCTGTGCTTTATTTTAATGATTATAAATTAACGTTTAAAAAGTAAAGCGGAAGTGCTCCTTAATCACAGCAGCAGCGGCAAAGATGGCGGAGTTTAGCCAGACGGGGCTTCTGGCGGCTCTGCTATTTTTCATGGCGCTGACGCTCCGGGACGTATATGTCGGTCGAACGAGGCCGCAAAATCAAAATCTAGCCGCGGACACTGACCCAGAGAAACCTGCTAAAACCTCTGCTTACACCGGACCGGTGCTCAGGTTCCAGTACTGGTGAGTGACTGTGATAGTACATTAGCCTGTCAGCTAAAGGATTTTTAGCTAACACGCTAACAATTGCCTTAAATGTTTTAAAGATGTTTAATAGATAATCACCGATTGGGTTTTTCAGTCTTAGATTGTTTTTTCAGTTTCCAGTGACATGCCGTTTGTTATGTTGTTGTTGTATAACTGGGTTATACAATATAACAACCTGTTGCAGATACTGTCACTTAAGTCTTTCAAGTATTTGCACGAGACGGTGTATACCCACCTGTTGAGTACAAGATATATACGAATAGTGTAATCTGTATGTAAGGCTATGTTTGCAGAGAACTGCCCCGAAAAAATGAAGAAACCTGCTTTACAGGTTATGACATCACCAATTTTACCAGCTGTAGGCTCTTATTAGACAATCTAGCGCTCCTTCACACATATGGTCTACTACCTTTTCCACCTACTGTTGTCTTTTGATGGTTTCCTTATTTGGAAACTGGCATTGATTTCATTAGACGGTGTATACCCACCTGTTGAGTACAAGATATATACGAATAGTGTAATCTGTATGTAAGGCTATGTTTGCAGAGAACTGCCCCGAAAAAATGAAGAAACCTGCTTTACAGGTTATGACATCACCAATTTTACCAGCTGTAGACTCTTATTAGACAATCCAGCGCTCCTTCATGCCCCTACTGCCCCTACTTTTCCACCTACTGTTGTCTTTTGATGTTACTTTACTTTACTTTAAAACTTATTTGTCATTGTGACACAGCACAGCACAGCACACCATGCACAACGAAATTTAACCTCTGCATTTAACCCATCACCAAAGTGAACAGTGGGCAGCCGTGGTCAGCGCCCGGGGAGCAGTGCTTGAGGACGATGCCATGCTCAGTGCATCTCAGGGGTAACCTGGCAGTTGGTGGATTCGAACCTGGGGCCTTCCGGACCGAAGTCCGCTTCCTTTACCACTAGGCCACCACTGCCCCTACTGCCCCTACTGCCCCTACTTTTCCACCTACTGTTGTCTTTTGATGGTTTCCTTATTTGGAAACTGGCATTGATTTCATTAATAAAGATGGAAGACATTGTAGACTGCAGGATTTTAAGATGTTGTCTACCATGTTTTCTACCGTGTTTTCTTTCACCTGTATTTCCACCCTCATGTGTTTCAGTATCTCCTGAGGGTACAGTAAAGTCTTCCAAGACTACTCCCTCACCGTTAGCAGACTGTATCCAGACATTCGCATAGAGGGTGAGAATTATCCTCCCACCTCCATTAACAAGTAAGACTTGAAATCATCATCACAACAATACTGATGCAGTGAATTAGTGAAGTAGCTAACACAGCTCTACCTCCACAGGTTCCTAGGTCAGCTGATCTCATACCTGAAGCTATTGGCTATCATGGTTGTGGTCTTCGGTCTAAATCCTTTCCCCCTCCTCGGAATTCAGACTCCCAGAGCCTGGACATGGAGTCAGGAAAACAAGGTAACCATGAAAAATGTTCGTAGTAGTCATCCCTGCATTAGTCTTGTGGTATCAATGTCACTAATTCAGAAAAAGGAAATTATTAAATCACAATAACTTCTGTGATGTGTTTGGTAGAATAGACTGTAAAGAAGGATGTGATTTGATTTTGGTAGAATAGACTGTAAAGAGGTGGCGCTTTGGCCCAGAGGCAATGTCTCTGTCATTGGTGTGGAACCCCAGGGTTCACCTCCTGGGCAAGTTCAAATCCCGGTTAGGGCGGTTGGTACCTTCCAGTGGACTCACCACCCGCAGGAAGGTTTGGTACGGTGCAATGTGATTTGGGTGGCGACTGCTGCCCCCGTGACCCGGTAACGGATAAGCGGTTGAAAATGGATGGATGGATGGATGGATAGACTGTAAAGAAGGATGTGATTTGACCAGATTGGGAGTGGGTATTGTTCATGTATCCTGGGCTGCAGTGACCATGTTCATTATGGCAACTCTAAGGCAAAAGTAAAGAAGTAAATCACACAAGTGTTTTCCTGTCTACAGAGTCAGATCTTTGTAGACTCTCAAGGCCTTAAAAATCATATTAAAAACAAAGAAATCACATCAAACTCTCAAGCATTATTTTTTTCTTATTCTTCTTCAGATCTTTTCCTGTCTCATCACATTCTTCCTTGGTAACATGCTGGAGACACACTTCCTGTCCACTGGAGCCTTTGAGGTCACTCTTAATGGTGAGTCTGCTGAGATCACTGCTGGCCCAATCCTCTCACACTGCGGCCTTTAGCCCATAAAATACTACACTGAGTGTAACTTCCTGGTGTAATCCTAATTATCCTCATCATTGTCCTTCAGATGTTCCCATTTGGTCCAAGCTTCAGTCTGGTTATGTCCCAAATGTCCAGGAACTCTGTCAGATCCTTGACAACCACTTGAAAATGAACCAGATGGATCACATGATGGATCACATGACCTTCCCTTCCACTTAGACAATGGTTAATGCTCCATCAGATTCTCTTGCACCCAACCTGGAAGTTCTACTCCATGTTGATCGCTCTCACCACTGTTTTCTCCTCAGCTCATCTGTGTCCAGGCTGAGTGGGATGTTGAGCTGTTGCAGTTTATGACAGTCTGGTCCTAAAGCAGTCTCTGCTGGACCTGACCTGATTTTTTTTTCTGCAATTAAAGGAACAACCCCTCTGCTCCTGGACACACCAGAGCACTGAATTACCCACACTGCACCACTACTTCAGGTGTAGTTGAAGTTTGACATTATGTCATGGTACTACTGTTAGCCCAATGCAATGGGAAATAGATTTTTGTCAGACTTTTGTTAACGTTGTTGACTTTGTGTGAGATAATGTTTTACTTTTGAAGCTAAAGCTAGGCTTTTACTCAACACAAGAAATAAAATGACAAAATTGCATTGTGTCTGTGCTTTCATTTTTCTGCAGCAAAACAAAAATGTATGAGTCCAGTCCATCTTTAATTCACTTTTTTATTGATCATAGATACATTGTTAAAAAAAAGGTAAAATGTCCTTTATGTCTGCTGTAATTTCCTTCAGAAACATGTCAAGAAAAAATTGGACAGTGGACAGTCAAAACTAATCAGTCACTAAAATGTTTTAAGACGTCCTCAAACATAGATCCCTGCAGGAAAGAAAAAACAGAAAATGAGTATAGGCGCACTCGAGATCTCTGGTGAAAATTTTGTTTGATTCTATGTGATTAAACAACTCATTATATGAAAATTTTAAATCCAGCAATCTGCCTGTGGCCAGTTGATTGTGTGCAGCAGCTGCTCACCTGTGATACCATTGTGATGAAATATATTGGGGTTGTTTCTTGTTCTTTGGTTCATGTCCAGCTTAGAGAGAAAAATGACAAAAACAATATGAGAATTCTTCAGGCTGCTTTAAGAAGAATTTTGTTCATTCTCCCTTATTTTTTCTTTACCTGGGCATCAACTTTGGTCTTCCATAGACTCAGACTTGGGTACAGTTCAGACACTGATTTTTCATCCAAGAAATCTTCAGATGGTGGGGCACTCGGACACCTGAAGGCAGGAAACATATGTCTGTTTACATCGTCATCACTCAGGACAGTGTGTTGAAACAGAACTGATGTGGTACCTGTGACAGATGCAGGGTACCAGCTCACAGTACTGCGCCCTGATTCCTGTTGTGCTTAGCTGGTTTTCTATATCACCTGGTTGTTCCTTCATCCACTGTGCTGATTGGTGCTTCAGTTGGATGTTTTTGCTCCTTTGAAGGGCAGCTTCTACCCACAATCTGGACTTTACTGAGGGTGAAGGAGAAGCTGAGCTCCAAGGCTTTGCTTTCAACAAGGGAGAACTGGGTGTGGAGGTGGGAAGCCTTTTTCCCTCCCCTGCAGGTCGAGTGATATAGTCCAAGTCAACTCCAACAGGAGGTTCAAAAGTCTGTGAGCCCCTGTTCTCGGTTTTAAAGCTGACAATGTCACAGGTGTCAGGCAACAGATTCAGGTGAATTACCAGGTGCACTGGTGATCTGTGGACAGTAGGTGGAGTGATGATCTCAGCTGTCACCTTCGCCTTTTCCTCGCTGTGTGGAATCATTCTAGAACCCACATGCAACAGGTTATAATAATATATCTCTATTTCTCCAAGATACAATTTCAGTTACACACATGTTGAAGGAAAGTCCTGGCACAAACTCACTAAAGTCTGAAGATTGTAAAATAGTTTTAGGGCAGCATCTTTTACTTGTGGTCGCATTGAGTGCTATAAATGTGCATACTTTACATTTAAAATCTACTATTGTTTTTTTTTTTTTAAAAATACTTCAATTATAAGCTTTTTAGAAAACCAAAAATAGCCAGACCCAGAAAATTTTGTTTCAAATTTAGAACAAATCCTGTACCAAAAACAATTAGGGAGGTGTTGTGGACCAGTGCCTCTTACATGGTTCTATCAAGTCCCAGATATACAGTATGTAAGGTAATAAGACCCAGTACTGAGTGACGGGCATTGATTACACCATCATTACCTGTTTTCCAGTAGCTGGCCATCTTCATCTGTCAAGGAGGGAGTCGTCATCATCCCGGAGGTATGACAAATTCTTACTCTCCGTGGAGGAATCTGCCAACTTCCCACTTCCTATTACAGGAAAACACATTCTTACGGTCATTTGTAAACTCAGTGTGTGTCTCAAGTTTCTATTGTTTCTTTTGAGACTAACCACCTCCAGACACAAACTGGGACACTGGGAGGAGTCACAATCTAATGTCAGAATATACGGCTGATTATAGACTGGTGATACTGCACAAAACTAATTTGCTAACATAGATTTTTGTCACTGAGAAAATCTTGGAACTATTTCCAGGACAATTCTTTTAAATAACCACTGACAATGTATAACAAAGTAAGTGACTCATTTTAACCATCATTAGAAATTGACATATTTTTAATGATTTTGTATAAACTTGAATAAACATAATTCTCTTCCAGTAACTCTTAAAATAAATTTTTAAAAATTTAATTCATTAAAAAATATATATCCTATATGTATTTTTAGACAGTCAACTTGTGTGACTAAACAATGTAAAATATATATAAATATAATATAAAAAAGAAAATATCTAGTTATTGAATAAAGAAAACAACAGAAAGTAACCCACAGAACCAAGAAACAATTGTTAATAAATTATTAATGTTATTAGAAATTAAAGTATAATAATAATAATAATAATAATAATAATAATAATAATAATAATTTACCTTGTTGGCTTTGGTTATCCACGTCCTCATTTGTTTCATGGCTGTTGACTTGTGTGTCTGTGTTCTTCTGCTGACTCTTTTTATATATACTATGAGCTTTTACTCATAGTAGTAGTTATACCGGAAGTGGGCAGGGCTTTAAATAATTATCCAAACGTGCCCAGTATTTTTTCCAAGGAGACACCTGATCCAGGTACAGCTGCATGACGGAAAGTGAAGATTCGTTTTTAATTTCCCGCAATGGGATGAAACTACGGTAATCTGACCCATATATGATTTCAGAAATGATTTCTGGGTATAAATGTTTCCCAGTGTAAAACAATGTAAACAATTACAAGACATACTGTTTTAACTCATACAATTCTCTCAAAACGTTTCTATGTGTTGTGGGCAACAGGGGAGGGAGAGAGGATGCTGTGATTTAACCTTGTCTTCGACAGGTTTGTCGTGATTTTCTTTTTCTTTTTTCTATGATTCATAGTATAACTAGTACCCTTGAGAGATAAGGACAATTCGCGTTATTTTAAATGTTTGACTAATTCAGAGGTTTAAAAAAATAGAAACAAACCCAATGTCGTGTATATGTATATATGTATATGTGTATATGTGTATTCAACACATAGAACCTTTCTTACAGCTACTCCTGTAATGGCAGAAAAACTTGCTGTTTATTTAAGCAGACAGAACAATTAAATAAAAATCTTAATAGTATCTAATATACTACTATAGTGTGATTCTTAATTCCAACTGGGGGCGCTGCTCCATCTTGGTACTTTAAATCTGCTGTCAACTCCTGTCATAGAAGAAGAGGTTTCGAAAACGGTAGTGTAGCAATTAGCAACATTAGCTTCAGAAATAGAAGTCGTCGTGGTTTCCTTTGATTTTCAAAAATGTCATCTTTTATCGGCCGTGGAAATTTAAGCTAGCGTAAGGTATTTTTACTTGGCTTTATGACTGCAGGTTCTTAGTCTTTGGGGATTGATTTCTGGACCCCTCATAACCATTGTTATTATTCAAAAGAACAAACGCTAAACTGCAGCGGTGCGCGCTGGCTTTTTCTACTTTAGCTTATGCCGTGGCTAATGACAAGGCTAAGAGAAAGTGAAGCCAGGTGAATTTTCTGCGCTTTAAGTGTTCGTCCTGACAGGCAAGGTAACCAGTAAAGCCGCTTTTATTTGTATTCTAGGTTAACTTAAGTGTGTTAGTGTGATGTCATGACTCTCGTTAACGTGTGTTGTATTGTCTTGTCTCCTGCTCAGATTCTTCGCTGTCCTCGTCGTCTCTGATGACATGAGTAGCTCCGTAAGTTCTCACTTCTAAAATGCTTCCATTTTATGGATCTGCAGCAGCTCGAACCTTTCTCTTTTTTTTTGATCGATTTATCGATCTACCTGATCCCCATGATTTAGTCATATTTGTGAATCGTCAATAGTAGACGGCAGTAGTAATAAATGTATGATTAAAGATAATGTATGTGGTTTTTGTGGTCTTTTTAAGTTATTAGTCAGTAATTTGGGCTTGATGTATTATTATTTAGCAATACAGTAAGTATGCAATATTGTTTAGTTTAGCTTACGTCCTTTGTCCTGCAGGGGGCAGTATGAACACACAATTATAAAGCTTTGGGTTTTTTACACGGATGAACCAAATCGTCTATTTTAGCTGGCATATTTTACACCAAAAATAACATCTTGATTTAGAGATTACTGTTTGTTTTTTGGACAATGATGTTTTATTCTGGTGGTGATGTAACTTAATTTGGTTTTGTTGGTCATCTCTTGCTGCTGTAATGTAATGTTGTTTTCAGGCTCAGAGGAAGAGAAGGACTACAGGAACCCCTCTTGTGTCCAGTCCAAGTATGAAGACCAGCAAAATGGCTCAATCTAACAGAGCTACCAACAGCAGAAGAGCTGCCAACAGAGCAGCTGCCTCCAATAGAGCAACTAGAGAGACAACTGCAGCTAACACAACAGCTAATGAGACAGCAAACATTAGCAGCATGCCAAATGAACCTGACCTCCCTACAGAGACAATCAATGTGATGGACAACAGAACAGAGAACGGTAAGTACAGATCAGTACATTTGTTAAATTCATTATAAATATCTGATGATAACTAGCTTCCTATATATGGATGTGTTATCCAGATGTTGTTGTGGTGGATCTCACCTGCGAAGGATCAGAAAGTGCAGTGGTCGACTTGACCAACAACGACTCAGTGCTGGTAACAAATCAACTACTTATTTAAGAATTGGATCCACAAGTAGCTCAACCAGTCTTTTTCATTAATATGTATTCTTGTGTTTGTTCACATTTCCTCCTGTAACTTAGGTCATTGATGAAGGTAACACATTTTTTCTCACCTGATTACAATTATTAATAAACTTATATATGTAACTTATATAAACATAAATATGTGAAAGAGTTATGTGTACATATCCGTGTGTGACCTTGCTGGTGGCTGTCCTCTCACAGGTGTTCAGCAAAGCCAAGGTCCTAATGCTGAGAGTTATGTTGTCAGCAGTGATGAAGACGATGTCACACCTAATGTTATTAGTGCTGCTGTGATGTCATCATATCACAAGTCCAGGTATTTTAATATGTATTTATTATTGATTTAAACAAAGTGTGACCTCTGCTTTTAACCCGTCACCAAAGAGAGCAGGGGGCAGCTTTAAGCGCCAGGGAACAGTGTGTGGGGACGGTGCCATGCTCAGAGCACCTCAGTGGACCCAAGTACACTTCCTTAACCACTAAGCCACCACTGCCTGATACAATAGAAAAACGACAAATAGCCAAAAGAGAAACGATAAAGTAACTATCCTGGTAGCTACTACTACTACAACTACTACTAACCAAGGACAAGCATAAGATGTATCTCAAGATTTAACCAAACCACAAATTTTCTCCTACCTGGTAGGATAATAAGGATGACAAGATGGAGTTGTTTGTAAAGGATCTGATGGGCAAATCAGCTAATTTTACACTGATGCCTAACTACAGCTCACCAGTTGCAGAGACAGCATTGACCACTAACTACAGAACGATCTTTGTCAGTGGGAAACTACAGTATGTGATGTTAAAAATGAAGAGTTAAGCAGCCAGGGTGAACTAAAAAACACTGTACCTTGATGATTCTGTCTCATCTGTTCTCTCTCTCAGGTCAACTCCAGGTACGATCAGCTGTCCTGTCTGCCTAGACACTTATACGGAGGTGAGACAGCAATTATTAACTCCTAACTACTGTCTGGATTTTGTTAGCAGGAAGAATGTAGTTCTCTAACCACTGGTTTGTTCTCTTCACAGATAGTCGACAGTGGCCGATTGGTTGTCTCCACTAAATGTGGTCACGTGTTCTGCAGCCAGTGTTTGAGAGATGCTCTGTCATCGTCGCACACTTGTCCCACCTGCAGGAAAAAACTCACAAATCGACAGTACCATCCCCTCTACGTCTGACATCACTGTGACATCACATGTTAGTCCCTTCTGGAGAGAACTCACTGATTGCCAATACGGAATCGTTTACATCTGATATTGTGAAACCACTTCAAACAACCTGTTTCTATCACAGTAGTGGTTCTTGGAATCTTTTTGTTTAAAGTTTATTTGTATCAGACATGTGAAACATTTTGATTAATAATGTTTGTCTTTATTTGTTTAGTTTCTGATCATTAAAAGTTTAAATAAACATTTTTATTAGAATCTTTTAGGGAGAAGGGTAATTATAAAAGTTCACTGTATGGACACTTGTGACTTCAGGTGAAATACTGTGTAAAAATCAAAGGTAATTTAAGTGGTTTCAAAGAGATCCATGTGTGAACAAGGGCTAATGGTATAAATACACTGCCCTGACAGTGAAACAAAGCGAAACTAGAAATGATTTGGGGATGCTTGTGTTAAATATTCTTTTCTTCTAGTTAGAATACCTGTGAAATGCTTTAAAACTATAAATTTTAAGTAAACATTCTACTGGTATGATGAACAGTTAAATACAAAACTGTTAATTCAAGTTTAAAGTTGGACAAACATGACTGTGACCACAATTCCACTTACGAGAAATAATACAATACCACTGTGCAATGCATTTAGTTATTTAACCTTAGCCTTCGTGACTTGTCTTGTGACTCTGACTCATTGAAGTTAGAGGTTCTATGACTCACGTTCACCTGACCCAAGCTCTGTTCCTGATAGGCTCTTGAAGACAAAATGATGTAACCACCTGTAACTGTAAAAACAAACAATGACTTTCAGTTATAATAAAGGTATAATAAAAATCATTGGTATAAATAACATCTCATCATTAAGTATTTCCTAACAACCGTTCTAAGAAGAAGAACTTAAAGTAGTCTGAAATACAAATACTGAATTTACACAGTAGAAATTGAATTTTAACTGGGTCACAACAACTACAGAAACGTGTGGATTACTCGTGTGATATGTTTATGACAACTTTATCACAGCTTCAATTGATCTCTGACACCTTAAGTGTTTTTTGGTCAAATCACCAATCTTGATTTATCACGGTGACTTAGTTTTTCCGTGGGAATTCCCCCCTCTAAAATGCTGAGTCATTCACCGGACTCTTATTGGTCGTGAGTGAGAGGCACTGCGATAACGCCAATGAGAAATCGTAACGTCACCCGCCCGTCAGTCGCGCCCGAAGCGGATGTAAACAAAAAGTGAGGATTTAACACTGCGTCATAGCACTAGTTTGACATTGCGAGTTTAGCTGCGAAGTTGGTTTCCACAACTGTACTCGGTATATCTGAGAGGAAAAGAAGCAGAAGACGATAGAAGAAGAGACGGAAAAGTTCTACTCGCCGTTTCATTAAACTCTGCATCATGTCTGTGACAGTGAAGGCTTACCTGCTTGGTAAAGACGAGGCTGTTAAGGAAATTCGCAGGTTCACTGTGGATCAAGATGTGTCCAGCAACTTTGAATATCTAAGCCGGAAAACTGTGACGATGTTCGGGAATCTTCGGAACAACGGCTTCACTATGTACTACAGAGGTAAGCATATTGAATATACTTAATACTGTATATAGTAATATACAATTCACATATATCCGCCATACATAGGTTGCTGGTGACATGACTTGTTTTGATAGTTGAAATGATGCAGTTGTTCGGGTTGATTATTGATAATATTTTACTGTTGATGATCCAGATGAAGATGGAGACCTGGTGGCGTTCTCCACTGATGATGAACTGATGATGGGGTTGGCTTGTACAAAGGACGACACCTTCCGCCTCTTCATCAAGGGTAAAGTCAAACAATAATCAGTATTAATGGAAATAATTGATTATTTTTATTGAAAATGTATAAACGTGTGCAATTATTGTTTATCTAAATGAAGATGATTTTAAATTTCTTTTAGAGAAGAAAGAGCACCGTCGGGACTTTCCTGTCCATGCCTTACCCCCTTCCTTCGGAATCCCACCTATTCCTCCAATTCCTCCAATTCCTCCAATCCCTCCTATCCCTCATGTCCCTCATATGGGCCCACCACCTGCTTTGCATCCCAATGTCACCTGTGACAGTTGTGAAGGCCCTGTGATTGGACCTCGCTTCAAGTGTTCCGTTTGTCCAGACTATGACCTATGCTCAACCTGCCAAGCCAGTGGGAAGCACACTGAGCATGCAATGCTGCCAATTTGGCATCCAATGCAGGTAAGTGTGGAACCCATCCCAACCAGGTTCTATTACTGGTGATCTAAACACAATATTGACACAGAATAATGATGGTGATGTGATACAGGCTGAAAATCTGATGTTGGTCTCCTATCTGTTAGCACTGCTTTCCTCGTGGGAAGTGGATGAAGTGGTTTAAAGCCTTTAGGCAGAACCAGGCTCTGGCCCACAACCTTTGCCAGAATCAAGGTCAAGCCCAAAACAAGGACCAGGGTCAGTCTGTAAACCAGGACCAGGATCCTAACCAAGATGGACCTACACCTGCAGCAAACAGTGGTAATGGTCTGGATGTATTAATAATCACTACTATCGGTAAGTAATAACAACATCAGTAAAGCTTTTATCTCTATGCAGCTGCTCAGGCCAATGTTGACTTCCTGAAAAACATTGGTGAAGGTGTGGCTGCTATGCTGAGTCCTCTGGGTGAGTAATGTTACCCTGTCAGTAAAATCTGTCTATTACACAAACAAACAGAGAGGAATGGTGATGAGCCAATAACCATTAAATATATGATGATGCAGGTATTGATGTGAACATTGATGTCGAGCACGCTGGTCAGAGGGAGAAGGTCAACACCAACAGTCAGAGTGAGGGCCTGCAGGCAGATGTGGAGATGGAGGACAATGGTGAAGGATCAAAGGTGGGTTACCTTTGGCTAATTATATTTTCAAGTACAGACATTATTATCTGTGAATATGAATGTTGGTTAGCAACAACTATATTATTTTACCAGGCGCCAAATAAAGACTCCGATGAGGAGTGGACTCATGTGAGCCCCAAAGAGGTCGACCCATCCACTGGTGAGCTGCAGTCCCTCAACCAGGAAGAGGTTCAAGACATAGACCAAATGCAAGATGAGAATGCCCCCTCAGGAGCTCAGCAGGGTCCATCAGGTTTAAAGGAGGCTGCCTTGTACCCACACCTGCCTCAAGGTGAGATTATATTTATTGCACCCTGTCCATATCAGTGTGTTTATGGCGACCCCTGCTGACCTATTTGTCCATCAACAGAAGCAGATCCCCGTCTGGTGGAGGCTCTGTCCCAAATGTTGTCTATGGGATTCACTGATGAAGGTGGCTGGCTGACACGCCTTCTTCAGGCCAAAGGCTACGACATTGGAGCTGCACTTGACGCCATCCAATATGCAAAGCAGCCACGTCAACCCCAGCCTTAAAGACATCTCCATCCATACTCTGAAATAATCATGGCTGATGTCAACATCTCCTGTCTCTAATCAAACACTTTAAATGATTTTATCACTGTTCTTGTTTTAAGTACTTTGTTGATTTAATCCATTCCCTTTCTAATTGGTATCCTGGTTGGTATTCCTGGTTATTCCAAACAAACTGTTAATCAATGCTTTTGCTCATTGGTGTTTCTACTGCTTTATTATATTCATAACATTCTGAAAAATAAAAGATGATTAGTGCAACTGATGTGTGCAGTTTTTCAGACTTTTATTTTTGAGATGCAAAACATTATTTTGGTAACGTTTGTCGCGACTTGTTCCTGTCAGTCGCAACGCGGAAGTACGCAAACCTGTCCGCATGAGTTTTACATTCAAGCCATACTATAAATGTCACAGAGCTAGAGTCGTGAGTACACAATCTAAAAGCTGCAATTATTAAGTCAATAAGCTGTGAGGATGATATGTTTTGCATTCTGTTTATGACGGTGTTCACTCTGCTCATGTGAGACGAAGCGAAGAGCCACAGTCACAAAGTGAGAGAAAACTAACTGCGACGTTTAGCTCGTTGTATAGCTGAAGTATGCTAGCACAGCGACGTCATTTACACGAAACAGATTAAAAATAAACATTTTTATTTCTAAAACTCGTCGATGCTGAAATCCTCTCCAGTCTCAAACATGGAAGAAGCATGGAGAAAGGGGTGGGGCCTTGTAATGATGACACCACTCTCACCCTTCAGTGTTTTCTGCTCATTGGTAGGAGGGTCATAAGTCAGGAAACAAGTCCATCTGGAACCACAGCTAGAGCTTAGACCAGTGGGAGTTGATTCAGAACAACTGGAACTAGGTGGACTCGACTGCTTCCAATCACTGGGTTTATGCTGGCTTAATCCTGTTGTTTTAGTTCTGGACTGTTTTACACCAGGTAGATTACAATGGTTTAGTTCAGTATATCTGGAATTATTGACATCAGTGGTTCTGTTCCTGGACTGGTTAAGAGATGTTTTACTAGACTGTAACAAATAATTATTGACATCAGTGGTTCTGGCTGTGGACTGGTTAAATCCTGTGGTTCTGGTTGAGGTCAACTGTCTGACAGGTTGACAGGCCTTTGAAAATAAAAAAGAAAGTTCAGTCTTACATTTTGGTCATACACTGTCATCGAGAAATGTATTGTTGCCATTGTTTTACCTGCTCAGATGGTGCTTCTCTTTTCCTTTTCCTGTTAAGACACAAGAGGTTAGAGTTTGTGTGTCTTACTAACCATGCTACAGGCACATCATTACAGTGGCTGTCTAAAATCAACAAGATGGCACCTGTTAGTCATTCTATTGCTAGGGCAGTTCTGCCTGTCCATCAAGACCATGTCGTCTTCATGTTCCTGTTCTGGATCCACCTCCTTAGGTGTGTCCAGGTATTTGCTCCAGCGACTTGTTTGTATTGGACTCTTGTGTATTTGAATATCAGTGCTCTCATGTTCAGCATCCTGCTCTTGTTCCTGTTCCCTGTTCACACACACACACACATAAACAAATATCAATTGTTAATCAAATATACTGTACAATGAAGCATTTTTGGCAAGGGTAAATACCATGATGAGCAGGCACTGCGCTCCTGCTCCTCCACCATGGCTCCTCTCATGGCATTTAGTTTTTGAACATGACGTCTGCAGTCTGCTGCTGAGCCTCGTCCATACTCCTGTTGATCAACATTGACGATATTAACTAAAGAATATTAATTGTGAAATAAACAGGTTCAAATGTTCATTAGGTAATTTAGCAAGTGTACATAATGAAGTTGCCAGCTGTTGTATATTCATCACATATAGTTAGCATTCACAGGTATGTTTAGACATAGACATATTTGCCAGAATTTCTGCAATTTCTAAATAAATAAAAAAACACAAAAGGAAAGAAGGAAAGAACGTGACCTTCAGCAATGACTGTTTTTCTCCACAAACTTTACAGCTCCACTTAGTGGTTGATTTTTTCACCTGAGGACGACACACAAAGTCTAATAACAAACAAATACACACAGCAATGTGCTTCACCAGTGGGCAGTAACTAAAGCATAAAGTACTATATAAAACAGTCAATATACATCTACTCATTTACTACACAGTAGTACATGAGTAGATGTATGTACTGTCACTGTTACAGGTAACAGGTGACACAACTCGGATGTATTAACCTTGGATTTACATTTACAGCTGTATATTATTTTTTACTAACATTTTGGTTTTTGGCGATTGCTGTTGTAAGACGGATGTTTGTGTTTGTTTATGGACAATGTATTGAGTATAAGACGGTACAGTGAGTTTAAAAAATAGTGTGTGATTCTCCTTTACCTGCTGGACTTGGAAGTTCTCACACGTCACGCACCTGGTAACGTGAAACTCTTGAACCATTGCTATAGTTTTAATTAAACCTGGGGTTTGGTCCTAATACTGATAATATTGTGGTCCAACACAATTTCCTGGTTTGTTTAAAGCGCGCTTGAAACGTCACAAAGTCGTTGAAGCTATTACCGCGAGAGTTTATAATGAGGTATACCGCCATCTAAAGGCAGGAGGAACTCCATGCTCTTCGATCTTCTTGTCAAATTAGCATTATCTAGTGGCAAAGTTGATGATTTACAAGTTCTCAACTATCCACAGCCAACGAAGGTAAGAGAACTCGTGGCATTTTTATTTTATTTTTTTAATTAAAAACAAACCTGAACCCTGCGTGCGGCAGAAGGGGTTGCATGCGGCGGCGGCAAGAAGAACAGGTTGAAAGTTAACACAATTCTAAATTTAATACCGATACTTTTGAACACTTTTTCAATGTAACTGTAGGGGAAACACTATAACATTTTCTTAGAGAAATATGATGACTTAAAAAAAATAATTGTCAAATATCTAAAATTGACCCAAAATGACATACTATATTAGAACTGAAATAAAAAAGTCGTTTTCATGAGCTGGAATGTGCTACGGGGAAAAAAAAGATGGGGCAGCAGACCAGGGTTTAAATACCTGTGCTCAAAGAAGACTGTAGCTTTGTAACGTGTATAATTTGCTTCTAAAGACCATGGACTAGTTTCACCTGGCAGTAAAGGTTCCTTGCCACTCATTACCAATAGCAGAACAGCCGAGAGGCTAACACCTCTGAGACTGGTGCAGGATCAAATCCCTGTGGTAAAAGTAGTCTGTTACACAAAACAGACTATATTAAATATGATTCCTTTTTGTCAATCTGTTCGGCTTTCTGCTGCCGTGCCCAACATTCTCTAAACTTAGTAATAATAAACAAATACTATACCATACTATCTAGTATTAGCAAAAAGTGACTGCGACACAACAGAGGTGAAGAATATATTTATTAGACCAATAACTGATCAATAAGGTAAATTTAAAACTACAGGGTAAATAGACAAAGGCAAAAAAAAAGGATCAACATGACCTCACCAGGTCAAAGTTAATACATCTATTTATTAATACACTTTAACACAAACAATTTCTTTATATGTGTATTCTTAAAATAATACATGATTCCTCAAAACATTTTAAAAGTTCAGGTGTGTGTTGGTCCAGACATGCAAACACAATTCAGGAAATGACTGATGATCTGTGTTCACTGAGTGTCACTGAAACAGAGATTTATTGCACACCTTAGTGTATAACAATTTTAGATCACACATAAAAGACGTGATATCAATTTTCACACGGGCCAACTTACAGATGACAGTTGGTGGCAGTGTGACAAACCTCTATATAATTTACATGTGGATGTGCTCAGGGGAGGAAGTGATGTTTTGCAAAGATTCAATGGTGTGACATAGATGTCATAGATGTTGTGTTTAATGCCATTTTGATGTTTTCCCTTCGGCCACACTCTCACAACTATATCCTGATAAGCTGTAAAACACTGTACCTTAACTGTCTTGAGATTGATCAGATTAAATTTCAAGGTTAATCGTTTTAGTGTAGTTCACTGAAATTGATCCTGTGAACTGATTTGGATAAAATCTGAATTGGGATAAAAGCTGCAACAGACTTGATTCTACATCTGGGCTCCATCTTTGAGTGTCCTTTTTCGTACAAGATTTAAAAGTCATCCAGAGCACTGTAATTTTATGGGCCTTACAAATTCTCTTGCCAGATATTTCTCTCCACAGGCTGATGTTTTTATTTGTAATTTAAATGTAATCAATCTGATTAAATAGCTATCGCAATTTCATTGTGTTGCAGAATTACTGGCCAATCAAAGCCTGATGAAACTGATCAACAGAAGATGAAACATCATCTTATCTTAAACCACTGGACCTCTCAGCTTGTCAGGTGAGTCAGACAGAGTGTGGGGAGATTTCATGTTCAGAGGAAGAGCTGATCTGGCGCTCCACTGCACGCTGGGTCTTACAGGCAGCAATCTTGGTCTGGATATCATGCTTTCTCTCAAAGTAGTCAACAAGCGGGGGCTCAGTGAGCAGTGACGCTAGAACCTGCTCAAAGGTAATTGACCAATCTAGGTCCAGTACACTTCCACGCCTTTGTTCTTCAGCTATGTCCTCACAAGCCAGTGAGCCCGAACTCACTACTGAGTAAGACGACGCAGATGAGTCATCTTTGGTGTCCTCATCACACAGTGGCAGTGTCACAGACTCAAGCTGGGCATTGTCCAGAGCCTGACATAAATCAGACTCACCTGATGCCCCATCAGCAGGGTTACAGTGTGGGGTCTGAGTAGAGGACGGAGTCTGTGCAGCAGCCGCAGAGTTGTTGAACTTCTTGCCGACCTCGCCAATACGCAACAGAAGGCTGGCGACAGTGGCAATGGAGTGATAAAGCTGCTGCTCCTCTGGCTGCTCAGCAAAAAGGTTATAGAGAGTTTTACAAAACTCTATGAACTGTTCCTGGTTAATCCTGGGCAAATCTTTGATGCTTTCTTTTTTCTGCTCTTTCTCTTTAGCCCACATCCTCAGGTAAAACCTGTAGTCCTTCATCTTGTCATCTAAAAGTTGAATTAAAAAAAAAGATAAACGCTCACTTCTCCACAGGTGATGTGCATCCATGTATCTTTACAACAGGAAGGAAAACTCACCTTTCTTCTCGTCACCTTCTCCTCCTGTGTCACCTGTTGACACAACAAAAAGTATCAGATTTTCTGATCAGATCCAGAACCACCCAGCTGTCTCTAATGTCACAGCACAGAAATCCCACTTTTTGTGATAACCAGCGTGGGTATGGGCTTGGCAAGAGCACCACAACATTGTACAAAAAAAGGTTTGTCTAATCACAACAACAAAACATACCCTGTGTCATTTCCTGATGACGTGCAGTGTTCTGGCGAGACAAGAGAGAGGAATCTGAAGAAAAGGAAAGAGCAGGAAACGGGAAGAAGGCGGCGACAAAAAAGCAGAAGAAAAAAGGAGAGAAAACAGGAGGACGGAGGGTTTGAATATGCAGAAGGAAGAAGGAAAGAAGAAGGAAGAGAAAAAAATGTGACAATGAAAAAAGGTCAAGGAAGAAGACAGGACAAAAAATAAGAGGAAAGAAACAGATATGATTGAAAGAGAAAACGTTATTGGAATATTTCATGCAAACCAGAAAATGAGATTTTAAGTGGAAAAAATTGTGAATTCTTATTTAGAGTATTTATATACTACAAACTGCTGTAAATAAACTACCATACCCTCTTTGTTGTAGTATTGAGAACATCTCAAGAAAAAAATTGCCTGCGTTGGCAAATCTGCTCTTTTGTTTTCAGAACATTATTTCAACTTCCTTTTTTTACCAATGCCAGTAAACATATTGTAGTAGTATTTATTTAGTATTGATTAATATTGGTATTTAGTGATCTGTGGTTACCTGGGGCTTCAGACTCAGTAAAGAATGTAGTCGCTTCCAGAGCAGATTCTGCTTCCTCAGGACACATAGCTAAAATAAAAACAATGAGTCAGAGGCCAAACACACGCACACGAATCCACCCATGCAGACGTAACACTTATGTGTTGTTGTTTACCTGGTGGGAGGTGGAGTTTGTACAATAGTTTGAGTTTCTCCATCATGTCTCCATGATACATCACACCTGCAACATACAAAGTTTTTAAAAACGCTCTGAACCAACTTGGTCCAATTCAGAATCAGGACTTACTGAGTCCAGTGATGAACTCTTTGAAGTTGACTAGGCCGTCTTGGTTTTGGTCAAGGAGTCTGAAAAGGCGGCCTGACAAAGTTGAGGTGTGGATTCCACACACCCACGGGGCGAGTGTCGTAAAGAGTTCGCAGAATTGAGAAGGATCAATACGATACTGCTCCAGATACGGCAGGCTGGGGTCGTGACGCTCCGCCGCAGTACTGCTTGAGCCCCAGTAACAACTGGTCATGTGTTTGGACTGAGGGACGATGCAAAGACAGAGAGGGAGTAAACATATCTGTGAGCAAACAGTGGAGTGCAACACAGTGCTCTCTGTTTCAATATCATTCATTTTGTATCCCTTTATTTTCACAGAGCTATTACATTGACTTCATCATCACTGATTACTTTAAAGAGGCAGTAGAGATCCTCCAGCTCCTCGATGCTGAACGCAGACTCCGTCACCATCGCCCTCACCTTTTTATAAACACACACTTTTAAACACTCGCCTGTATCTCCTGTATTACTCTCTGAAAAAGAAAGCATCACTCACCACACTTCTTTTAGCTGTGTCCTCCAGTGACTGAATGACTTTTAACCTCTGTTTGAATCTCATCTGCTCTATGACATCGGAGCGAAGGCTACCAAACTTCTGGAGAGCAAAAAAATATATAGCATGATCCTGTAGCTAGAGAAGGTCATGACATCACAGCCCCAACAACATGAGTGGCACAGGCCTCTCTTATTCAGACACAGCTACTTTTTTAACACATGAATCTGTAATATAAAAATGTTAATTTTTGACTCTTTTGTCACAAATCCCAACAGCAGACCTGGGACATCATCATGTCATCCTGCACTCTGACCTGATAGGACGACTTGATGAGATCAAAAATCTCAATCTGAGGAGGAGGTTCATCTCCACTTGTCAGCAAGGCGTGCAGGTGAGGGATTGGCAGAGCTCCGGTCTGATTATTCACCACATTGTCCAGGTACCTACACACACATACACACAAAGTCTTTAATATCCACTGAGAACTTTTTAACAAATGATATTAGGAGGTAAATAATAAATCATTACTAACTCATAATTGCCCAAATGACTTCTGCTCCACCATACTCCATCTTGTACCTGTCTACTCTTGCTGACATGACCACTGATTCATATCTGTCTGCTTCAACTAGTATTTTACCAAATCTGAATCACTGACAATAAGACCTTTACCTGCCAAGGATGGTCATTGCTTCTCCTTCATCATTGCAGGACAAAAGGGCAGCCATATTGTCATGGAGAACAGTCAATGCCACCTGCAGACAGATTCACAGCTTTCAGAGGTCAGATGTTTGACACACAAGTACAGTATTAAGCTTAAAATGTATATAACAGATTTTGGTGGGTCACTAATTTGTCAATAACTGGTTACTACCTGGAAAATGACCTTGATGCCCTCATAGAAAAAACAGTCTACCAGCAGGGCAGCACTATGGAAGGGCATCACAGAGAGAAAAAGTGTGAGGAACCAGGAGAGACTGATTGTGGAAATGACGCCAAGATCCTTCATGTGTACATAGAGAGTAGGCAGGTAGAGACGAGTCAAGTCTTCAAACACACCCTGATCCACCAGAGCTCCTGAGGACACCAGGGCACGAATCAGAGGACAAAAGACAAAAGATGCTTATCAAGATAAGATAAGATCTGTATAAGTTGGCCAGTTTAGATATTGTCCTGCATCAGCCTTTCTTTTATCTAGTTTTGTGTTTCTACTGAAAACCACTAGTTTAGGAGGACAGACCTCAGGCCTTGATGGTTACTTACCTACAACTCTGGTATTGTAGTAATCAGGCAGCATACGTTCACAAAGTGCCACCAGCAGCCAGAAGGCGCCCTCTTCAGGACAGTAGAGCAGCAGGACAGAAGTTACAATATTCATGGCCTGAGCAGAGAGCAGAGCATGAGCAGGCCAGACCCAGTCTCACAACATCAGGACCACACATGTCAAATCCACTCCAAACAACAAACAGTATATGTCATCATATGGAATATTAGTTTAAATCAATATCTAATGTTAGTCAGTTAAATATGGAAATATTTATACTCTGATATAGTATATAAATAACAATAATATTATGCTTACTGACCTGACAGTAGCCTATATTGGGGTTGCGGTGGGCATAGGCTGTTAGGACACGTCGCAGTGCAGCAATGCCCGTTTCATTTTGGAATGCGTGATGTTCAGGCATTGATCGATGAAGGTCACGCTCAATTTCCTCTGAGGCTAATGAACTTTGACCCATGGCCTGTTCTACCAAGTCCTCATAGTACCCAGGGTGAGAGTCCATTTCATTCTGTGCTCCTGTGTAAATGACAGACAGAAAGAGACAGACGGAGCTATGTAATAGTGTAACAACTACAGCAACATCCACCGGTGGATCAATCTCTAACCTGAAAAGAGCAGCCACTGTGTCCCCCTCAAATTTTCTGGAATTCCGTTCAGCACTAGTTCTCTGGTTCTGGAGGTTCTGTACATACATACCCCTCTACCAAACTCTGAGAAGTGAATGTTCCACAGTTCTTCCTTCATCTTCTCCTTCATCTGTGAAAGAAGAGACAAATGTAAAGGTTTAAGAAGAAGATGTGAATTTGGGAAGATAAGACTGGAGCTGAACTCACAGCTTTAGGACCCAAGTCCTCACTGTTGGTGTCAGTGTTGGCATGGTATAGTTGCAGTAAACTCTGGTTAGATGTGGGGAGACCAGCATGGTAATGTCGCCCCCTGGTGACAGCCTCAGATACTGCAAGTGAGGAAACCTGAAAAAGTAATGAGGAATATATATTATACACTGACACCACTAAGCGCAAGGGTGGTGGTATAGGTTACATACTGGGTTCCCAATCAGTGGCAATGGGCTGTCAGGAGTCCGCTGTAGGAAGTCGGAAATGCGATGGACCAGGAAGTCTCTATCTTTAAGGTTAGCAAAGAGGAAGTTCATCTTGTTTTTGGTGCTTATGGAGACTGGACATGGGAGAACGCTGCTGCTGTCTGCCTTCTCCACAACAGATACCTGGAACAGAGCAGGAGGAAGAAAGACAATGAGAAAATATAAAATACACTGGTGTTTATTGGTCACTGAAAGGTACCTTTATCATCTTACAGCCATGGACATTTAATGTAAGTAAACATCACCATGAGATGTTGCTATATCACATACAATATATATAGGTACATACATGTTGGAGGATGATTAAATTATTTAACCCCTTATATATTTTAGAGAACAACAAATGTATTTTATGCAGTCCTATTTATTATACAGCTATTACAGTATACACAGCTTTAGAGACTAAAGTCAACACTTTATATGCTTAATACAAAAGCTGCATATATTCATTTTGATTTTATTCTCTGTTTTGTAATTTTATACAAAAATATAAAATCAGTAGACACACCATGGTTAAAATTAAGGTTTTGTAACTGCCACAGTAAATTCATGCATGTATGTGTGTTGATACCTCTCGCAGTGGGATGATCAGCTGACAAACTTCTTCCTCTTTGCTGTTAAAACAGATGTAGTTGTTGGAGATGAAGAGCTGACCAACCACATGCATTTTAGCAAACGGCGCCCACAAAGTGCAATCAGTGTGTCCATCTAGACGCTCGTCCTGTGTCAGACGGAACATTGCACGGTATCGCTCATTCTTTGCTCGGGCATCCAAGTCCCTGCAGAGAGGAAAAGAATAACTAGATTGCACAAAAAGGGTCATGAACAGCAAGGTGAAAGTGTCTAAACAAAGAGGCACCTCTTCAGCGCAGAGACATTCTTAAGCGTCTTGCTGGGTTTGGGCAGAGAACGATCGGCAGCAAAGGCTTCGTTGTCAAGCAGCTGACGCATTGCAATGTTAGCTAACTGCTCCATAAGTTTGAAGGTGTCATTGATGTTGAGGAACATGGAAAAGAAGTGCTCTGTGTTCCGTGTGCTAACTCGCACACTCTCAGGGAAAACCAATGTGGAGTTCTTCTCAAGCTGTGTCACTTCCATCCATGGAACCACCAGTGTTACTGAGAGAGAGGAGAGACATTTATAAAGACAGTTATGACAGCCCATGCACGTATGTATTTGTTGTATATTTCCTTCTTCATTTGCCAAGAAAGTGTCAGTTAAAACTAACAAAATAATACTTGCAAATTAACTGTCTGCTCATACCCTCTTTGCCCAGCAGGAGGGAGTAAAAGCACAGGTGGTTGACCGACAGATAGAGCCAACCCTGGCGAGGAACGCGACCTTTCCAGTAGCTGCAGGAGTAGTAATTCACTAGTTTTTCTTCTTCAGGCATCCCAAACAATGAACGCATTTTCAGTTCTGCCTCCCTGAACTTGCGGCTCTCTTCTTCTGGCTCCTCCCCCTTCTTCAGACGCTTCTCCTCTGCAATGATGCCCTGCAGGAAATGGCATTCTTAGAAAAGGTACAAAACAGGGAATAAAATTGCTTATAGCTAAAGAAGAAAGTGTCTTACACAAATCTTCCCTTTGACAAAAGTAGTGATGTCTTGATCATTGTCAAAGATAGCAACAGTCTGCAGCAGGTTGGACTCCAGCCAATCCCAATGCTCGGTGATCTCCTTTCTGGATGAGCCTGAAAAACAGCTGAGGGTCAGCAAACTTGTCCTGATCACTATCCCAGAACAACAGACAGTTTAACTGATCACTGAGCACCAGATCTGTCTTATCAACTCACCACATGCAATGTTCCAGTAGATTTGAGAGTCTGACGTCTGAAGCAGAATCCTGTATGGAGCCACTCTAGCACTAGAGTCAAGAACCACATCCAGAGTGCCAACCAAGAGACCTGAAGGGACCAAAAAGGAGACACAAATAGAAGGTAAACATTTGCATCAATACCATTCAAAATATGACATGGGAGACCTGTGTTTTACATGACACATGATTATGTAGTGGCCAAAGCTTTTGGATTTGTCATTCGAGTAGTAATTTTATCAGTACCAATTTACAGCAGTAACTACGTAACCAGGTTCAGACGATGACAAACATTAGAAAAAAGAAAGACAATCTCCATGACAACCGTGCAGACTACATCTACTGTAAAATATATTTTCACATTCATTTAGGTGTTTTATGTATTCTAGTACAGCAGAGTTAAAATCCAGTTATTGATCCAGGTTCTGGTCCATACTGCAAAAAGAACTATAGATGCTTACCCGAAAGTCCACCTCCACGGCCATGGCCTTTCCTCCTCTGTAGGATGAAGAATGGGTTCGCCCGCTCCGAGACCCAGAGTGCCCCCGCTAGGAGAACCTCCTCTGGCTCGATCCACATCTTCTTCCGCTGGATAACACTTGCTGTTCTTGCAGTCAGTAGCTGCTCATTAATCTACAGTTTCTGACGGCAAGTTATTGCCCCGGGCGTCGGCAACTGGATGCGCTCTTCAATTTACCCATTGCTGTCAGTATTTTCTTTTAGCTGTAGATGCCCAGTCCCGACCAGTAGTTTCCCCCGCTGGTCAGTAACTGCCCCTTCTCGTCAGTAGATGCCCCTCCGATTCTGTAGTTGTTACTTCATATCAGTCACTGTACCTTCTCCTTATGGTACCCACTATGCTCAATAAGAGCCCTAGTCCGTATCAATAGTTGCCCACTTTTCAGACAAACAAGGAGGTGATGTTTTTTTCATCGGTCAGGAGACTGCACATCATTTCCGGGTGTGACGAGTTATCAGCGTGCTGCGTCACTACGTCTCAGCGTAGCTGTTTACGTTGCGTTCATAATGAATCGAGAAAATAGAAGGAATATATATTCTTTCCATAAAATTTACTGACGAGTTAATAATTGCTTGAACAAAAGCAGTCTTTATACATTTATCACTATTATCAGACTCTCGAACATTGCACTTATTTTCGAGTGTTTTTTAATTACCTCTCGGTGTTTTATTATTTACGTTTTCCTAAATTAAATACCCGTGTGTATGTAAACAAATTGATAGACATATATGTAGCGTATATGCAGATTCCCAGGACTAGGGCGCTAAGAATTTAACTATTTATTTATATTATTTGAGACCATTATTTTGTTGGGGTGGAAATAGCATCCCCACACCTGTTATCAATTAACCTCTCCCACAACTGTTTCTATGGTCTTTTCAGGTCTGTATTTGTTTCGAAAATAGGTAATTTACTTTTACTGAAGTACATTTCGACTCAGGTATTTTACTTTGCTGCATTGGAAAATAACCCGTTATATAGCGAAGGAAATCCTTGACCATATCTCAGCCAGCTCTTTGCTTTCAAATGCAAACAAGGAAATTACTTTATGATGGGATGCCTGGCCAGGCGAACACAGCTGTCGCTGTGGAAACTTCCACATCGACCCTGCGAGAGCATGTGGCGGTGAGTAGAGTATCTGTGCTTTTGCCTGTTTATTGTTGGGTTAAAACATTCATCCGTTAAGCAAAATGTGCCTTAACGATAATGATTTTTTTAGGATCCATCCTGATCACTTAGGTTTTAGTGAAGTAGAGTAGTACCAGAGCAACTAAATAATACAGGTGATTTTAATTTGGTCTAATAATCCAAGAGTTGGTGTCTAATTAATCTAACATGAGAGAATGATGGGTTGTTGTAGCTTAGACTATGACCTTTGGATGGACAGTGATAGCAGTCATTTATGACAGTTGTTTACAGCACAACACTGATTACAGCACAGTTTGTTAATAAGGAATTTCTCAACATTTTCACTGTCATGGATACGTTTGATCTTTGTTTTATTTATTTTTTTCTTATTGTAGTGTTTGAGTTGGATCGTATAATTCAGAATTTGACGCTTTATACCAATTGTGCTTTATAATGTCTTATGGTGTAACTATTCACAGTTCAGACTGAATATAGTACCAGACTGGAATTTGGTTGGTTTAAGTTTCATTTAGTCAGTCATTTATTAAGTGTTCTTTAGTGGCTTGTATAAACGGTCAAATAGATCATAGAATTCTCAACTTATACCACCTGTATTTACAACAAGTTGCATATTGGATGTATAACTTGTCCCTTTTTTTGCAATTTAACGTAACTAAGTAACTTTTACCTAAAGTACATTTTAAATTAAGTACTTTTTACTTTTTTCTGTAGATTTTTAGATGCATTTTTGGAAAAGGTAAAATTTAGATATAGCTAGATGGACCGGAAGACAGAAAAGTGATAGATATAAAACATAAAATGGTAGAACAATAACAAGAGTCATGTTAAACATGATAACACTTTAATGACATTTAATATTGAGGCAGTAAAATACACATTACCATCATCATCTTCACCATCATACCATGTGACACAGACAGAAGCTGATGTGTTTCACAGAGCATCCTTGTATATAAGACACATCAGAGATATTGATTGATTAATCAATTGATTATTGATTAAAATGCTGTTTATATCTGGTTACTACACAAAGCTACAATTTAAAGGAGAAGTACATCGTTTCAGGAAACCCCGTGGTGAAATGTTTTCAGGCCAAAATTAATTGAAAAGTTGAAAGACCTCATCTCACAGGATTATCATCTCTTTTTACAGCCAGGAACCTCCTCACACCAAGTTTAAACCATCTCAGGTTTTACATGTGTAAACGGACATACATAACACCAGTGCATTGTGGATCAGATCACCTAATCTGGATGTCGACAGCAGGCGTAAAAATGTTTATGAAGTAAACACTGGGTTTTATTGACCCTAGGAAATAAAAAACAAATACTTGGAATGGCTCCTGGAGTTGACACCAAGTACAAGCATTCCTTATATTTAATATCATACGTGTAAATAGACCTTGGAAACTAACACCAGGTTTCAATGGTAGTCAGACATTAACACCGGGTATAAATGGGCTTCTGTGGTTGAGAGCTATGTCATTCAGGTTTCCGGAAGCGTGAACAGTTTTATTGTTCTACAAATTCACAGGATTGATTCTCCAAAGAATCACGACCAGAGCCCTGATTCTGGCTCTGTTTATAGTTAGTATATACAGACAAGGAGATCTGGCCCATGTCTTCAGTCTGTAGTCCAGCAGCATGAGGTCTGGCTAAATGCCTTGGCCTCCTCCTAGACATCATCAGGGCCTTTTGTGTCCAGAGGGTAGTAACAGGTGTAGAATCTCTGAACCTGGTTTTCCAGAGAAACATGGAATAATTTCAGAACGTTTAAGATCTTTAGAGCTTCTCAAGAAAACTGGAACCCTTTAAGACACAAAGACCGTTTCCATGAACCCTTTAGGCACTCGGAAGTTACTCCAGGAATAATTTTGGAACTTGGAATTTTGTCAAGTCAATGACCTCAACAAGACTCCAGACCATCTAGGCACCAAACACCCTAGAGTAATTTTCAGAAACATCATTATTGACAACTTCCTTTAAATGTTTCTTCAATGTGAGTGTCTCGTTTAGGCAGCACTTTGATAAATTAAAAAAATATTGTAGGTGATCCTCATGGGGTGAAGCATCTGATGGAAATCTCAGTTTTCCAAGAACCCAAGACCATCTGTAGGATCACAGAAACACTCCAGAAGTTTAAAAAAAAAAACGTTTCCAAAAAAAGTCTAACCAGAGGCCAAGATCCAGACTCCAGAGTTCACATTCAGTCTGAACTAAAAAAAAAAACACAATCAGGTTGTCGTTATTTGACTCCTCTTGGGCAAAGGTGCGAGTCTGGTCAACATGAGCCTCATGACTTGTCATCATAGAGATCCAGTGAAGCCTGGATGTCTGTCATCTCCATTTCACAGACAATGCTGCGAGGAGACATTGAGTTTCTATTAAAGAAGTGACCGCCACCTGGTGAGAAGGAACCAAATAAATGATTATTTAACCCAGTGGAGTTTCGCATTGGTCCAGATCTGACTGTACATAATTATTCTCCTCTGTACTCACTGGTCACTGCAATAGCAATGTCAGCAGGTGTCCTGGGAGTGATCTCAGGATGTGGTGGACTCAGAGGCTCCATGCTGATGGACAGCTGATTGCTTTCACTCAAAGGTGCCCTCTGGCTGCTGGAGGCCTGACTAATGCTAAGACGCTCCACGTCCAACACCACACTGTCCACACAGGGAAGACTTGTCTAAAGGACAGAGGACAGTCATCCAGACTAGATTCAGAGTAGTGACATCATCGATCATGTGACCCACTGAAGACACTAGTACTGACTCACCATGATGCCCAGAGCTTTGAGAATATTGAGTTTACACATTGGACATGTGCAGTGTTCATGAAGCCACGGGTCTACGCACACTTTGTGGAAGACATGTCTGCAAAGAAGTAGAGAAACAAGGTCTATAACTGAACCTGGTCCAAAACCTAAACCTGCATGTCTCAATATGAAGAAGCATTTGCTTGAGCCTAAAGCAGCACCCGTCTACATCTGAACAAACATCTGTCTTAAGTTGGAGACTTACTTGCATGGCAGAATCCTGACCACGTCATTCAGCTGGTATGCTTCTATGCAGACAGCACAGTGATTAAAGTCCGGATCAGTCTCCTGAAAGAACATGGAGAAAAGAATATAGAGTGCTGGGTACTCTGGTGTTCAGGTGGTGGTCTCAGGCTTGTCATAGTACTGTCATGGATGATCACATCGCTAAATACAGTTTTGAGAATAACCCTAACCCTTGCAATGATAATAGCCACCAATGACATCAGGAAAAAAGCGGTTCATGGGAAAATAGCTGATTCAGAGACTCATTTGAAGGATACGCCGAACCAAGGACAAGCTTTGAAATACGTTCACAATCCCTAGAGATCTACTGCTAATGACTACCTTTGTAAATTATTAAGTGTCCAGTAAATATTTATTTTGGTGTAAACAGGAAGTGATAGAGACTTAGGGTACATCCCTGTAAATGTAGAGGGACATCCTTTTTTACCTTATCTCCTTTCTTCACTGTTCTTGTTGTCAACTTGCCGATGGCCTTCTTTGCTGCATCATCAAGTCGACGCTAAGACACACAAAAGAGAATAAAAAATACGGAGAATAAGTATCTGAGGACAAACACTAAATCCATATAACAGAAGGTTGAATCTAATTCTACTCATGTTTACATTATTGGTCAGGATAGGAACTTTAGCATAACGGTTTCTGACCCCTCTGTCAGCAGATATCCACCTACTTGATATTCTTAAAGAAAAAGTATTTTTTAATGAACCATCAGTATCGTGAGAAAAAAAAAAGCAAATTGGTTCTGCAAGTAAAATAGCAACACTACAGATTTATAACTATTAAAGTAGATGTTCAGTTTTTTCAAGTCTTTCAAGATTGGTCTTGGTTAGACAGGGAGAGGAGAGGAGGTAAGTGGGGAAGGAGTCACAGATTCATGACTTCAGCACATTTGCGTCATTAAATATTAAGAAATATTCGGACTCATCTGAATATCATCAGACTTGGAAAAAGAGATTTTAATATGTCAAACTATTTGCTACTACTACTATTTACTTGTGTCCTGATTTATTAGCCTAATAACATATTTTATGTGATATATACACTTGTTTATTATAGCCCAGTATATGAAACTGTTTTTATCAAACTGTTAGCTTATAGGAGGCTGACTGTGAATCACTAGACGATAGAGTTGTTGAAAGGCTCAGGACAACAGTTTCTGTAAGAACAGACCATTGATTGAATTCCATTGCAGTCTTTTCATTTAATATCAGCCTAGGGTCAGGACAACAGCGTGTGAGCATGTTTATTAGACTGTCAGCTGTCTGCATTTCACTGTGTTGTTTCTTAAAAACACATGACAACCTCAGTGAACTGACATCTCGAGTGCTGAAGTCAAAGGATGAAGAAGAAGAAAAAAAATCAACGTAAGCAGCATCAGATACTTTAGACATTAGATACAGACTTTTTGCATGTTTACTTCTGTGTCTTTTGGAACCAGAACAGCAAAATCTAACTGCACTGGAATAAAAACAGTCATAAATGTATTTTACAAAGGCAATAAACATTAAGTTCTCCAGTCAATTTTATAACAGAGAACTCAACAGGAAAGAACACAACACACAGCTTTGGGACATCTGTTTTCAGCCCTACATTTCTGACACTTAATCACCATACGCCACCTTCCTAATGTGCTATCCATTATCATAATAAATTCAATAAACGACAGTCCAGACAACCTCCAGCTCAAAGAGCATACCACTGTCTCCACTAAAAACATAGTTGTCCAAACAAAAACAGGCAGATGATGACATAAACAAACTCAATGTTACTAAGTCTAGTAGAAGTCTAGTACATTCTCTAAATATTTTTGAGAACTTACAGGAAATCTTTTCTTAGAGTCTTAGATTTGGGTTCCCATTTCTGACCAATTAAAAAGCAAAGCTAGTTTCAATTCAGCTTTGAGCACATTTTTAGTGTAAAAATGAAAAGTGTAAATGACTTTGCCAACATACTACCTGACTGCGGTCCCTGGCACTGGTGTAGCGGATCTTCTGGATAAAATAGAAGATGAGCCAGGCAGATGAAATGATCATCAGGACAATGAAAGAGATGGAGACAAAGACGAGTGAGCCTCGGTTGATGTTCTTTGTGGGACCACGTTGCCCCACTACTACAGAAACCAGGACTGTCAGGTTCCGGTCCAAGTGAGCCAGAATTTCTTTTCCGTAGGCCTCTGTGATCATCACCGCCACAGTGTCACCAGTACCTGCACAAAACAAGACTTTCTGTTTAGTTGTGGGCAATCATTGCCTTTCCTTGTTTTTCAAACTTACAGTACTAATTAAACATTTGGAGACAGAACTCTATAGGACAAAAGATCAGTTTTTAAGTTTGTCACCACCCCCTGCAGGGGAGGAAGAGGGTGTGCGTTATGTAAGGGGTAATTGTCTCGCTTTCTGATTTTTAAACCAAATGTTGTAATTGTGGCCTTCTTAATGAAATGTAAATCAAATAGTCCTCTTAGAAGTCAAATCAGAATGTGGAACTAGCAGAATAAACAGGAAGAAATCCACCCCCTCCCTTTTTCACACAGTAACAAAAACACTTTAACATCTTCTCCTGAGTTTCAGTGGCACTTGCAGATAAGTCATTTGCACTGACACTTTTTGAATGTCTTATCAGCTGCTGTTAGCTCAGGTCTATCAAGTTGGTTGACTCCTGATACCTGAGAACATGTAAATGCAGGCTGTAGCTCACAGTCGGATCAGCTGTGAAGTGAAGATCAGACATGTTTACGACAGAAACACTGCCAGGGGCTGGATGTGTTCTCTCTTTGATCAGTTTTACTCAGCTATGGTCCGTTTACAGGCAGAGCTGTTCAAGATCATCTGTGGTCTACTGAGCTTGAACAAATTATACATACACCATAATGGCCGCACATGATAAAGTTGTTTTGATACAAATTTTAACTAAAGTTCAGTCACTTTTCTTACAGATTTTGATGTGAAAAATTCACCTTTTTTGAGCAGTTTTTTCTGTGTTCTGCATTTCTCATATCACTCATCCATCGTCCATCACTCATCTCAACAGCTGCTCCATGCTCTTTGTTCACAAAGCCAGAAAATTAAAACAAATACCAGTAAACTGCAGACAATATTCTTAACCAAGACTCGCCCCGATCAGGGGAGGAGTCGCCATATTGTTGTCGTTTGATAAATCTGTGCTGAGTCATATAACTTTATATTGGCTCAGCGATCTTGCGTGATTATAATTTAACTATTGCATGCAAGTCTGAGACCGACAAACTGTAGCTTTATGTGAGACATGTTCAGACCAGTGTCCACCTTTGTGGGGCTCAGTTTCTGGTGGGTGAGGCAGAGGAAGTCAAGATTCCTGAGCTGTGTGTAAACATGCTGAGACAGGAGAAACTGCTTCATCCAACAACAGATTTTTAGTTGCTTTGGAAACCCTGTTAGACAATCTTGTCATTTTATAAACTTTTTACTTTCGGGAAATTCAACTGCCTCGCTGCACACAAAATGTGTTGACCCCCAACAGACTCGGAACAGAACGGTAATTTTAATATTTTCTGACCTCTCTGTTCCCAACAGACAGCAGCAAACCAGCAGGTCCAGTGACCTTGTCTGCTAAAAATGCTGATTCTCTCTATAGACTTTGGCATGAACAGTATGCTGTTTCGCAGCATTGGTTTCCTGCAGAAAAGTTACGGATGGGTCAGGTTTAATGAATTTATAATAACTGATATTGATACCTCATACTAATGCTGATATTTATCAACACTGTTATTTGTACTCTTTGTGTTAAGACATTATTGAGCTGGGCCACCATCTTATTCTTTCTAACAGTTGTTAGGTATTCAATACTGGCAGTGCCATGAACCTCAGAGGTGGTGTCATTATTTCATGTTTGCTACGAACCAACAGTTAAACACTTCCTGTTGAAAAATCAGTACTTCCTGTCTTTGACATTCAATGTCTTACGCACAAAGACACACAGACACAGCTCAATGACCTGTTCTAGTCTATATTTAGAAGTTGACATCGATCTGCAAAGAAATCACTGCTCTTTTGCTCTCTCTCTCTCTCTCTCACAAACACAGACACACACACACACACACACACACACACACACACCCTGTAGTGTCAGCACTCTGTGACCTTCATTGTTTATAATACTTTGCCCTCGGAAATATTACAGTGACACCAGGCCTGGTTGTGATGTCACAGTGATGTCACTAACCTTCATGTCCCATTTTGACCGTCTTGTCCGTAGAGTTGTTGTAGATGAGGACGGCGCTGGCGTTGAATGCTGTGGCCTTCAGGATCTTCTCTTTGAAGGTGCAGTTTCCTCTCTGCAACAGTGCTACCCACTGGACACCACGGGGGGGAACCAAAAAGCGAGTGTTGGGGTCACAGCCCTGCCGGTCCACCACTGACGAGACAAAGAGGTAAATTCTCTAACTTTGAACAAACTAAACTAAAAAAACACAAGTTAGCTCTGTGTCAACCAGATATTTTTTTCTGTCAGGTGTACACTCTCTCACCTCCATTATGTGGTGTTGGTGCAATGACCACACCCCTTGTGTCCACCTTGGGTGAGTTCTGTCCATATGTCCCGTCATCACTGCTCATCACATGGACAGTGTGTCCTCGTGCATCCAGCACCGTGGTGTTCACTGTGGCACCGACGAACTCCTCTGACACCATGTTTCTGTCAGAACGAGCTGCAGCGACAGAGTCCATCAGCACCACAACCAGAACCAGGACCAGGACTTGGAGGTAGGACATGGGTTGACAGGTGCACCTCAAGGATGCCATGACGTTGTCTTTACATCAAAACTGTTGACGGACAAAAGAAATTAGATTAAGATAAGACGAGTACAGTAACATACATACGCTCAACTCCAAACGATGTTTGTGTCTCAGCTGTATCTTTTGTTCTAACATGTTTTTATAACACCAGCAGCTGACATTAGGACAGGTGAAAGTGCACCGTTCATCAAATGGCCACATATGAAGACAAACAACAATTCAACCTAAAAAAAACAAGAAAACACATACTATAGTGGAAAACATAGAGCTGAGGCTTAGAATAGCAACAGTTGTATTCATTTTAAGACTCCTGAACCAGTGGTTCAGTGTCAGTCTCATGTCTTAGCCTCTGCAGTTTTTTCTTTGCCCCTAAAACTTTACCATCATTTTACACAAATACTGTAGTGTTGTGTTGTGTATGTTATGGTCTATATCGACGATTACATCCAAAAAAGTTGATTATATTTATTGATTGCACTTTGTGTATTTTGACTGGATGAGAAAATGTAATTTTTTTTTCTTTTTTGTCTTACACTATACTCTAAATTCCTATGTGTGTTTGACTATATTTACATGCATGGCTAAAGGAAGTGTTTTGATGTTTTAAAACATTAACCCCTCCCAGCCTGTGAGAGGATGTATGTGCAGCTGTAGCCTTTCGGCTCTACATATTCTTAATCCTACTACCTGGAAATATGTTCAACAAAAACAAAGAAAATATTTTTTGGAAAGACATGAAACAGAAGTCAATCACAGAAGACTGCTTGTGGCTAGCCTGCTATGTTTTGCACAATTTCTTGGTTCTGCGGGACTGTTTACCAACCTACTTGCAATAGTGTAAAAACGATCCAATTTCTTTTTCATTTTGACATTTTAAACAATAGAAATTTACATTGACATTTGTCTGAAATCACATCAACTGTCCACTGCTAGGTTATGCTCACTGGCCGGATTTTTAAAATGATTTTATAGTTCGTTTTTCAGAGAATTCTTGCATGTTATACTTCTGAGGTTATAACGCTACAATTGCCCTTGTTCTAGTGTACAAGCAAGTCAAAGAGGAACTAGATGTGTGGCCATGTGCCAGCTTTACATTTTGCTGCAGCAGTTACATAGTCGTAGATGTAACTATGTATATATCCATAGATAAATAAATATACCGATACTTGAAACTGTTTTTCAATCACTTATAGCAATAATGCTGTTATGGTTTACGATCTCAATCACTACACTTGGTTTTCAACAACGTAAGGTTTATTTTACACTTTACAATTCCATTCAGTGTGATATATATATACTCCTAAATTCCCCCCTTGTCTGGAACGCAATACCTCTTTTAACGCGTCAACGGTTCCTGAAATATTTTTAAAAAATACAATATATCTGAATGCCCCAATCTTGAAATGTCTGTTCACCATTTGCCTATTTGCTTCGTACATACGTTTACCTGTGGTTCCAGTCTATTCCTGGACGCCTCGTCTTTGTTTTTCCTGGATTAGTTGTCCTCTGTCTGTCCACAGGTCTATCCTGTCTTCCAGTGTATCTCCGTATCAACGTCCTCTATGAAGACGAATTCCTAGGTTTAGACCCTCGTCTCCTTCCGCAGTTGCAAGACCTAAACACGTCTGTCCTTACAGTCCCCGCTCTATGGACGGATGACGGACAGATAGATTTGTCCCGGGTTGGTGGACAGACCCGGGATAAACATGGGTTAAAGGCGGATCATCATCATGACTCAGTGTTTACCGTCGCTTTGTTTCATCGTGTCACCATTGCTGCTCTTCAAACCCCGGTCTGTCCTCCAGTAAGTGTCCCGGTAAATATTCTCCAAAAATGCTCGGTTAATTTCCTGTTGTACGTCGCCTCCGCTGATGCCGTGGTTTAGCGTTTGTGTGGGTTTGGACTCTGCAGATGATCAAGTCCCGTCTCTCCATTAGAGACGAACTGGGCCTGCGCACAACAGCAGCACGGGGAGGTGGGAAAGGGGGGCGCGTGTCCCTCACACAAGTCTGTCTTCACGTATAACGAACGTGATTTGGAACGAGTGTCGCGATAACTTTGGAGAAACCGTTAGTTGAGAGACAGACATTTCAACTGGCAGTTTCGAGTTTTAACAATTTGACCGTGTGTTTATCCACATAGTAAAATACATGTAAACATCTATACATTGATTATGCTCAATTTTATTTATCTTTCTGAATAAATAGACATATTAGATTGAATTTGGAGAACGCAAAAGTGCAGGTAAAAGTCAACAGACGAGGATGAGAGGATTTACAGCGTCTTTAAAATACCACACTGTAGAAATTATTACAAAATCAACAGAAGACAATACAAATGTTACATTATCCCTTTTCCCACATATTTTGAAGTGTCTGTCATTGGCATTGTGCAAAATGTGCAATACTTGAAAACAAAATTTGAGAAGACTCTCACACACAGTTACAGTAGAAAATTGAAAACAATAGAAGACATTGAAAATGGTTTTGCGCCCCCCTCCCACCGCCTCCTGCTCCTCCTTAAAACAAAGTGGAACCTCATGAGACTTCTCCAAACAGCTGAGTAAAAGAAAGTGAAAGTGAATTATTTGTCAGTGTGACACAGCACACCACTGCACACACAATGAAATCTGACCTGTGCTTTTAACCCATCACCAAAGTGAACAGGGTGTGGGGACGGTGCCTTGCTCAGAGCACCTCAGTGGTAACTTGGCAGCTGGTGGACTCAAACCTGAAGTCCGCTTCCATAAGCACTAAACCACCACTGCCCCCATAAAGCAGTCTTCTGAGTGTATGTAATCCAGAAAAAAGTTGGATTTAACATTAACAAAAAACAAAGCCAATGCAGCGTTAGACAAAATGTTAGACATACAGTATATCATATTATACCCAGTTTTACACCATGAAAAATGAATCACCTATCATCCAAAGCAGACAGAGCTGTTGTAGTCTTTGCAGGATTTTTATATCTAGAAATGTTGACATCTACAGCTATATCTAGGCTTTATAAAAATGAAGGCCTTATAAGGTAGCAAGTGTCACAGTTACATACTGTAGAAACATTTTTTTACCATGACAGTATTTGTTTGTTCAGTAATTTGGTAAAGTGATTCAGTGATATTCAGCGTTCAGTGTGGGTGTATTTACAGCTTACTATAAGTGTTCTGCTGAAACAAACAGGAAATAGTTTATCAGCTCTTACCAACACCATGTCCATCAACAACCAAACCCACACCCGGCCCTGATGCTGTTTCATTTTAGTCAGACTCACTGCTGGTCGCTGTTCTCTGAATTGGGCTCAAGAGACTTCAGTTTTACAGACACATCTGGATCCAATCACACGGTGGAAGGAGGAGAAGAAGGGAGGAGGGTCATTTCTGCAGGTCTTGAATTAAACACAGGAACGGGAAACCTTTCTAGCTGAAAACAAAAGAGACGTAGCAGAAGAAGAGCAAAAATGTGGACTTCAAAAATGCTGGTCTTCATCACAGTAATGTCTCTCTTATGTGGAGCTACAGTGTCTTTGAATTCTTCTGAACACCAGTGCTCGGGGATGTCTTTCCGTAAGTGCACTTCTCGTCTTTCCTGTGGGCATGCAGACGTGTAGAGACATTACAAATTTTGCAGCTATGCATGAACATTAGTGTGTTTGACAACTTTTCAGTTACAGCATCATATGCCTTTAATTGTTTATTGCTTTATCTTTCCATTAGACAGTGTTTTAGAAACCCAAAAATATGCATTGAATGATTTGGATCTTTGTGACACACTAAACCAGGCAGATATAAACTTAAAATAAGCTTTAAAACCAAAACATGTTATGTTCTGTATGGGACTGATTTGGTTTTGGTTCTGGTACATGCAGGTCTGCGGGCATTCAAACTCATGACTTCCTGTAACGTCACAACCTTAACGGAGAGGCATCTGAAGGAAATCCAGGCACCACCCACGACACGTTACCTGCCACTCTTGTACCTGGTGGCATTTGTAATAGGTTTCCCATCAAACCTGCTGGCTCTCTGGGTTCTGGTGTTCCGAACTAAACCCCAGCCTTCCACCATACTGCTCATCAACCTGACATTAGCCGATGTGCTGCTGTTGCTGGTGTTGCCATTTCGTATTGTATACCATTTTCGAGGGAATCACTGGAGTCTGGGGGAACCATTCTGTCGTTTTGTTATTGCCGCATTTTATGGCAATATGTATGGATCTGTGGTGTGTTTGGCTTGCATAGCTCTGGACCGATACATTGCACTGGTTCACCCGTTCAATGCTAAGGTGTTGCGCAGCCGGCGGACATCTTTGTACATGACAGCTGTAGTTTGGGTAGTGGTTCTGGCTGCAATGCTTCCCCTGCTAATGTCACAGCAGACATATATATTGGACGAGCTTCATATCACCACCTGCCACGATGCCCTTCCTGAAGAAGAGCAGGAGAATTATTTCCTGCCATACTTTGCTACTTTGTTCTCTATCTGTTTCCTGTTGCCCTTCATGATTGTTATATTCTGTTACTGTAGTGTGTTGCGCACCCTGCTAGCTGAAGGCAAGCGATATGGTCACGCTATTCGAGTGACAGTACTTATTTTGCTTGTCTTTACTGTATGCCTCCTACCCAGTAATGTTCTCCTCCTCCTCACTTACTCAGACAACTTCCTCGAAGGAGATGGGGAGGACATCTATGTCCCGTATATGATAAGCTTATCAGTTAGCACCTTCAACAGTGTGATTGACCCGTTCATCTTCTACTATGTGTCACCAGAATTTAGGGGAAAAGTGCACAATGCACTCAGCTGCAGTAATATCTCAGACACCACAACAGCTTCTGCAAACAATGTGTCATCTTCGGCAGTGTCATCCTCTGGCTTAAGGTCAAAAGGAACCCTGCTGTCCGAGCTAGGTCAGCGGGGAGCTTCACAGACGGAGTGAAGAGAAGAAGTCAGAACAAGTCCATGTGAGTCACTGTCAGAGAAGAACAGCTGATCGCCTTGCCTTTTACATGGGCATAAAAACTAAGTTATTGGTTGACTGGTTGGCTGTGTGATGCCACTCTTATAGACTGTTGGTTCAGAACAGAGAACTGAATACAAAAACTTGACCTTTATTTTGACTTGAAGAACAAAATCTTAAGAAAAAGAACAAAAAATGACTTTCCTATATTTTTTACCTTCTTTATTATTTTATTTCTTTGTAATATTTTATTTTATTTTGCTGAGATATTGTCACAGTTCTTCCCTATATTTTATGCATTAAAATTTCTGATTGAAATATTTCATATGATTTCACGGGTAGTTTATATATACATACATATTATATATTTGTACATACACATATATATGAAAAAAAATCGCCTTAAGATAATTAACGGGTCGTCAATTTCGCAGTTTTATTTTAGAAAACTCCAACGTCGTGAACACGGATCTTATTTTGGAATAAAAAGGCGGAAGTCGTGCGTTGAGAAAACAGGGAGTTAAGGAGGGAGGAAGAGGAAGGGGAGAGACGAGAATAGTCGAGACGTTACTCATACATAAGGAAGAAGGGGGAGAAGGAGAAAACAAGAAGGAAAAATTACTATGGAGAACACAGCGACAATGAGCTGAATCTTTCTTCACGAAGTGAAACGTATGTTAGAGCTGTCAGTCAAACACGATCCAGACAGCCAGGTGTGATCTGGCCACTCCCCCTCTGATTGTGTACAGGTAAGGACGCAGTACTAACTACGATACATAAAGTATTAGGTTTTTCTCGAACAGGTCGATGGAGCAGCAAGTACTTTGAAAGTACTTAGGGAGTGTTCACTAAGTAAGAAATTGTTTTTCAAGTACTGACAAGTTACCAAATATTTACCACGAACTAACTGCTTAGTATTTTGCTAAGGTTTTAGCTCTGTTACTAAATAGTTTGTTGAGTATTATTAGTAGTACTAAGTGGTAATACTAAATCTATATTACGTTGTACTTTCAAATTCTAAAGTATAAAGTAAATAACTAATTTCAAGTGTGAATGAAATGCTACTGTGTGTAAGTGTGTTTGTCTACATGGATTTTATCTAACGATGAAGTATGCTTTCACTTTCTATGTCGAACAGCTTCTTTATGATTTCTTGTATCAACTATCAGTGTGTAGTGAATAATACATGCACACCATACAGTGTGTACCATTATTTCCAGAGTGCTGTTTGTTGTACGGCCAGAGGGCGGAGTCACGCTCTACTGGGTTTGAGTCTCTTCCTGTCATTATGTTTCATTATGTCTGTGATTCTATAAGGAGATGAACAACTGCAATAAAAAATTTTGGCAGATGCATGTGAGAACGAACTGACCAGTTGATTCCCACAGCAAATGTTTTAAATTATTCATTAATCATTCATTTTTAACCAGGATGGATCCAAGTTTACACACAGGAAATACTAGCACCACGTCATCTCCTCCACTCCTGGTGTCCAACAGAGACACACCACAAAGAGCTGAGGAAGACCGGCAAGACACAGAGTCAGGCTGTTTATCTGGGACGCAAAAACATCAGACTCTAGCAGAAGCCAAATTAGACCATCAGAACTCAACAACAATACAGTCAGAACTTTCATCTCAGCTTTCAGAGAGTAAGTCTGTCAATAAACTGGACTCACCAAGACTAGATCAACCTTTGAAAATTAAAACAAATTGATTAGAAAAAGATAAACATTTTTCAGCCGTACCTGATTAAGTAAATTTTGATTCTCTATGTACAGGTCAGAATGAACCAGGGCAATCATGCCCACGACACGATCAACAACTTGGTCTCTCCCAGGACTACCCAACACAGGCAGGTCTTTACCAGGAAAGGGGGAAAATGAAACTACAACAGGAACAAACAAAACCTCTGATTGTTATCTCTCCAGCATTCGACAAGCATAATCAAGGCAAGCATGAGCTTCACATTTTGGAGTCAATTGAAGAGCAGAACCAGGAACCACTTACTCCAGACTGTGGTTGTCCTCTTGAAAAACACCGACCTCTTGATGAACAGCCACACCAAGACTCCCATCTTCCTTCTGTCAAACAAATCTCAGATTTATCTTCTCCAGAAGAGCAGCTAGAGCAAGACTCCTGTCATCACCATAAAAACCAACAAAACACATATTTAGATCATCATTCTGAAAAGTGGAACAATGAAGATAGTGGTCTTTTTGAAGACGCCCTTGACAAAGATCCACTTCCTGATGTGCAGCCATTAGATGTAGAATTTTCTTTACTTCACCTTCAAGAAGAAAATCTTTGTGACAACATCGATAACAAGACCAACCGAGTTCAAGGTTCTTCTTCTCAGGATCTGCACAATCTGAACCATAGTTATTCTTCCAAAGATCAGTATATACATGTGGAACAGAAGAACCAAGGCCTTATTGATCTAGGAAATAAACAGAACCAAGTTCAAGACACCCAGAACCAAGACCCACATTTTACTAAAGATCTGGAGACGGAAGACTTGTCATTTCAAGATCAACAGAACCAAGAACCACAAGTTTCTGAAACACAGCAGAAACTAGATTGCAGGCCTGCTCTTTTGGGTCTGCAGAGTCAAGAACCTCCTGAACACCAAGAAAATCAAGACTCACCATCTCTTCTGGATTTGCCGAACCAAGAACCTGTTCCTCATCCTCCTCTAGAACTTCAGGAGCAAGACCTGCATACTTCTGAAAAACAGCAGACACAAGATTGTGGTCCTTCTCATTTGGACATGCAGAACGAATTCAGTGACCCTCCTCCTGAACACCAGGCTAAAGAAGATTACAATAACTCTCAACTGCACACTGAGCTGCCTTTACCCCTTGCTGAGGACCAGAACAGCGCCTCTCTGCAGGTTATGTCTGTATCTGATAACTCAACTAAATCACCATCACTGACCTCACCCACAACTACCCCACCTGCAGTTATCAAGGCATTTGGTGACCATTTGCAGCCCGTTCCTCAGGTTCCATCTCCAGATGAACCTAAACTTTGTGGCTTTTTGCAAAAGCAGGGGGGGCCCTTGAGGGCCTGGAAACAGCGCTGGTTTACCTATGAAGAAAAGAAGAACCAGCTGTTCTACTATCGCACACCACAGGACGTGATGCCACTGGGCCACGTGGACCTCAGCAGCGCCACTTTCACCTACCCCTTAAAGGGAGAAGATGGAACCTTCCACATTAAGACGCCCGAACGCACCTTCATACTCAAGGTAGAGTGACATCTAAAATTGATGGCACAATAAATGATACTGATGAAGATTTTTCACCTGGTGTTTGACCCCATCTCCTACCAGGCGGTGACCCAAGAGCTGATGCTGTATTGGCTGCAGCAACTGCAGGTTAAACGTTGGCAACACAGACAGACCACTTCCTGTCCAGAGACAATGACAGCAATCAACAATAACAACAATGCAGGTGTGTGTTTGTTTAATTTGTCACCAGCAGGAAACAGGAAATTCTGTGGAGCAGCCAAACATTTATGCAGTTTATGATTATTTCCTGTTAAAAAAAAATAGGACCCTTTCATCCACAGCTCTGTCATTGTGCTTTCTTCTTCTGCACCTGTGTTGGTTAAACTTCAGAAAACCTCATAAATATTGTCTACCTGGGTAACCTGAAAAACCAAACATCTTCAGTCAATTTAAATCATACTGAAGTACAGTTTAAGCAGGAACCTTTTTGTTATATAAAAAAGAGAATTTTTACCTACATCTTAGGTAAACACCACCAACACCCCTCCTAAAAGAACAAATAAGGCACATGGACTCATACATGTACGTTTATATGTTTCTTTTGGTCTGTGCAGATTTTCTGCCACTGTTGAAAAGTCCTCTGGGTCTAGTGGGGGAGGAGGCTGCCAACGTACAGTCACAAAGAACTCCACTCACCAACATGTCAATCAAACATCCTTTAATCGAGCTTCAGTGAGTAGAGCATTCACACCTGTTTCCACTGCTTCACAGTTGTCCTTGGTTTTATCCCATTTTTCTAATTTGCAGAAACTCGGTACACTTTCTTCGTAAGAGATCATCTCAGGAGATGAGTCAGAGTGTGTTTCACATCGAAACGCCAGGTTCTCCAAAATCTGCACATTCCGACAACCCAGGTAACAACTGTCCAATTACACTACTTGAATATAAAACTGGAACATACTCACAACAAAGTAGTTTTGCATCAGGCACCTTGGCTTATCCTTTATCAATATCCTAAATCTGTATTTGTCTGTATTTTCCTAGCCTCCAGGACCCCTGTTGAGTCTCTCCCACCCACAGTCCTACTGCCTGAACCTACAGAAGGAAAGGCACTCCCATTTCAGACAGAGACTCGAAGCAAGAAGTCCAGGAAAAGCAGCTCATCGACCATGCCCACCCTCCGCAGAGATACACTGTCCTCTTCCTCAGACAGAATGTCCCGCATCCAGCAGGAGAAACAGATGCTAATGGAGGAAGTCAAAGCCCAGAAGGTGATCACTACAGGCTGATTAATATTGGTCATTGTTTTCATTGTTATCTTCCTCTATATTTACATGTACTGTAGTTTTACTGACATTGTTTGTTGGAATGAGGTTTGGTTCTGAATGTCTTTTGATTTTTTCAGGAGCTAGTCTGGATCCTCCACAAAGCTCTGGAGGCGGCTCAGCTGGAGAAGCGAGCGTGTACAGAGTTTCTGGCTGAGGAAGATGAGCAGAAACGTCTGGAACTGCTACGACACCGTGAGCGGCAGTCGGCCGACCTGCAACGACGGCTGGAAGAGGCCAATATGGAGGCAGAGCTGCTGAAGAAGAGCTTAACTGAGAAAGACACACAAGTGACCGAGCTACAGGAGCTGGTCAGGAGGCTGACCGAAAGGAACACTGCCAAGCAGGAGGTGAGGTCACACCTAAGAGGGGTTGACTGGTGAGGGTCAGCATTTGAGCAGTCGACAGGTCGAGGAGATGTTCAGCTAGTCTTTCCTGGACTCTGCTCCTCACTGCTGGTCACCAACAAAACTTATAATGACAAGTCCTATGTTTTATGCCTTTCTCTCCTCGTAGGTGATTGTTAAACTATCAAATCAGATGACCACCTGTCTGTCCAACCAACAGCCGCCATCTGCTGGTGGAGCCCTGAACAGTGACACTATCAAACGCTTTAAGCAAGAAAATGAGAACCTAAAGGTAAACTAAAGCAGCTGCACTGGAATCTTTAACCCAACACAGTAGTTCTTACTCTGAGAATGACAAATTATTTTTCAGGATGATATTGAAGCCTACAAAACCCAGAACAAGTTTCTGAACTCTGAGATTTATCAGCTGACCCGACTCTGGAGGAAGAGCTCAGAGCAGGAACGGAGTTTGATGGTAAAGGTAGGTCAACACTGCAGTGACTGAGAAATAAAAGTGTGTGTATTTTTTTTTAGGAAAGTTGACTCACAGCTGCTACATATTCCACAATAATTAACAACCTTTACTCTCCTGCCCAGGACTGTGAGGGAACAGTTACTTACGTTTTACATCATTAAGGCAAATGTTTCTTTTTCACCTTTTACATCCACTCTCTTTTCCATCTTAGCAGTTGCATATTTCAAATCCTCCTCTTCCTCCTCCTCCACATTGAACATGAACTTCAACAATGAATTTCTTGCGAGGAATGAAATGTTCTGCCCATAATTATTTTGTGGTTCTTGCAGAGTATGTTATTAGCCATTTTCTTCCCTCTGATTGGCTGCAGTGTGCATACCTGGAGGCCAGTAACTGTCAGGTGGAGAGCCGTTACCTTAGTGTCCTCAAGAGACTGCAGGAGACTAAGTCTTTGGATCCAGTGCAACGCCAAGCTGTTCATAAAATGATAGAGGATGCACTGAAAGGGGAGCTCAAGAGTGTTGTGAAGTTAAACACAATCAGGTACAGTCACCTATTCACACCTGGAATGATCTAAACACATACTGGAACTGAATGCTAATGCAAACCACTGTATGTATTAGTATGTTGTACACTTCATGCTGCCGCTGTACAATTTACCACTGCACTGTCCCTCTCCAGGGATCATGATGAGTACGGCTTTAAAATCATCCCTGATTACGAGGTGGAGGACATGAAGCTACTGGCAAAGATCCAGGCCCTGGAGATTCGCTCGCACAACCTGCTGCAGCAGGTGTGAACATGTTTGATACCTTTCCTACAGCGTCACTTTCATTTTCAGTGTTGATAGTTTAGCATCTCTCCTCAGGACACGGTGGAGCGCCCCCTGCTGACACGCTGGGCTCAGTATCTGGCAGGCAGGTCGAATGATGACATTTGTGCATCTCCTGAGCTTAAATCACTGCTGCGCAGTGGTGTCCCGCAGGAGTACCGCCAGAGAGTGTGGAGCTGGATGGTTCAAACACGAACTCGAACCATCAGAGATCGACATCCTCAGCACTACCAGCAGGTGGACTATCTTTAATTATCTGTCGTTACATGTTTTCAATCAGTCGAGCCCCATCCAACAGATTACTCTTACCATGTATTTAGATTGTGCCAGGTTTTACTGATGCAGAGGGATCAAAGTCTGGTGATAGCATATAGAAAACCAGTCCAATTCTCTGTTTTGTCTCAGTTGCAGCTGTATTTGGCTTGTCTGCATAAAATAAAAAAAATAATTTCATAATGACAAACCACACCAGTGGAGGTAAAAAAGAGAACTAGAATGGAGCCACTGGGTGCACAACACAAAACGGTAGAAAATGAGTAATTTCCCTGACTGACAGAATCAATTTTCTAATATCAAGGTCTAATACTAAAAGTTAAGGTTTAAGTGAACAAAAAAAACAAAAGTGTTCTTGACTGCCTGATAGCCCCTCCCATGTGTTTACCTCTTTACAAGTCTTCAACTGTTTTCTGTCCTCAAACTTTATTCTTTATCCTGAAATGACCTCAGCATTCCTCTGCCCTCAGTGTGTCCTTTACTCCGTTCTCATCCGTCCTCTCTCACATATGTCTCTCTTGCCTTTTGTCCTCAGCTGTGTGAGAAGAGTCAAACATGTCACAGTCCGGCGTTCAGACAGATACAGCTCGACCTTCACCGCACACTCACAACCAATCAACGCTTCTCCTCACCTTCTAGCTCAGCCCACCAACAGCTGTGTCGCATCTTACAGGCCTTTTCCTGGCACAATCCTGCCATTGGCTACTGCCAGGGTCTCAACAGGTATACACACATGACAATACTCGCCACATGTTTACGCTTTGTTCCTGAAATCAATGTGTGTGTGTGGATCCATGATGTCATCAGTCATAATATGATGTCACATCCTCCTCAGGTTAGCTGCCATTGCTCTCCTCGTCCTCCAGGATGAAGAAGAATCATTCTGGTGTCTGGTCGCTGTTATTGAGGCTATAATGCCTCAAGAGTATTACACCAAGAACCTGCTGTCTTCACAGGTGAGACGCTTTCCTCTGCCCATCTGTTCTTACTGTACAGGTCAGACACTATTTTGATGTCTTTGATTGATCTGATGTGTGTCTGCGTGTGTGTGTTTAACCAGGCAGATCAGCGTGTCTTAAAGGACTTCCTCCTGGACAAACTTCCTCGCCTTGCCTCTCACTTTGAAGAATACTCCATTGACATTTCTCTGGTGACGTTCAACTGGTTCCTGGTTGTTTTTGTAGAGAATCTGCCCAGTGACATCTTGCTGCCACTGTGGGACGCCTTTCTTTATGAGGGCTCCAAGGTAGCTGAATCCACTAACAAGACATACCACACATTATTCACCTCTAAGAAAAGTCAACTCACTACACATGATTGCACAACCACCTGAGCTGCCTAATACATAACCGTAAGACACATCCACATAATTTGATCTAGAAATAAGCAACTAAAACAGTGTTAAAATGTAACTAATGCTGTATTTTTAGATGGTCCAACTGCCAATCACGCTTTCATGTGCAGTCTTCTGTCACTTTTTTTGTTTCTTTAAAAATACATTTTATTGTAAATGTTTTTGCTATTAAAGTTAAAGTAAAAATGTACTTTTCTGTTAAATGTGTGTTTGGTACAGGTAATGTTTAGGTATGCTCTGGCTCTCTTCAAGTATAAAGAAAACGACATCCTGAAAATCCATGACAGTGTTGAGATTCATCAGTACCTGCGCTTCTTCACCAAGACCATTACTGACAGCAGGTACAGACTCATTTACACTCCTGCTTGTTATGGTTGCTGTATAGTTATTGGTCCATTGTCCTTATTAGTTGTTGTTATCTAGTAATAGTTTTACCTCTTGTTACCACACTTTACGCTATAAGAAACCTGAACTTTGCCATAGCCCAGGATTATTCAGCTTCCTCTCACAGAGACTTATTGTACATTGTTCTGTGTTGTCTGCCAGGAAGTTAATTTCCATCGCCTTCAATGATTTGAATCCATTTCCTGGCCGACTGCTAAAGAATCGGAGAGCATTTCACATGGAGCGCCTGCAGGCTGAGCTGCGAGAGCTGGAGGAGCAGCAGAGAGAGTTTGTGACAGAAAGTGCTGAACGTAAAGACAAGGATCTGGACACGATGGTCAGTGAGGATGATGAAGACCTCTGACCTCACTGTGTAGGGACGCCACATCTAAATATAAAGACATTTCGAGTGTCAATGCTGTTTCACAGTAGGAAACGCCTTCATGTCATAGTGACAATGAAGTTCCTCATTTTACAACAGTAAAATGCTAATGTTTTCACCACAGCTTATTTTATATAGGAAAAAACATAAATGCCAGTTTACATGACATAGGGTACTGGTTTGAAACCAGTTAAAGCCAAGCACTTAAGCACTAAAACCAGACACAGGAGGTTTTTACTTTCAAAAGTTCAACCTATAGAGAAAAAGAATTACGAAAGAAAAAAGAAAATGAAATATTTCTGTGTTAAAGTTAATTTGCCCTACAGCTACATTAAGGCTACTACTATGTTGTACTAAAGAAACAATGATACAGTGATAGTTCATTACTGTATTTGGTACATTTTAAACACTAAAGTGAGACAGCTGCTGGTCAAAAGCATTTACCGTGACTGTGTTTGTATATTTTACGTTTTATTTACTGGAAATGTAAATTATTTCATTTTTAATTGAAAACATTTTTCAAAATATTTATTTTGAAGAATATGGTTTGGATACGTATGGTTTGTAAAAATTTATATTTTGACAGCCTTTTTTCTGATGCATGTCAACACGGACTGAGCTGCTAACAATAGCGTACATACTTAATACTTTATATCTAAGTAAAAGTTATACTGTAAAGTGTCCAGGTCTTTTCTTGAAGAAATAAACTACTTTCATTTTTATTTGTGACAGAAAGCTTAAGCTTCTATCTAATACACCAAATCATCTTTTTCCTCGTGGGAATCTGAAGTGCAAAACAGATCCAGTAGATGGCGATATTGCAAATTGGTAATACGTTCTCAATACGGTTTTAAGAGCACCTGTTAAAGTCCAATGAAGTGTCGTAGAGTTGTTAGCAGGTTTAGCTTTACTTAGCCGAGCCTCAGGAGTCTGACCAGTAAGTAACACATTTCAAAACAAGTCTTGTGTTATGGAATACATAAATACAATGCATAGTATATTCTCTCCATGTAACAACCTCTTCTGTATTAGAAAAACAATATTTAGGTACACTTCTCTCCTTTGTCTTGACTAAGACAGCGAGTGGGGATTTGTTCTGTTGCTAATTCATGTTGTAAAGGCCACTCTTTGACTGTGGCATGCTAATAGGCTAATCTATTCCGACGAATCCTCATTGTTTTTCAGTAGTGGAGCCGCCCTCATGGCAGTCTCTGTGGATGTATTATATACAAAAGTTATTGTGCTTAAAAACCTGGACATTTTACAAAGTTTGAATCCCCGAACTCGGGGTTTCCAGGACTTAAATAAGGGCATGTCCTAGGAAAAGAGAACGGTTGGTCGCCATAATCTATGTTCAATTTGGAGTATCTAATTAAAATGATTCCCCACCTAAAATTCTGATACATAGCCTCGTGTGAGCTCATAGCACCACCTACTGGAAAGGAAAGACAGCTACTTGCTATGTGTACCATCAAAACACCATTAGTAAAACTAGCATACGGCACGAAAGTTTTACTATGTTGTGCTGTTACAATTCACACTGTAGATTACTTAGTTAAAAATGTCAAAAACGTTTTTGCAAATGTTTCATGTGAATTTTTAAAATGTTTTTATATTCTGCATAAATATCAACTACGATATGCATTAAACACTTTAACTCAGAGACAGGAAACAAACACATTTAAAATGTCTATTTTATTATTTTTTTTTACAAAACAAATATACATAAGAAATGATAAATATAAAAAATCAACACAGAAAAAATCTTTAATGTTACAATTGTTATACTGCACAAAAGTTGGTAATGTCTCAGCCACATGATGAGGTGTCACAACTCTTGTTAACTTTTGTTACTACATTCTATCATTCAACTGGGATTAATTTGTTTTCTGCAACAAACCTATTTTGCCAATGAAGTTTTATATGTTGACTCCAGTTATTTTTCACCCTGTTCATTAATTTGGGTAAACCTGCTACGAGCTCACCCAGGTTCTGTCATTTGACTTGGCTGTTCTCAGTACCTGCCAGTTAACAAAGATTAACATCTTCACACCCATATGTGCTGTCATGGCAAACCAGAAATGTGAGTTTATGTGGAAGTAATGCTGCTTCAACAGATCAATATTCAAACTGATTACATCACTCATCAATATTCATAGTCAGGCAGGTAAATGAACATCAGAAACTGGTTCTAGGATTGAGCTCACATTCTAACCATATGTGCTAATGCCAGTGCACTACACTTATTATATTAGTTTTCCAACTAATTCTATTGTTACATGTTCACGGTTTCATCGATGTAATGTGTTAATGAACGACAGGAAAACTTTAAGTTTGTGACTGTTTAAATGTAAAGTTATACCTGACAAGGTGACATTTCAACTTTTTGTCTTAATGACATCTGTCACTGTGCAGCATTACATAATAATGAATTGATATTTTTCGGGGGGGGGGGGGGACTGAGAAGCCAAATACACGTCTATATTAGTGTCTTTATGTAAATGGAGGTTTGTTAAAAAAAACTTTGATAGTTATAAATGTTCAATGTTTTACTTGTATGTTTATAGAGGGAGGCGTCACTCTATTTTCCATGTCTGAATCCCTCCCCAACATTTCAATTTATGTAAATCAATTTTTTACAAACTTACATCACCAAAGACATAAAACAGCTTCCCACTGGCACAGCTAACATCAGCTAGCTAATTTTTTAACTGTTCAATGAATTGTATGTGAGGTATCATGGTTTAAAGAATTATTGATTTGTTTACCTATAAACATAAAACACTGGGCCGCACGACTGTACAGAATGCTACAAAACCATTGTTAATAGCCTGATAGCATTAGCCTAATAAAAGTGTTGGGTCTTTGAAAGTGTTAGGTGAATAATAGCATTAGTTATAATTTGAGTTTGAAGCAAGGTAATGTTAGCTTCTTAACTCCATGTCTTATGTAGTAACTAATCATATGTTGTTGTTGAATGTGTTGTAGGCCAAATCTTTGTCAGAATTTGTTCAATTATGTGACAACCAGTCACTGTGGACTGCAAAGTCTTGAACCATTTCAACAGTACCCAAAAATATCTCACGTCATTAAACCCCCCCACAGAGAAGTATATAGTTTTTAAACAGAAAATGGTAGCCATAATCCAAAGATATACTCACACTTATCAGTGCAACATTTTTTTTGTCAGCATTTCAAAAGGGTAAGTTTAACACAGGACGGGTCCACATTTGCTACAATAAGGTTAGTTATGTTGATGATTAAATCAGAAAAGGCAGGAGGTGTTGGTGAGGGAATCTGTGTACCACATTAAGTAAACTTGGTCTTTTTAACTTGTGGTGGTAAGGGGGCTGACATCATTTCCTTTAGCCCCGTCTAGACACTGAGCTGTCTAAGGTGTAAGGGACAGAAAGTGCAGAACTATAAACTCAAAAATTGGTCGCAGCAAGGTAGTCTTAGCTTTACATGACTGTCAGTGGTTCTGCTTTCACAGCTGATTGATTCTGATTGGATAAATCTGATGATTAAAATAAAGAATAACTGCTTTTTCACTGGTATATTATCTATATTTTTCAGGGCATTTGAGCATGCATTAATGTATTTCTGTCTGTGTATTTGCAGAGTGTCAGTCCTGTGACCTCTGGCATCATCAAGGACATGAGGTTTGACCACGTCCTCAAAGGTGTTTCCTGGGAACTTATCAGTTTCGCACATCAGGGACAGAAGATCAAGGTGAGTGCAGACGCAGTGACATCAGGATGTAAACCATCAAACATCAGGTGTTACAGATGTAATCCAAAGGTTTTAATGATGCGTTCAAACCGAACACCGAGTTGTTTTCCAATTAAAATACTACAACTTAACTGAAACTAAAGTAGGAAGCAGGTGAACCTTAAAGATTGGCAACGAATTAGAGTTATTGTTTTAGTGGACTGCAACATAGTTTGCTTAGTATTCATGGCAGGAGAACATTGTTTCATTTTTACATTAAAGAAAGGAGTTAATTTAGTATGACTTTTTTTGGGGTGGTTGGGCATGAACACACCATATTTGTGATTTTTTACAGCCCCTGCTACAACTGAGTAGCAGGTTGGGCTAATTGTGTTGTTGATAAAAAAAAAAAAAAAACACCTGGAATGTGGTCAGTTAGTCTTGCAAATCTGACAATGCAATCACTTCTGACACTGAGCTTCAAAGATGGTAAAATTCCATGATGAAAAAACGGTGTTTTCTCTGGATGCGTGGTTTCATCGCAAAACACTCAACGACACCTTCATATCTGAACAAACGTTCTCAGCTGCAACAGCTCAGAACATGGAGTGTTCATTGTGGACGCTCATGTCGTTTAGGAGGAAGACTTCTGGGTGATGTTGTGGTCACATGATGCACTTTGTTTTATTGCCAACTCAATACTTGGAAGAAGGCTTTGTCCTCACCCCACCGTCTTCTTCTTTTATATATCCTTGTGAAAATGTTAATAACAGGAAAATTTTATCCAGGTGATGTCACATTGGCTGACTCCCAAGTCATCATTTGACTAATCCAGTTACTTTACTGCCACCTTGTGGTAGAAAGACCCTTGGAAGCAACAATTAATCCATCAGTGTTTTTAAGTGCAGGATCGTGTCAAAACACATACTCCACCCTGCTGATGATGTCACTCAAGGTCGCTTCATAACACAGTTGAAGTGAAGTGTGTGTGATGTTTTCAGTGACTTTTGTAAAAAAAGGAGAAGAGAGCGTCAGGCAGCGCGTCGATATAAAGTGCTTCGTTACATTGTTATGTTTTTCAGTTTGTTATTAAAATATCATTTCCCTGTAAACAAGTAAACATGTCACACGTTGGTAAAAATAAACTTTTGGAATGTCTCTGGTTTAAAGTCACAACGCCTCCCATTGGTCAAGCGGAACTTGTCCCTGGAGCCTGAAACACACAAGATGTGTTGTCTCAGTGAAATCATCCACAGTGTACTGTGTTCTCACACAAAGGATGGATGATCAGAGTGGGCGTGGATTAGGACAGAGGTCACAATGGCGCCACCAGGTGACGTTTTGTCTAGAAACACAATGATGTTGACTCCGGAGGAACTGTTTTAACCTCATTTTCTTTCAAACAAATGCAAGAAGGAAGACGGCAGACTGTTGAACATCTTTTTCTACTAATCAGCAAACAAGTGACTAATTAATTGTCAGACTGACCTCTGGTGGACACCAAAGTGAACTACAACTGCTGAGGCTACTAAAAGCACATCAGCAAGGCACAGTGAGATCAACAAAAATAAACCAGAAATACATAAATATGAGGGTAAAAAAATAAACATTTGACACTACAAACATGTCCTTATGATGAAGATGAAGATGATGGGTGGGCATGCATCACTGTCAGTTTTCATCCATTCATGCGAAGCAAGTGTTAACATGCGTCTTTCAGCAAATGTCTATGGGCAAGCATCTATTAGCAAGCGTCTGTTAGGATTTTGTCATGACGGCGGCAGCGGTCGGTTTGGTGACACTGGAAGAAGGGGCGGGGCCTGGCGTGTGCAGGAGACTGACGAACAGGAAGAATGTGGATGTTGGCAGGTAGACGCAGAGAAAGAGAAAGATGTCCTCGCTGAGACAGAGGACCAAGTGGCTATGTTCAGTAAGTGCCCAGTCCACCAGCACTGCCACCAGCAGGTAGTACACCTGGAACTCCTGGAGCTCCTCCCACTCCCCTCCACCTGCCTCTTCTGCTGGGCTCTCCTGCCTGGCCACGCCCTCTTCTCTGCCACCATCACTCACCATGGACTTCATCTCGGCCACTTCAGAGCCTGTCTCCTTCACCCGGCTCCTCCCACGCTCCACTGCTCGCTCTAACCTCCTACTGCTCTGTACAAACTCCTGTGGAGTGAAATCAGAATAGGGTTTGGCAGGCATGAGTTGGTGGTCAAAGGAACTTAATGTGTATGGCAATCTTTACTCACCATTAGAGCTTTATCCATGAAGAACTCTTTTTCTGGTGAGCCATCGTTATACTTTGTATCGATAGCGAAGCAGAGGAAAAGCACATCCACCACGATCTCAAAGACGGAGAGAAAGCAGTGAGCGACCAGGAAGGAGAAAAGACACACAATGACAAGTGGCAGCAGCCACTCAGCATAGTCACGCTGGTAGTTGAGGAGGAGAACGCCTGCAAACGCCGTGGACGTCACAATCAGGATCTGACGGCAAAAAGGAAAACTTTAGTCATCACAGCTTTTAATGAATTATGTGAGCATTAGTTAGATGATCTGTTACCTTCCCCAGGAAGAGTACAAAATCTCCAATAGCGTTGATTGTAGCGACGCGTAATGCATTTTCCACCAGGATTACAAAGGCATCGCGAGCTGAAGAGCAGAAACCGGTACTGTTGATGGCGGTGGCTGCATATGCATTCTGGGTGATAAGAACAGAGGCATTTAATAGAGACAGGCAGACTGGTGGTCAGACAGGGACAGAAGCAGACACTGGTATGAGGGTAGTTACCTGGTTAAGGTAGTTGAGGCACTTCTCCAAACACCACAAACAGCAAATACATGCCTTTAGCAAACAGCGGGCACAGGCATTTTCCTGAAACCAAATGATCAATCAGTGCTAATGCTGAGTATCTTAGTACTTACAGCAGAAAAGATAAGGGCAGAAAAATTTGGTTTCATACAGTGTTGAAATGGGAAAGCATCCCATTTAGACCTTGCTATTCACCTTCTTGTAAAGAACCGACGTAAAAACACCTTTAAAATTTAATTTTGCAACGCAAAAACATAGAAAAGGAAATCTAGGAAATCTTAAGCTGGATTGGATTTTTAACAACAGTATTTGACAACATGAACAACAAATGCATGTTTCAAAGACTTCTGGATTCATCCTTTGAGTTGATTCTTGAGTCAGTGTTATTAAAGAGATTTAACTTGTTCATTTGTAATGGCTGATTGGATGGCGTACCTTTCCTCTGAGCTGATTGTGGATATGCATCAGGATAAGTCTGGGAATCTTCACCACTGTGATGATGAAGGATCCTTTAGCCACAGTGCCCAAGTGATATCGCATTAGTCTCAGGATGGAGGAGAAGATCGGAGTAACAGGGAGGCGATTCTTGTCCCTGAAGCAAACAGAGCAATTCAATTTCAGCTGGACTGTGTGTATACACAGTGTATACTGTGTGTATACTACCGAGCAGGTCTGAGTACAGGTGTACAATTCAAGGTCCTGGCATTGTTTTATACAGCAGGAAATCTTACCTGGTGAAGTAGTATGTAACCACAGCTCCAGCCACAGTCATGTGCTGACAAGCCAGGATGAACTCTGTGATCCAAATCAGACCTACAGCATGGAACCAGGTCAGGTACTGAAGGGGTCCAATCAGTCTGAACTCTGTTATACCCGTGTCTGGATTCTGAACTGGTTCACCTGATCACAGAGAGAAATGGGGCAGCAGATTAGCACATCTATATTTCCTGTTTGTGATCTGTGTGACATTGTGCTCTAACCAGTGGTTCCCAGGAACAACAGCACCAGGATCCAGTAGATCCAGAAGATCAGGAGAACCAAGAAGGTGAGGAAGGGCTGCAGTACAAGCAGTGGCAAGTGGACAAAGACTTTTCCTGCCACATGGAACAAAGTGATGGTCAACGCCACGCGCTTCCTCATGAAAAGCATCAGCAGCAGTAGAATGATCTGGAAACACAGAGTTTACGCTGAGAGATGCACATCAGCACCAAAAAGACAATCAACACGGTCAAAACACAGACATACTGTGAATATGGTTGCAGCCGCCGCATAGACAAGTAGTGTCTGACTACTCTCTTTGTTTGACTCCACCTCTTCCTCATTCATCTGTTTTATTGTCGTGCTGTTTCCATTTAGACGGTGGTCAATGTATAGCCACCAAAGGATGCTGGTTCCAGCTAACACGAAAAAAATTGAAAGACAAATTAGCAATAATGTGTAGCATAAAAGACCATTGTGCATCATGTGACCATACCCAGCGATCCAAGAACAAGCAGGAAGGTGAGAATCCAGACCAGGACAGCCGAGATGAACCGGATCACAAGCATGAGGATCAAGGACAGGACTAAACAGGAAGGTCAAAAGGAAAACCAGTGACATCACGTCCTCTCCTTTAAATCATTTTATTCGACAATGTTTAGGGATCATATAAACTACACAAGTTGACCTAATGACCTCACCCAGAGCCAGTACACACAGTCCTATGATGACCTCCTTACTGGCAGCGACACCGGCAATCATTCTATGCGGAAAACTGTCGTCGCCCACAAACGTAAGCACAGCCTCCGCAAACTTGGTGTAGCAGGAAACATCCAGCGGTGTGCATCGGTTAAAAATGGGCAGTGGTTTACTGTACAAAGAGATGAGTTAGGTAAAAGATTGACAACAATAGGAAGTCTATCATCAGGTAGACATACCTGGGTGGAACAGGAAGTTTGGGACACTTTGAGAACCTTTCGGGTAGGCCGGGATATTTATGAGGTGCCAACTCGTAAGAGCACAGCTCTGACCCTAAAGCACACACACAAAACATAAAATAGACATGTTATGCCACATCCAGACATCTATTGATGTCATACCTACCCTGGCTACTGTTGTAACAGTATTGATCACAAGATCTCCAAAAGCCTGGATTCTGACTACAGCTTGTTTTTACAAAAACCGGATTTGAGAAATGGCATTGAACATTTTTGTGATGAATTGCCATTTTCTGGTCAGCTTCTGTTGATCAAGTGCAACTGAGTGGGACACAACACAGGTTCCTGTGTTTTGTCATTTGCGACAGTGACTCCTTTCATGAACAACATGACTGTGAATGGTGATGACCTCACCGTTAACCATGGCAAAGCTCTGAACATCATGGTACGTCTTGAGCTCCTGACTCGGACACAGAGCCACACACAGAGCGATGGATCTGATCTTCCTCTGGACGATGTCGATGTTACAAGGATCCAGGAAGAAGACAAATCTGAAGAGAGGAGGAGTCACTGAGCGTCAGTTGATATTATCAGCAAATATATGGCAATGACAAGCATTTGGGAAACAGAATGAAAATGGTGATCTGTTTGTCTTTACATACACTGTCTTCCATATTGTCTAGCTATTATATTATCTGAACAATTCTAGGTGGAAAGGTTTACCTGTTGTTTTTACTATAAAATATACACTGTAGGATAAATGTCCCAAAGAAGAAGAAGTATATAGCTATGCATTTTTTTCAATCAATGCAAGTCCTTTAATTAAAACAAGTCAAACTAATCAAACAAATATACAGTATTTATGATTAACTAAATCACTTATCATGTTCATAATGCACTGGTGTGGTCTGCTAAAAAACTCTCCTCTGCAGTTCTTCCTAAACTCTCCTTTGTTTTTTAATAATGGACTCATATTACTCACAGGGCATTTGTAGCACACCCTGCAGGACTGTCAATGCTTTTATATTTACTAAACTCTTAGACTGTTCCCAAAGTGGGGAGTGGGGCCCCTTGGGAGGCACTGAGTTTACGTATGGCTAGGCAATTTTTTCACAGTGGTGAAATGCTCTGATGTGTAATTTTATTGACTTTTTTAAGTATGATAGCAGTTTTGTAGGAATTAGTGTTTTATTAAAAAGTTTAGTTGAGTTTTGAAGCAATAGCTGTGAGTTAGAAACAACCAGCACCAGCGGGCCATGTTTCTTATAAACGTTAAACAATTTCTCAGTAAAATAAAATATTGGTTGTGAATATTGGCCTACAGTGCATTAAACTGCCTTGTGGACAGAGATTAGATTCCGTGGTATTCTACGCTGCTTTTATGACTGCGATTTCTATACCAGTAGATGTCACGTTGCTGTTTCATTCACAGGTTATGTTGTTTTGACTCCATTTACCAAAACACTTTCTGAATAACTGCTCCTGAGATCATGTAGGCAGGCAGCAGTTCAGAACAAAGAGTCTGTGATACAAAACATTTCTATTGTCTCCTACGACCACAGACACTTGTTCCTTTTGTTCAGGAAAATTTCCGACCTGCAAAATATTTAATTCATTTAAATGAGATTGAGAACTTTTCCACACAATATGAGTAGGGGTGTTCACAACTTGATCTTATTTCTTTCTTTGGTCTGAATGTGTTATTCTAAACATGTCTTCAGACACCCTTGTTACTTTATAGTGTAAAGGAAAGGGGATTGTAAGGTACATTTTTTTATAAATATGTTAATAACTGGAAAGTGTGGTTTACAAATCTCATACATTTAGAAATATTACTTAGTGTTATCCCAGATAATATTTATGAGAACAAAAATGTGTAAATTATACCCAGTGAGAAGTTTCAAGACCTTCTGAAAAGTATTCAGAATATGGCCTTGAAATATGTGCTAATCTGTGCATAGTCCAGATGATTCTTTATAGATCTTATCATACTGATATCTGTGTGTACCCTTATGACACATTTGACCTTTGTGTTTTTGGGATCATTGTTTCAAACAAACCAAGTTCTAAGAAGGTGCTCCCCAAACAGCACTGTCTTAGCATGACATTTATAGCTTGAACAGCATTTACAGGGTTCCCAACACCATTAGCTAAAATTTAGGTCCAAACCATCACAAAGCTCTGATGCATTTGCACATAACAACTTTAGCTTCTTGCAAATAATAAAAAAAATAAAATGAAGTGAAAATTCCTGTATGTTTCATGTAAAATATAAAATAGCATGTCATCTGAGGTAAAATAATGGTATCTAAGATTAAGACAATGCTGCCTGAGGATCTCTTCTACTGAGACAAAAACAAAATACTGTACATCCAAAAAGCCATTAGTGACTCACTTCCTGTCTGTATGGTCGAGGCCGCTCAGTCTGATGCCTTCCATCTGTTCGTTGCGTTGACCACAGGTGTTTCCATAGCTATCATAGCCAAAGATGAGGCGGGCGGCTCCGCCTGTGACGATGGTGAAGCCACAGATGCTGCCCTGCGTGGCAGGGAAAAGAGGTTATATATTAATCATCAGTTATCATCGCTCAATAAATATATACATTAAAATTAAACCCAAATTTAAAAAAAGTGTAGATTAAAATATGAAGAATTACAAAATGATTTAAGTTTTTTAAAAAAGCCAAAACTACAGGCCATACAGGATGTAGAGAGAGTAGCAAAGGGTGAAGGTCATTTAACAAAGGTATGTTTATAAAAAGCACACGTGCACAGTCAGCGGATCTCGCTGTGAACGAGCTGTCCTTGCTGTCCTGGTACTATTTCAATAAACTACGTATTAGGTAAATTTCTCAAAGAAAAGTTAAAGGACAGCTATGAATTATTCTTACTGCACACCTGCAGGGGGTGAAGTTGAGTGGCGTGTACTCAACATTACTATTATAGGTTATATGGGTCTCAGAAGCACAAGATAACAATGATATTCAAATCTGATTTTCAGTTACATACAATTGTGAGCCCTCCCAAAACTAACGCTGATATTTATATCCAAGTAGAAACACACAAAAAATGACGAGAAGAACTGTTTTTAAAACTACATATTACGACACACTCGAAACTTAAATAAAATACATCAAACAACTTAATAACAGTGATGCTTACCATGCCGACACAGAAGAGTGTGAAAAGCAGGAACCAGGGCAGATCAGTGCAGCTGCGTTCCTCTAGAGGTCTCCACTCTCTCTTAGTCCTCTGAAAAACACACACACACACACACACGTAGGGATTTGTGCAGCTATTCTTCTAAGGACTCTGCTTTGTCTTCTGAGCATTTCCCAGCACAAACCAAAATCTCCTTCTGTAACCTCAGCAATGAAAATCGAATGTCCCAAGTATAGCCCACATGTTATTACCTTCAACCAGGGCATCAGAAACGAGATTCTACCTAATCAGGCCCAGACTTTGTTCTCCTGTAAGACGACGGGTCCTGACAAGGTCAGTGTTTATTTCAGAAAGGACAACAAAAGCCAGCACACAGAGGGAACCGGGCTGCATCTTCACAATAGGCCCGTTAGCTCTGCTCGACTCGACTCAGGAACGAAGCTCGGCTTGTTTTCATCGGGAGTGTCCGACCTCCCTTTAGCGACAGCTGATAATTGGATAACGGTACTGACTCGAATCTCATTCTGGGCCTCTGAACTACGGACCCGAAACAATGGTCATTAATAGCTGGAGTTCTAATGAATGGCACCAGGGGAGATAACCGAGGTGGAAGAGTAGGAGACAAAGAAAAGACGGACAAAACCGAGGCGTCCTTACCTCCGAGCTACCGCAGCATCCCATTGCAGTGAGGGAGGAAGAGCCCGGAGCTTTCACGCAGCTTCACGCAGCAGCAGCAGCTTGACAGGCAGAAGAGGAGTAGAAGTAGAGGGAGGAGAAGGACTAGGAGGAGGAGTGCGGCGCGTCCCGCAGGAGCGGCCAGGAGCACACACGGTTCTATCGGTCTCAATCAAAACATGACACTGAGGTATCGACTGGGATTAACGCCAGAGGATTTGTCCGCCCCTGTCTCACTTCCTCTCTGCTCCCGTCTCACTTCCTGTCCGCCACTTCCTGCTGGACCGTCAGGTGCAGCGGTCATTCATCTCATTGCGCACGCGCAATTGGTATCCGTTTGTTTGGATGGAGACAAAGACGCAGGTGCAGTACCAGAAATAGCCTTTGAGTGGACGAGAAGTGATGGCGCTGTTTCTTTTGCGTTTACTTTGTGTTTATTATTGTATATTTCGTTGATTTGTTTACTTTGTTTCTGATGGTATACGACTTTACGTTGTAAGGAATTTATACATTTACTTTTTATCGTGAAATTACAAGGAAGTAATACATATATGTACGACCAACGATTGATTGGTACTTCCTGTTTATATTTATTGATACATTTGGAAATCTTTCTGCAGATTTTTTCAATCAAGGTGAGCCCAACGCATAGTATTTATGGGGAAACTTAATTTTATATATTTAATAAGTTCAAAATTATTAAACCAAGCACATTATTTCCTAAATATAATACATAATACAACAATTTAAAATATTTATAATATCCAGTTCAGTTATAGGCAAATACAAAGACATGTGTCTGAATATCCTGATGTAATTGTTAAAACATTGTAAGCTTCCCAAATATGCCTGTATGTTTATGAAGACAGAGGTAAAATCCTTGAACTATATATTTTAATAATACATTTTTTATAATTAATTTCTATTTAGGGTATAATGATGATCCTCACTGTTAATGGAAAGATGATAATTAAAAATCACACTGTAGATGGATTTTGCACAACCGAAAACCTCCCAGAATTCCCTGCAGATCTGTCTTGGATCATATTCAATAAATACTGGATGGAGTGGAAACAGCTTGTAATTTAACATTTATGCAAATTTCTGTGTATCCTGTGTGCTAGATTGTTCAGTTTAGCATGTAGTCAGAGTTATAGTAATGGCTGAGCTCTGAGTTGCCGCAGCTGCTGAAACCAGTCTGAGGCAGATTCTCAATAAAATAGTGCAGCCAGTTGAGTCACCAGAAAAGTCATTTCTAAAGTAAAATTGGTTGTCTGTCACAAAGCACATGGAAAACATATTCTGCGACATGTTTTTTGTAAATATGATGTTAGTTTGGAAATTATGATTACATAATGGCAGATATTAATTTACAATGAAAATGAGACATAGGTACGTAGGGAGATAGTGTTGCAACATTAACCACAAGAGATTACTGTATTATCAATAAAATGTTTTTACCCTTTTCCTTAAGTTGAGATGTTGCTGAGAGCTGGAGGTCAGATGCTGTCGATCCATTTTCCTGTACAGTGTCCTGGATTGTTTTGGAAAAGTCTAGTTGTGAAGCGTCTAGAGAATCCTAGTTGGTCTTTAAGTCATAGAGTCAGAGCGAGGACAGCAGTGCAGGGGTTCTGTTCAGCCTCCAGAGAACACAGACAGCTTTGTCTCATTGTTTACTGTTGTGCCAGGCTCAACGCTGTGTGTGTGTGTGTGTGTGTGTATAAACTAACATATATATATAAATATTTGGCCAATAATCCTCATGTAAGCAGCTGAAAAAATCAAAACATTATTCAACTGAGCATCACAGTGAGCTTGACCCATGTTATTGGTGAGATGGTGCAGATGTTGTTGATAAGTTATTCTCAGTAGATGATTCTTTGTGATTGTAATTATGTTTTGTTTTGACATTATTCACTTTATTGCCCTTTTTTTTATTAAAACACATTATTTGAATTGGTAAATGTGAGGAAAATGACATCATTTTGTCATCTGTTGATATTTGTCTTTAGCTTTGCCTTTTGCTCCTGAGGCTATTTTGATATACTAATATGAACCGCCGCCCACTTAGAAACACCAAGTAGAATCTCTGTAAAAACACTGTAGATTTGGTTTCTTTAATGAGACTTGTTCAGAGTCAGTAACAGTTTTTTTTACCATCAGACTATTCTGTTTTATGACATCATCATGACATCATCAGTGCAAAGAAAAACAAAGTGCTGCTGGTGTCAGCATCGCCTCCTGCTGGTCTGACACAAGAAAACACAAGAGAGGATCAATGACCAGCTGATCATTAATCAATACTGTAGTGTGAGGAGCTGATGAAAGTCAATTACTGTTTGACACTGACATGAACAAATCTGTCAATCAACACGCCAATTCTCTTGATTGGCTTTTCAAAATAAAACATTCACATTACAAACATAAATAAAAAAAATCAAAAGCATGTTTTTTTTTTTTTTTTAAATGATTCTTTTTCAGTCAAGTCTTCAGACGTTTGAAATTATTCAGATTCTTCATTGTTAGTCAACAATAAAAACACGTTAAGGTCGCCACCATTAAGAAACTGTCTGAGTGGAAGCAACCAAAGTCTTTAAAAAATTCTGGTTGGTGTCTGTGATGAGCAGAACAGCTTCACCACAGAGAATAATTTTGCATTGACTGGCATAAGGCAGCAGGTGACTCCGCCCACTTAACATCAGTATGACATCACAGCAGTTGAGGTGGGCGGTCCTCTACGCCACTTGTTTAAGTCCCGGCTGGATCTCCAGCCTCCTGACCAAAAGCATCACGTGAGCCTGTGTCAGTCTCCGCTCTCTTTTGCAGCACTGGAGTTAATGCTCAGCAGCGGGATTTCGACAGTTGCTTCTTTTCGTTTCACAGAATTGTCTTTGGAGTGATAATCGTCGCTCTGGTCCTTCGCAAAGTTTACGAACACCTGTAAGATTAAATGGCAAGTTAACTTACCACTAGTTGCTTCACCTAAACTGTTACTATCACAAGCATTTAGACGGTGTAGTTACCTGGTCGAGCGTGGTTTGCGTAACTGAGTAGTCCTCGATGCGCAGCTTCTCTTTGTTCTCGGCCAGGGTGGCAAAGATGTGTGCGAGTGAGGTGAGCGATGAGGGCAGCTGGTACTGCAACATGTTTCGATGACGTTCCTTCAGTGTGCTGCCACGCAGCTCGCTTTCTATGAACTTCATGACAGGCACTAAGTCAGGGTCAGGCCCTGCCACTCTCAAGATGATGGTGTAACCATCACCGAACCTGACAATACAAACCAAAAGTCATCTTGATGTGAAGATGTCACATGTCACAGTGAGGAAAATCAAAAAATTTAAAAGCAGAAAACCAAAGCAAATCTTTATTTCTTTATGGTTTTTATCTTGTTACCTGTTTTTCAAATGTTGGACACTGCCCAAACATCGGAACCTGCCGTTCACCATGATGGCCATCCTGGTGCACAGGGCTTCACACTCTTCCATACTAACAGACATGGAAAAACATTAAAGTCAAAATTGGAGGTAAATGATACAAGAGCATTTTTACAGTCTTGTTTTATAACTGTAAGATAACTTTTATTTCTTACACAGGAAAAATATCTTACCTGTGGGATGTTAAGATAACTGAGCGTCCTTCCTTGATGACACTGTGAATGCAGTCCCAGAGAGCACGACGAGCTTTGGGGTCCATGCCTGTGGTGGGCTCGTCCTACAACAGGTATGATTGCATTAGGTGTGGTTATTTTTCTGCCCGTAGAAAGTAGAGATCTAGACCATTTTAGCCTGTCGTGTATTTCTTGAATAAATCTTGATTGCACTTTCATAAAAAACACAGAGAAAGACTAAGAATCTGAACAGAGCAGGCATTACCAGGAAGACAACAGGTGGCCCTCCAATCAGAGACATGGCAGTCGACAGCTTCCTCATGTTTCCACCACTGTAACTTCCTGCTGCTTTGTCAGCATATTTGATGAGACCCAACTTTCTTATTCCCCATTCTGCCACCTGTATATCAAATATGACATCAACCAGACATCATCATCTTCGGTTAAGGGGGAGAAGAATGGAATTACTGTGTTCAAAATGTGGAGCTCGATCTTGACTTGAGTGTCTTGTTTAAGCACAAATGTTATGTATTATGAAGTACAACTGACCTGGCAAACTTCATTCTCTGGTACTCCTCTCAGGATGGCGTAGAATTCCAGGTGTTCTCTTCCTGTCAGCAATTCATTGATGGCATCAAACTGTGGGCAGTAGCCCATGTTCTGATGAACCTCATCTATTTCCCTCAGAATGCTGCAGAGACACAGGTGAGACAGATTCAGACTCTGACACTCGTCATCTAACATCTTACTATGTTTTGACAATGTTTTTAACCATTTGGCTATCTGATAGCCAAAATCTTTTGGTATTTCATTTTTACTTTTAACTCCGTTTTCAGTTAAAATATGTAGATAATATGTGTGTAGAATCTTTATATCTACTGATTATTTTATATTTTTTATATATTCTATAAATGTTTGGCCCAACATTTGATGATGCTTCACTTTTGGACCATCTCCAGTGACCTTTGACCTCACCTTTTTCCAGCTAAGAAGGCCTCTCCGCTCGTCACCAGTGTGTCTCCAGTCAGCATCTTAAAGGTTGTTGTCTTTCCAGCTCCATTCACACCTAGAAGGCCAAAGCACTACCACACAAACAAACACACACATTGTTAACTACTGCTGCACAGAAGATGTAACTGTGTCAAAGATAGCACTGTCAGTCTCACCTCTCCGGGTGGAATCCCAACACACAGTCGATCTACAGCTGGCTTCTGTTTCCTTTTAAACACCTTAAGAAAACAACAAGATCATTTAAACAACAAATATAACAGGGGACACTTGATGTTTCAACAACAGTCAGGTCTGGTATGGTCACACACCTTGGTGAGCTGACGCAGCTCCAGGATGTCTCCTTGTCCCAGACCGTGGACGATCTTCTGTCTCTCTCGTGCCACATCCTCGTCTTCCTCTCCAAGTGGACCGAGCTTATTCAATAAACTGACCGGTCTGAGCATAAAGACACATCATGCATTTTTATGTGTTCTGCTGTCCTCTTGTGGACAATAATAGATATTGCAGCACATGATGAGACGCTTGTTTTTAGTACCTGGGCTTGAAGAAGAATCTGTACTGAATGAGGACAGTGATGATGAAGAAGAAGACGCCTTCCACTGCCATGGCGAACAAGTTTTTACCGACCATGTCCCACTCCAGAGGAGACCGGAACCTGTTCTCACCTGGCGGACCCCAAGATCAACACGAAAATTATAACCACAAGAAAATTGACACAATATAAATGAACAACCACCTTACTATGGACACACTATCCTCATATACCACATTTCCTACAGAGGAGGAAACCAGAACATGTTCCTACTTAAAAGCAACAATGGCATATTAACCCACAACCCAGGATAAACAACAACTGAGAGAAGTAAAAATAAATATGTTAAAAAGTAGTTTTGTCATGTTACCAAATCTTTCGAGGGCATCTGCCATGGCCTGGTTCTTCACCATGTCAATCAAGCCTCTTCCCAAGCAAAAGTGTGGAAAGATGAGCAGGACGTTCTTCAGGATGTCGTTAATTCCTCCAATATCCTGTAAATGTCAGGCAGGTTAATCACTGGTCGAAGGGGGGCGTTGTTTATTTATCTGCAAAGCTTCAACTCACATTGTTTCCAAACAACTCCATGACAAAGGTGGCGATGCTGCCGTTAATGCCGATCAGGATGTTAACGCTGGTTAGAACAACATATGCTGTGCTGGGTACGGTGAAGAAGAAAGAAGCGGGGTACATGAGGGGCGTGATCGACCAGCTGTGGGACAGATGCAGAAAGACAAGCTGTTACTTTCACTCCACTTTGCGACATCATCATACTACTGTTGAATTACTACAGTATTGTATATTAGCTTAGAATCCTCATTTAAATGCCTGTTTAGCTGTAGTACCTCTACCCACCAGGAGAGGCTTGCACTGGGAACCTTTGGTTTTCTTAGGCACCCATTCAATTTAAAAAAGAAATGACTAAATCTTAATGTCAGACCCTGGATTCAATGTTTGGTATGATAATTAAAACTGCAGTAAGTAAAGGAAAGAGCTTAGAAGAAATACAGACTGGGAGGGGTCAGCAGGTTAATAACCATCTTCTTCTTTGTGATTTGTGTTGTGTAAGTATCCTAGAAAGCACAGGACGTTTATAGATGTACTGTCGTATGTTGTACCCATAGAGCAGCAGCAGCAGAGCAAGTGTCGGCAGGTTACTTGATGAAACGTAGGATTTTTGTTGAAAGCAGATAAAGATGAGGATGACCAGTGTTGCAGGCACAATGTAGTTACACTGTAGAGACATAAACACATGTTCTCATAAGAACAGGCACAGAGATATGATCATACACTCAGGATCATGAGGCCTATTTGGTTCCTCACCATGTCCCAGATGAAGTTGGTGACCCAGTAGAGCAGTGGCTGCACACCACTGATGAAGTGCATGTGTTTGGCTTTGGAAACACGCTCCTGAATGAGAAAGACCACAAAACTGGCCGGGACGAAAGACATGGCAAAGATCACGCAGATGGACACCAGCACGTCCACTGAGGTTGTCACTCTGAGAGGAGATAAAAATCGATTAGAGCCAAGTAGTTTTTAGGTCTTCTTTATGTGTACAGTTTTTGTGTTTAGACTTACAGCGCCACCTGTGACAGCTGCTCCTTGGTCAGATTCAGGGGGTGGTTAAACGCTCTGATGCCATAAAATTCAGGGTCCTGACCTTCAGGCAGGTTAGCACGGAGAATTCCATTGTTTATGACGTTAATGAAGGCTGTGACACTGTGCCAGCCTTTATTATTGAACCAGACCTGGCAGGAAGAGCACATATTAGTGGCATGAAATCACTCATTGTAACAGTATTATCAGTCGGAAGATTCTTCACACCTTCACATTGTTCTTTGTGTCCAAACCATTGATGAAACCAGACAAACTCTCCAGGAACCGATCTGCTGCTGCCCCCTGCAGGACAATGGTGTCAATAGCAAGAAGAAGAAGGATAGTAAAAGAAACTATGTCCACAACACGTTTATTTCCCTGACCTTCTGTAACTCAAAGATCTTCCTGACTCGTTCAATGGCATCATCGACTTCATTGGCTGGTGGGAGGACCTGAGTGCTCCTCGCACCCAATGAGAAACCGCCATACCTGCATAGAAGCACTTGAGATAATAGCTTGAAACTGGACTAAAGAAGTCTGAGGGTTTGAAGAGAAAAGAAAACTTCTGACCTGAACTCATTCACCCAGACCTTGTTCTTCAAGCTGTTTGGATAAACAGAGAGTGGTGTCAAGCAGAGAAGGGTTTTTTGTATGGAATTTGCACGAGGAGTAAAACTGACAATTCTAAAACAAAGTCACATTTAAAGCTTTGAGATTCCATCTAAGACATTTAAGAAAGTTTAAGATGCTTTTTAAATAATACATTGTTTGATTTTTGATTTAATTACAAAATAATGTTTGTAGTAACAGTTTCAGTTGAGATAATAGTGACATAGAATTCTCACATTGTCCAACCCAGAATCTTAGGTAAGACTTAAGGGTATGGTTCTTTCCTGTATTTCACCTGTCTCACCTCTTTCCAATAATCTGTGCATATGTCTTGACCACGTAGTCTGAGATGTTTCTTCCTGTCAGGTTCTGCAGGGTGTCCGTGGCACTGAGCTTCATCTACAAAAAGACACATTCATACATCAGTCCAAGTGCTACAGTAATGGACATTAACTGAGATGACCCACAACCTCTCACCTCAGGTGGAGGTAGTCCTCCAGCCCCAGCGGGACAATCTGGGAGCATCTTTTTCTTGCCATGACAGCTGCAGACACAGGCAGGTGATGGGTCGTCCATGGTCCAGTTATCGGAGCTAAACAGCTGCTGAACACTCTCGGGGACATCAGGAACGAGCCAGTCATCATCACCCATTGTACATGTTGCCTCCCTGTGGAGGACAGTGAGGGTGTTAGGAGACCCAGTAGGAGCAGTGACACATTGATACCATCACCCTGTCTCTTACTGGATTGGATGTCCAACCATGCAGCGTGCTCCAAAGCCTGGTGGGTCAAGAAGGGCGTTTTGTAAACTCTGCATTGTAGCGTCACCGGGAGCGTCGTTGCTGACAGGCAAAAATAAGAACGTCACTCACTAAAGTACATGTATGATGTACACAAAAAAATGTCAGGAATTGCACTTACCTGATGAAGGAGACTTGGTCTTCGTACATCCATGGCTGTAGCTCTAGGCTGGGATACTTTCCAAATGGTGGGACAATAAGACTGAAGACAAGAGCGATGCAGACAAACACAGCCGGGAGAACAATCTGTACCACAACAACATAAAAAAAACACAGAATGTTAAAAACATGACAGTTGTCATTTTACCCCATGGTCTTATCAGGTGGTTCAGTTATACCTGTGCAAAGAAGCCCTTTCTGGAGCGACGCGCGTACAGGAAACGTTTCCACATCAGAGCCACAAATTGATGCCTCTTCAGACTCCACCCTGTCACCTGAGCTGAGCCTTTACCATCTGTGCACGTCACCCAATCAGATGCTCCACTCTCTACAGTCACAGATAAATACAATAATACGCACATTAGTAATGTACCGCAATGTAATGTAGGAGCTATTGCAGTAGGGCGAGGGACCCTTATTTTAGAAACCATTGCACACTAGTGATGTGTCTTTAAGTGTGGAATTATGTGGCTGTACCAGGATCACCATCCTCATCGTTTCCCTCATCGCGGTCATCTTCCGTTAATGGTCTCAGGCAACTCTGAGGTTCACCTCCTCCAAATGCGTGAGTCCGCCTCCGACGGCGAACAGGAAGTGTTCCATCTGTACAGACAGCACAACAGGTCTCAAGTTCAAATGTGTAACATCTCACTGCTGAGGAGAAGAGTTAGAGTTGAGTCCACTCCTTACCTGAGGGTACTTCAGTGTCCACTCCGTTATCTTCTGCCACCTTTAGGAAAATCTAAAACAGGGGACATGTCAAGTCTTGATTAGGACAACTGTTGCCAGGGAAACAGAGAAATAATAATAATAATAATAATAATAATAATGTCATACCTCCTCCAGTGTGGTGTCTGACACACCATAGCTGGAGATGCCGAGGTCCACAAGTTTCACATCCAGAACTTTGAACAGATCCACAAAGGCGCCATCTTTAGCAGCGTGGTATGGTAGTACGAAAGTCACCTCATGGCCCAGGTCCTCAACCAAGCGGGCAGTGGGCACATGGCGCAAGATTAGACTTGAGATAAGGGACACATCCGGTGGAACAAAAGGGATGTTACAGAAGGTCGCAGCAGGTCCATTATCTGAGAATAGACACGAAGATGTTATCGCTCGTTCATCTTAACAAACACATCCAATGCTCCAAAAAACTAGAGCCTCTGATTTACCGATGGTTGCTGCCTCACTTTCATTTTCACTTCCTAAGCCGGCGTCACTGCTGCTCACTGATGCACATTCCCCGTCCTGTAAAAGTTACAGAGACAACACAGGG